GTACTGGAGGCGTTGGTAACCTCCGGGATGACGTCCGAGATTGTTCGGATACGGCAGGGGATACCCTCCTCTCTGGAAGTTTCTCCTGTTGTCGTACTGAGAGAGGGTCAGTACTCCCCCCTTGTATCCTTTCGATAGCGGCTACTTGACCGCTGACTCTTCCACCCGCGTTCGAAGCTGACTCCATGTCTAGCTGCGGTACCGGTCCAGGGGGAGGTCCTCTCGTTCCCCAGGTAGGGGAGTATGCAAAACCTCCCATGGGACTACTGGCTGGTTGGGCGTAACCCATGGAGGTAAACCTCCGTTGTGGTGGTCCCATCCCAGGTTCCACTGGAGGGGGCCCCTGAACCTCCGGTTGACGTCCCTCTGGGGTCCGGATGTTGCTGGCGGTTTCATCCCCGAACGACTGTTCTGGGATGGACATCAGGCGTTGACCAGCTGCCACCATGATGACAGTGGAGCTAGCAGCCTGGTTCGATTTTTGAGCTTGTGTCATGTTTCCACGAGATAAGGCGCTCTTTTGTTTCTTTGATTCGGTCTTGGAACTAGAAGGTCGTTCCGTTGACGTCGCCGACATTTCGTCGCGACGAGTCCGTTCGGTGACGGGAGAGCTTGGTATAATGTAAGACCTGGGTCAAAATGGGTCTTAGGGTAGGTTTGGTATATGAAGTTTTATGTTGTAGCGTGCTAGGAGCAGGCTGGAGCTCGAAGGGAGCTACGAGAACCGCGACCGAGGACGGGAATGACCTAGTAGTGTCTGGAACGACGAGATGATGACCCTTGAGGGGGTCCCTAGGAGGTCCAGGGAGGTCCCTAAGGCGTAGGGAGGTTAAGGAAGAGTGCGGGACCATACAGTATTGCGTAGTAGGAGTTGTACTCGCTAGAACGTCAATATAGGATCGAGTAGGTCGTATATGCAACTGGGTCTTGAGGGTGTAAGCTCCCGAGAAGGGATATGTCAGGAAGGGTAGGTCCCTGGGGGCTGAGCTTGAGGATGGACGTCCTCGAGTGTGGGAGGTGGTAACGGAGAAGCAATACATAGTCCGACGTGAGGGGTAGCTTCGACGTTACCTAGATCGAGGTCCCGAAGCTTACGAAGTAGCTAGGGAGCTCTGGGAGGTTTGGGGAAGGGTAGCTCACCAAGGCGGGTAGGCGTTGGGGAGCTTTAGTAATGTTCGAGGGAGCTCGGGGACTCACTCGGAAGGCTTAGACTTGAAGTGAAAGCGTATATTCAATCGTATAGATGATCAGAGAGACAATAGACAGAAGTAGAGAGAAACAGAGGTAGAGAAACAGAGAGTAAAGAGAAATCCGTATGGTTAGCAGGTACAAAGGGACAGGGACTGGACCTATGCAAAAGGGTGTGTGTTCAAAATATACCAAGCTGGGGCTTCGGGACGTATCAGAGCTACTTAAATAGGTACAGGAAGTGATCAAGGGAACATCAGGGGCCATGAGGCGTGTAATCGAGATTAGTATCTTAATGGGGTAGGTGTAGGAGGGCTTCGACGCGTGTCGGGGGAGGTTTAGGAGCTGTCTTGGATAGGTACAGGCGTGGATCTGGGGAGGTACGGGCGTGGATCGGTACTGAGGGGTGAGAGTGTTTGGCTGATACTGGGGCTGTCCTGGTCGTCACCATTAAGAGGGCTGTGGATAATGGTCGAGGCATGACAGGTGCAGGCAGCGCCAAAGGCGAAGGCAAAAACAGCGCGGAAGTTGGAAGTGGGAGGGGAGACGGGCCCATTGGACGCGAAGCAAAAACCGCAGATGCGTGGATCGACTGCCTCTCTGGCAGCCAGGACGCTTGTCTCAACAATGTCAGCAGCAATGACCATGATGAGTCAGGGGACAAACCCTTAGCAACATCTCTGCTTCTCTCACCTATGTCGGAGGGGCCAGAGGTTATTGTGGACTCACTAAGGAATGCGACGATGGAAGCACATGTAGAGAAGGAGTACGGTATCGACTTGGACATGAGTTCTGTCTCAAAGGTTGTCCAGGTGGTGAGCAAACTGAAGAAAACTGCTATTGCTGTTGGGGGATGGCAGATGGAGATGTGGAATGCGTTCTGGGACAAGACATCAACTCTGTGTCAAGATCTCAGCAAGCTAGAGGAGCGAGTGGCAAGAGCGGAAAAGGGCCAGGCTGGTAGTGAAAAAGCGGGGGAGTTCATTCTACAACCATGTAAGACCTGGGTCAGAATTGATTTTAGGGTAGGTTTTGGTATAAGGGATTTATGTTGTAGCATGCTAAGAGCAAGCTGGAGCTCAAAGGGAGCTATGGGAACTGCAACTGAGAACAGGAATGACCTAAGATGTGAGGCCTGGCACAAAAGACCTGCTCTCGTCCTATCTGGACTGGGCCTAAGCAAGCAGGACAGCTGCCTAGGCCGTACAAGGGGAGGTGGGATAAGTGCCGCTACTGGTGTAGGGAGCCTGACCAGTGGTGGTTGCGGAGCTTGGGTGGACCTAGCCAAAGGTCCTGGAGTGGGGGAAGGAGGTGTAGTTGGTGAGGATGGAGGTAGTTGGGGGTGTGGAGCCTCGACATAGACTGTAAGTCGTAGGAGAGGCTCAGGAAGTTGAGAGAGGTGTTCAGAGAGGTGAGACAGAGAAGAGAAACAGAGTTGAGGGAAACAGATAAAGAGGAAATGTATGACAGGTGAGACGTGTCAGGCCCTGTTAGCAAGTACAAGTAGACTGTACTAACAGGGACCAAGCCAGGTTGGAAGAGTTTCCAGATAAGATTTGACAATAACACGCTGGGGAGCTCCGAGGGGAGTCCCCAGCCTATATACTATACATGTGACAGCCATGTGGCATATTACATAATGGTAAAAGCGGACAAGGGGAGCTCTGGGTATACAGTGGGGAGATATAGGAAGGTAGTAAGGAGGAATATGATAGGTAATGAAGCAAAATCAGGCAAGGCATGACATAAGAGTAGTTTGGATTGAAAGGGTTGACCTTTGAAGAGGTTCCTAGGAGGTCCTGGGAGGTCCCTAGGACGTCAACGGGGGCTAAAGGTTACTAGGAGCTAGGGAGTGTCGGACTGTTACGTAGTACGAGTTGTAGTAGATAGGATCGACAGCACAGGATCATTATAGATCGTAGCTGAAGTGAGTTCCGAACGTGAGAGCTCCTGATGGAGTGTAAGCCCGGGAAGTGGAGGTAGAGGTGGATGTCCTCAAGCATTGGAGGGAGTAACAGAGAAGCGGTACATAGTTCAACGTTACCTAGATCAAGGTCCCTGAGCTTGAGGAGGTTTGGGGGAGGTTGGCTCACCAAAACAATATACGTTGGGGAGCTTGAAGACTCACTTGGATTGCTTAGATGTGAAGTAAAAGCATGTATTGGATTGTTTAGACAACCGTAGAGATGAAAATAGAAGTAGAGAAACAGAGATAAGAAAACAGAGAGTAAGAGAAATCCATATAGTTAGCAGGTACAAAGGGACAGGGACTGGACCCATGCAAAAGGGTGTGTGTTCAAAATATACCAAGCTGGGGCTTGGGGATATTGCAGTACTACTTAAATAGGTACAGGAAGTAAACAAGGGAACATCCAGGAATCTGGGGAACATGAGGCAGGTAATCGAAAGGGTGGCACAAGAAAAGAGGCAAGAAGAGGAGGCACAGGTAGAGAGGATGTTGGAAAGGGCGAGAGAAGTCATGGGTTACGGGGCACAGAGGAAGAGGTTGGGGGAGGACGAAATGGTGTATGAAGGCCATAGTGGGAAGCTCCCACATGGGAACAGTGCAGAGTCAGTACACAATATGGGCAGCAGGGGTAATGAATGGAGCATTGACAACTGAGGAAGTGGTCACAAGGACTATCGACAGATTGATTCTCACACTTGCAGGAATTATCAGCATGATCAAGGATACAGGGCGCCACTTTCACATCTCGCCCAACCACCTGCATTTGCACCAACTGCCCCAGCAAGGAATAAGCAGGAGCTGAAGTTAGCTATTGGGGAGTTTCGAGGGCAATATGCCACAGCTGGCGTGGGTGATCAGATTGTGCTCATTGCAAAATCTGTCCCAAGGAGTGTCATTCCCAGGGATGTGAGGAGAGATGACTACCAGTTTGGGGTCTTGGTCATGACATTCCAGTCATATCATGATAGGGATGCATTTACACGGGAGTGGAGTGCTGGTTATAAAAACTCACCGAGTGAGCGGGAAGGATTGAAGCTCCGGGGTATTGGGGAGGATTTTTAGAAGGGGCTGGGGGTGTCTTGCAGGTCAATGAGGCTGAAATATATCAGCTGGAGTGACACACTGCATGCATATTGAGGCAGGGAAGACCGTGTAATTTATGATACCATGGGAGGGGTTTTTTCCGCTTTTCCCCTCAATAACCAGGACATGAATGATCATAATCGCCCCCCTGTATTAGATATGTGTGTTCCAATATTGTACAACATTATGTAATATTGTACAGTATATGGTAAACGGGTTGTTCGGGAATCGGACCTCGCCAGTATAATTCATATTCTATCCTATCCTATCCATAGTAATTGTATACCTGCATAAAGAACCTACCAAAAGTTATCCAACCATATCAGCGGCAGTCACACTTGAAAATTGATACCAGAGTAGGGTACCTAAGGTGGAAGAGGTTGGATGTGTGTCAGTTTAACAATAAAGTGGCCATGTTCATGAACAATGATACAGGTTTTGGTTTCAGCAGGAGTACAATGAGTTTTGATTCTTGACATAGAGCCTGGCTGAATTTATGTCAATCAGCACCATGAACTTGAATAGAAAGCATTGATAATGAGAGTTTGATATCACAACGCAATCTGAATTCAACATTGTCCAGCACTGGCATGTGAGAAGGAATGCAAGCAAGGTGTATGTCCCCAAAGGGGTACGTTAATTCTTTAATCCGATTAGTTATCTGTTGTGCTCGTGCATATGACATAGATGAGTAAGAACTTACTGATTGGCATTTCATACTGCATACAACACGTGTACAGCTTTGACCTTCACCTCTATTATGATGCGACCAGCATCAATCCGACTTCGTCCATCACAGTCCAATTTCAGAAAATGGTATTCCACCATTCCAAACACCTCAAGTCGTAAAGGCGTCAGACAATTGGTTATTGGCTCCCTCCTGAGCTTTGGGGCTTTGACATCGTTCTATCTTTTCTTTCCCGATGCCTCCCGCGGCGCACCAACCATCAAGCACGGAAAGCTATCGCCATCCCATTTCACACCCTGCACAATTTCTTCTAGTGAACCTTGTGGTCCTTACGCACGTCTTATAACCCTGAGTGTTCCAACAAAACTCCTTCCGGGTCCAGATGAACAACGCTTTCCTTCGATATGGTCCGTATTCATTAAGGATGATGACATTCAGGTTGAGCGGCCCTATACCCCTCTGGAAGGAGTGGACGCTGAAGGCCGCATGAGCTTCTGGATCAAGAAATATGAGCATGGCGAAGTTGGTCGTTGGCTGCACTCCAAGAAAGTCGGTGATGAGATTGAAATCAGAGCGCCACTGCAGACATGGCTTTGGAAGGACGATAATGTATGGGACGAGGTTGTAATGGTGCGGTAATCGAATCTACAGTATTCCTATATTCATATATTGTATAGATCTCTGGGGGATCCGGAATAGCTCCATTCTTTCAACTCTTTCATGAAATAATATCGCGTGGAGTCTCATCAAGGACACGATTCACCCTCCTTCACTCCTCACGCTCTCCGTCTGAGCTTCCGCCTTCCAAAATACTACAACGCTTGTCTTCCTTTGCATCTGAGAATCCAGAAAGATTCAAATTCCGCGTTTTCGTGGATACATTGGACTCGGAGGAGAAACAAAAAATGCAATTGAACGTAGGACGTATCAACGAAGCAGCTCTCTTATCGAGTCTGAAGGATCAAACCACATCTTCAAAATGGCTAAGATGGCCCTATTCAAGGCCTATCGAGGCTAAAGTTGACGTGCGGAAAACGCTGTTTTTAGTGTGCGGACCGGAACCGTACGTGTTTTCAACCAACCTTTCAGCGCGGTACTTCAACTTCCGTTTATACAGAATGGTCGCTACAATATCGGGTCCTTATGGTAGAAATTTCTCTCAAGGACCCGTAGGTGGTGTTTTAGCAAAGCTGGGCGCAACATCAAGTCAAGTATACAAGCTTTAGATTTTCCAATAGTAGTTATGAAAACATATTTTCACTTGGATATCGTCCAATTGATTTGCTTTCCTGCCCAGAATGGAACGACACTCTCGTCCTTCAGTGTGTAGCCTCCCTCGGGGATTAAGAAAGTTGCCCCATTGACTCCTCGTTTCAACACGACTTTACTCGCATTGGCTGGTACCTTATAGAAATCGCGGCCGAACGTGCTAACAAATCCTTCAAGTCTGTCGAGAGCCCCAAATGATTCCAAGATGTGAGCTGTCAGAGGAAGCAAAATCGGGGATGTATAAATGCCAGCGGCACAGCCACACGAAGGTGTACTGGTAGATTTGTTGCGCGGGGGATGAGGTGCGGAGTCTGACCCTAGGAAGAATCTTGGATGGCCTGTATTTGCACAATCAGTGAATAAGGATCTTATGGAAAAGCCCATGTCGGTAGAAACCTTCTTTAACGATGTCACGAAGAGCTTGACGATCATCGGGATACTTCGCCACAGGCTTACAGAAGTTCCACGATTGTCCAGCCCAATCGTCTACCGTCAACTCTAGGTGGTGCACGGTAATCGTACATGCGACTGTGTCCCCACATGCTTTTACGGCCTCAATCGCAGCTCGAGTGGTAGCGTGTTCGAGGACAATTCGGAGTCGAGGAAACGTCGAGTGTATCTTATGTAGATGTGGAAGAAATGAGGGTTCTGCGTTCAAGATGTGGATGTTCTAAGATAACATCAACGGTGAAATAAGAAGACAGAGAATAAGCTTGCATGAACAGAATTTGATGGAATCTCCCCGTGAAGGTTCAACACTAGATCCACCTCTTGCATGACTTCAAAGACTGGATAGTAGGTTTCATACGATTCGATACCTCCATCTGAATTAGTTGTCACGCCACGAGGGTAGGATTTCACCCCAACTATTCCTGCATTCTTTGCTTTGCGGATCTCATCAGGAGTAAGTTCTGGAGAAAGATAAAGAGTCATGAGGAATTGGACATTGGGCTCGATTGCTTCCAGAGTAGCCTTATAGACCAAGGCTTGATCTGTGGTTGTGATCGGAGGTTTGAGGTTTGGCTAAAATTTTTGAGATCATGTACGATTGAAGGAGTGCATGAAATTTTTACCATGACATACGCCGTGCAAAAGCCCCCTTTACGCACATGGGGAGTAACGAGCTCAGATAGAGCTCCTTGGCGGAGGTGTACATGAAAGTCGGCGGGATGTGTAATGGAGAGGTCCATGAACTCGAGCGTCTAATTTTGAGCGCCTCACAGTCGCGCGATCATGTGCTTTTCAAACGCGTGTCTTTGATCACGTTGTAACAGGTTGTAACTTGTAACTTGAACCACTTCACGACAAATCCTTGGTTTACGATAACGTCCAAATTGCACGAATACTTCGGCGACTGAAAATCGGGGCAGAACTTTATTGATTATGGTAGCCGCTGGCTCGATAACTGTTGCCGGCGAGTCCTGTCGTTTCACTAGACTGTAGCTGAACAGTGAGAACTGATACTACGTATGAAATCCAGTGCGAGTTCGGCCACCCACAACCTGGGAAGCAGTCCGACTTCCGGATCCATGCTATGATAGCAGTTTTAGGGGAGACGGCGCCCTTTCTACTGGTACCCCCAATCGATCCGTTGCTAACACTGCACCTCTCAGAGATGTAGTGCAAATTATTGACGACCGTATCCTGACGTTCGACCCGGACGAGAAAGATAAAGCAAAAGCGTTTATGGAGCGGGGCTTCATGCCACCAGGCACGAAACGATACAAGGATAGGCGGTTCATGTTCGACAAGGTCTTCAACCACGAATCTAATCAACAGGATATATATGCGGCAACGGCTCAGCCGCTACTACAGGGAGTCTTGGATGGCTTCAACGCAACCGTATTTGCTTATGGGGTGTGTGCAGCACTTCATACAGAGTGTATAGAGAAGACTAATCACCTTGCTAGGCCACCGGGTGTGGTAAAACTCATACCATCAGCGGCACAGACACTGACCCTGGGATTATATACTTGGCTATGGCCGACCTCTTTCAACGCATCGAAGACCGGAAGGATGACTACATTGCAGAAGTTGTTGTCACCTTTCTAGAAATTTACAACGAAGAGATTCACGACCTTCTCGCTGATCCGAGCACATCCAAACCACGAGGTGGTCTCACTATACGCGAAGACAAAGTTGTAAAGGTGGCGGGTCTTGTTGAGCTCTCCCCGAAATCTGCTGAAGAGGTCAAAGAGATCGTCCTCCAAGGCAATCTGCGGCGAACACAGAGCCCTACTCATGCCAACGAAACCAGCTCCCGTTCGCACGCCGTTCTGCAGGTTCATGTCACGCAGTCCCCTCGAACCGCTTCGTTATCCGAACAGAAGACCATGGGCACACTTTCCATCATCGATCTCGCGGGCAGTGAACGCGCCGCTGCTACGACAAACATGGGCCAGCGTATGGTTGAAGGTGCCAATATCAACAAATCTCTTCTCGCCTTGGGGAATTGCATCAATGCTCTTTGTGAAAGCGGAGGAGCTATCCGACACGTTCCTTACCGAAACAGCAAGCTCACACGATTACTCAAATTTGCCCTTGGAGGAAACTGTAAGACTGTTATGATTGTCTGCGTGGCTCCCACTTCCAATCATTTCGACGATACACACAATACTCTTATATACGCCGAACGAGCTACGAAAATCAAGACAAAGGTCGTCACACGAAATGTCGTCAACGTTGATAGGCACGTCGGGCGCTATGTCGAAGCCATCAACCGACTTAACGCGGAAGTCGCCGAGTTGAAGGCCAAACTAGCGGGGAAGAATAGTACGGAGAACGAAGTAGTGAAGAGAAAGAGGCTAGAGGCATCCGCAGAAGTTGAACGAGCCAAGAACGATTTGAAGGTCAAAGTCGAACAAACGAAGGCTTCTATAGTAGATGGGGCTGCTTGCTCTGGAAGACTTTCTGTCGCTAAAGCAAAGCTCGGAGCCATTCGCTCTCGTCTGGCAAAAATATCTATCCTAGAGTCATCGAGCCCCTCTCCTCTATCTGCAGATTTAGAAGCAGAGCGTTCATTCCTCGAAGCGCTAGCCGGTCCAGAAGAACAAGCACTTCGCACAGACTCCGTTCTGAATACACGAATCCACCGTTCATCAAACGCCAACGCGATGTTCGATGCCACCATGCGCGCCGTATCGGAGAGGAGGTCTGACAAGTTGGACGAGGTTAGTATAGAGAATGTAAAGCTCGACGCAGCGTGCAGGAAGGCGGAGATGGACAAGCTGAAAGCAGAGGAAGAACGCAACGTGTTAGCAAACGCTGTCGACGAGGTTGCGCAGGTCATGGTTGGCCTCATTGGCATGCTAGGGAGATGCAATGCGATGGTTGGAGAGTCTTCTCGTTTGCTGCAAACGCCTGGGGATGATGGTGATGTACATGGCGCTACCCAAAATGTTTCTGCAATGCTCCTCAAATTGAAAGAGAAGAACGACGATGCTTTCCAAAAACTCATCGGACACTCCACAGAGAACTATAGCAATTCCTCGGACAATTTCAGAGGTTATGGCATGTCGTTCACTCGTAGGATTAGCTCAGGTCCAGCAGCGATGCAAACAACCACGAAAGCTGGATCGCGACGATCATCTACGCATGGGGCTTCCTCATCATTTTCATTATCATCTCCTGGACGGCATAAAACTCCTCGAAGGTCTCTGCGTTCCAGTTTGGCAGCACAACCTTACAGGCGGACGTCAGACAAGGAACGACGGGGACTGAAGACTTCAAAAAATGTACATTGGAGGGACGAGACCGGCCAAGGAGATCTCGATGACAGTGGTTTGAAGACTGTCCCGGCAATCGCACTTACCGTTATACCGGCCAGTCCTTTGGTCGATAACCAGTCTAGTACTTCCTCCACTTCGAGCTTTAAAGCATCCCCTCATCGCAGCTCATCTCTGGGCGGAGGTTCAGAAAGTGAATGGGAGGATGACAATGAAAAAACCGATGAAAACGTCAGCGTCAATCTCTCCATGTCGCTACCTGCATCCAGCCGCGACTCGATGTCTTCAAGTTCAGCAGTGCCCCGTTTATATGGCTCATTGGGAAAGCGGCCACGGCCGAACCGCTTGGACCCTAGTTTCCTCAGGTCCAAGCTTAGGACACCTGCATTAGGCAGTCTAGCAGAGGATGATGAGAACACTCAGAACGGGTCTCCGAGACGTACATCGCAGCCTCTTGGAGATCGCAGTTTGAATTCACTAGACAATGAATTTAATATGAACGAAAGTAGCTCGAAAGCTTACCACGGTAGCCCAAGCAAACGAATGCCCGCCACTCCGAGGTCGGCGATGATGAAGAGCAGGAGACGGTCTAATCTTGGAGTGAGAAGCGAGAAGTCAAGAAGACGGTCGAGTTTGATCCCGCAACTATCTCCTCCTGGCGGAGAGAGCAACAAGCCGAGGAGAATCATTCTTGCAAGCCCGGGGAAAAGGCCAAAGCGACTTTCGATATCCCGCAACTCTGGTGTGTCGTCCTTCAGATTGAAGCCATCCTTGCCCAATCTACCGCTAGCAGACACCAGTGCGGATATCAGCATGTCCAGGTTGAAGCCGACTTGGAGATAAAGTTGAGTATTTATGTGTGATGTCGTTCCATTTTTGTCTACTCTATGTATGACCTCCATGACTTTCGTTGATTTACGCTATCCTTCTCAGCCGTCCTTGTACATTATTCTGTTTCGTCATTGACATTTTAAACATTATTTCCATGTAAATCTTCGTATGGCACGTCCTCATCATTCGCGATTGAATCGTATATACCCGGTCTTATTTCACGACCATAGAAGTACATGGACAAGAAACTAAATGTATGTTTGATTTCTTCTCAAAATTCAAACAATGCTATGGGAATCGTGCTCATTCATCATGCAGCAGATAATTCGTGTCGCCGTTAAAGCAAGGACGCTTTACCTCGTCAGATGCACAAGAGGCGATCTCACTTATACATACTTAGCTTGGAGACCAAGCCCACTAGGAGACAAAACCTCGCTATTGCCCTCATAGAGGGACAGTTTCTGGTCTAATACATACTGTGATAGATTCTGATCAGCATACATATACTTACCTTTGGAGCCAATTCTACGAGGCGGGCCCTGAACAAACCAGTGGACTGCGCGCTGGCTCTGGTACGCAAGGGGAACGGGTCAAACGAGGGAATAATCAACGAACACCCCAACCCCAACCCCAATCGTGAGCTGATAAGCATGGGGAAAAGGGACGGTGGGTGGGGTCCAAATTTCTCGGACATGCAAAGAACATGAGTGAAGGGAATGCTTGCTGCGCACCTAGATGCTTGCAGCAAACAAGCAAGAGATAATATTCTCGTGCACCGCGATTCCAAGATTGCTCCTCGCCACTGATGTTCCCTTGTCTTATCTGACACTTATGCTAGCCGCACGCCAACTCACGTAGCCTCATAATCCGCAAATGGTCTTATCCATGTCTGAAATCAGGAGGAAAGTAAACAACGACCTTAGTAAGGCAGAAGACATGATGAACTGTAGACCGGAAACCGCCCCTCTATGAGGGCGAAACCTCGATAGAGGGACCGGAATATCTGAGTTTAAATTGGCAGGAACTGCGTTATCATTTTTAGAACGTTCTGGAATGCTGATTAATAGCCTTTTTTGGTAATTGACTTTTGGAGATATTCTAATTGGGGAATTGGCCACGAACCTATTCATTTACTGAAAGTCATGATTTGCGAGAAATTGCAAGATGTCTCCGACTCTACAGAGCTCTATACCTCATGACTTCAGTATTTTATATCTATGTTACTATCACTGTTTGATAATCTCTACTATAATAAAGCCTATGAGCACCAACATCCTGGAGAATTAATTGGATGAGAAGGTATCACTTACTAAGGATAGTGAAGGTTTTTTCTCTCTGTTTGCCTACCCTACATTGTATCTACATATTCAGGCATGTACTCTTGGCCTACAAGCTCCTACAAGTATTCCTGAAGTATTTCAATGTTCAAATTGCATTCCAACTCATTCCACTGACTGAGGATCAATTATCTCGTAGCCTTTTTCCTCAAATGGATTATCTCCGAAAGTCAGTTACCAAAAAAGGCTATTAATAAGCAGTCCAGAACATTCTAAAAATGATAACGCAGTTCCTGCCAATTTAAACTCAGATCTTCCAAGCCCTCTATCGAGGTTCCGCCCCGCAGGCGAACTTTAATCAAATTTTTTGATTATTCTCTTAGAGGGCTTGGTCACCAAGCTAGATGAACTGCAGTCACTGGAGGTTCATCGAGAATAAAGCTACATTGAGCAATGAGAACAACTTGTATAATCATATGACACGTTTGACTTCGAAGAAGGACTGTAAGATTAAAGAGTTTGAGAGTATACTTACGAATAACGAAGTTACTAGTCACCTTCAGATAATAAACTTGCCAACCGACGACAGCAAATAGAACTACGGCTTGTAGGACAGACCACCATTTCACCCGATCGTTAGTAGATTCGGCGGTATTCCTATGTGTCTTCTCGCGAACAACGATATATTCTTGTTCATCTTTCACAGCCGCGAGGCCGTGCGCAAGAAGTCGAATTTCGCGTTCGATAGGCGCGACAACATCTACGTTTTCCGTAAACAATATATATGCGAGCGCTGCACGAGATTCGCACCATCTTCACCAACATAAATTATACCGTGAACGTTGAAGCTGCGGGGAACGACATTTGGCTTATGTTTGGAAGTATAGCGTTGATTGGACGTACCTGACGATTTTGTCGGCAATAGCACTCATTTGATTGGAAAAGCAATACTCAAATCGACCATTCTTCTCTGCGGTAATGGAAAGAGTTCCAGTCGATTGCTTTACCTGCTTTCCGAGCAGTCTTCCCTCTGGATCTGCCAGCTATCGCGTGCTCAGGCGTTAATACCAGTACATCCTTAAGGAATGTACACTCACCCAAAAGTCAATGTCCAGATGACCTCCTCCCCCCACTTGATACGTTACAGTCATCTGGTAGTTGTTCAGAAGCAGGCTGGTGACGAACCACAGTAGAACTTGCCTTGTCTTGTTTATGTAAATCTTCGAAGAAACATTCCTTCTTTCCAGCAGGGACATCTATCATATGCCCATACGCGGCATACTGGAAAACAAGCAATAGCGCCAGCCAGCCTGCAATTAGTCTCTGTAAAAAGGAAGGTGGCATCGAGGTTTGAAGTACTTCGATTCTGAAATGGCAATGCATTCGGTTCTACATAGCCACCCGGCTATTGCCGTTACGTGACGCGTGAGCCAAGTAAGTTCTTCGCATCCTTTCGCATCTCAATTTTAGGTCGTTTTTCTCTTTGCTCTGTCTCTCACGCTCATCATGGAAAACACTGAACCACTCGCCCCAAGAGTAAGTCTCTTTCTTCTTTAAAATGGTTCAACTTCTATCGGTCTTCATATCATTTTTATCTTGATAATGTACTTAATTTCAGCAGGAAGAAGAGGCCGATGTCCACTTCGAACCCGTCATCAAGCTTACCGAGCAGATAGACACCAAAACCCACGAAGAGGATGAACAAGTTCTCTTCAAGATGTATGTCTAATTCCTACCCGATCACTTCCATCGACTCAAATCTCTCCACGATCAGGCGTGCTAAATTGTTCCGATTCGACGCTGCTTCGTCCGAGTGGAAAGAAAGAGGTACTGGAGATGTTCGTCTTCTAGCGCACAAAGAGACAAAGAAGGTTCGACTTGTAATGAGACGCGACAAAACTTTGAAGGTCTGCGCAAATCACTCCAGTGCGTGCCTTTTTTTTTCTTGTATCGAAGAAGGTTGTCATTTCCATCGATTAACGTAGTTTCTGCCGACATGCGTCTGCAACCCAACATTGGATCCGATCGATCCTGGGTTTGGAAGGTTGCTGCTGATTACTCTGAAACCCCACCGACGTCGGAGACGCTTGCTATCCGATTTGCTAACTCGGAAAGTTAGTCGGCCTGGTTCTTCATCTTATCTTCATCATCTTACAGAATTTTAGATGCTCATGAATTTAAGAAAGAGTTCGAAGCTGCTCAGAAGACGAATGTTGCTCTAAGTGGTGGTGCCCCTGCAGAAGCATCTCTTGTCGAAGAGAAGAAGGATGAAGCGGAGAAGGAGAAGGTTGATGAAGAAGAAAAGAAAGACGAAACCAAAGACGAAAAGAAGGAAGAAGAGAAGTAGACCATTTGGATTCTGGATCCTGTATTTCCCGTTATTAAACTCGTCTCATGGAAATCCACCTCTCGCATATTCTCTAATATAACAGTCCAGTATTTCAGGTAAATGTTCTACAGTAATCCTGGAACACACTACAGTTCGTGTTCGTAGGCAGTTCGCGTACCTTACAACTTGCGCTTTTCATATGCGGTTTCTTCTGAAGCCCACGCTTCCCAGAATGTTGTAGGACTTCCATCGTTTTCGCGCCAGTATTGCGCAGGTGCTTCACCTCTAACAACCCGTTCTGTGATCAGGACACCCTGGACGTCCTGAAAGCTCGTCAAGAGATATAATGGATCATCAATATTGCATACTCACTGATCCCCTGTGGCAAAAATGTAAGTATATGGGGAACAGAAATCTGAACAGAAAACTTACGGGACCTCGTACATAGATTCTAGTAGTAGTGCTTCCTGCAGCAAAGATAGGTGTAAGAATATTTGGTCAGAATAAACTGAATGCTGACCATAATTCCTCTCAGCCCTCGTGCCCCTCCCCCTCGTTCATATGCTTGTCTACATATCTCATCATTAGCGGCACTAGTAAACCGGATTTCCACATTGGAGTATTGAAACAATGCTTTATACTGTGATAAGAGAGATCCTTTGACACCAGTCAATATTTTTAATAAATCGGGTATCGTGAGTGGTGCGAGAGTTGTGATTGAAGGCAGACGAGAGATAAACTCCGGTATGAATCTGAAATATTTGATCAAGAGAGGTATAAGCATGGTATGCACCCACTCACCCATACTTGACTAAATCTAACACACACGAAACAATAGTGAGAGATCTGTGCGTCGAAGGCTTTGACAAGGAGGTCACTTACCCGCAGGATCAACGCTTTCCAGAACATGATCCGATGTCTTTTGGTTTGGCGTAAAAAACAAAGGACTACGATTAAGACCCGACGACTTGGTAGAGAACCCTATTGCTGAATGCTATCTCTAAAAATGAGCATCATAGCTTGAAAACTGAGATTGATTGACGTACTCCCTTAGACAAGCGTTGCCGAATAATACTATCCAATCCTACGAACGCCCCGCTGACGATGAATAAAACATTGGACGTGTCGATGTAATACACATCCGGTTTGGCTAAAGATTTGCGACATGAACCGAGCATCGCACATTTAAAAAGAGTGAAGTCGGACTAACGAGCGGCAGCAACATTGGGAGCACGATGTCCACTTCGAGAGTGGCCTTCTCCACCTGGAAGTGAGGGAGGTTCGGATTGGCTTCCTTTGGCTTGAACGGACACAATTGTGCCTTCCAACATACGAAGTAAGGCTTGTTGAACACCTTCTCCCGAAACGTCTCGCGAACTTTCAATTCCGGATCCAGATTTACGAGCAATCTTATCGATTTCGTCGATATATACAATGCCCGTGCTTTATAGTTCTGTCAGTCAGACTGCCTGGTAGTAACTGTACATAGAGAAACGGACCTGGCCCGGTAAGGATCCCATTGAGCATCTTGCAGCTAAAAGCTGAGTTAGTGCTTGCTCTGTCCTATGCATACCAATTGGCATACCAATCGCTGTATGGCCATTTCCACATCCTCTCCAACATCTTGCAGAATATTTCAATGAAGGTACAGATAAATTTCGATGAATGGATACCCACATCCTGCCTGTAAAGTTGTCAAAGTTAAATAGCCAAGGACGAGGCAAAATATGCACCTGAGTGAAGGACGTTGCGTCGCTAACAGCAAATGGAACGTCTAGCACCCTAGCTAAAGTCTTGGCTAGTAGGGTCTTCCCTGTGATGATCTGAGTCGTGCACAACTTGAAAATAGATTGGATATTTATACCAGAACCAGTCGGACCGCTGTTGAATGACGTTGAGTTAACGATTATACAGGTGGTTTGGAACATACATCACTAGTACATTGGATTTCTCGAATAGAGGGAAGGCCGAGGGAAGTAATGGGGAAGATAATGGTTGTTGATATCGTAAAGGTCGAATTTTAGCAGATTGAACCCCTGTATTTGCTGAGACTTGCTCAGATCAATCACGGTTTACTTGAAAATTGAAACAATCTACGCACAATCGTCTGGCGTCTGTCCCAGCTCAGATTGAGAACGTTGCTGTTGCAACATGGCTTCATTTGCAAAAACACGACTGTAGTGATTGTAAACCCTGAGATTCAGATTGAAATTTGGTTACCGGATATGATGACCACGAAACAGACATACGCGACCGACAAAACCTTCTTAGCATGTTCCTGACCTACGATGTAGTGGTTCAGATACTCAACTAACTATGACGGTAGTGATTGAGCAATCCAGGCGCAGAACAACAAGTTTCGGTTTTACCTGGCGAGGTGTCGCCAATTTGAAGGAAGGGACTTTGGTGGCCGGATCGTGGCCAACGGGACCATTGTAACTTGGTTGAGTTCGTACATTACGTGTCGAAGGGCGCACCATGTACCATGTTCGGGGAAAGCTTCGCCAGGTCATGACCGCTGGTAAAAACGGAGACCAGCTCTAGGATTCAGGAAAACTGTTCGCTCGTAGGGCTCGTAGTGGAATTCGACAGTGACACATGAGAAAATCAAACGTCAGGTGCGGCCCGAGAATAAGAACTTTCTTCTGAACGCTCACCGTTCGCTATGGGAAGGCACTCTTCTCACTCTATATCGCCTCATAGAAGGTCCAATCGCGATCGCGTCAGGGAGGGGACTGACCGAGACAGGGAGTCGAGAACAGAATATCGAGAAGAAGACCGTAAACGTTACCGCAGCAGAAGCCGTGACCGAGATGAGGTTAAGAAGGACTACACATCTTCAAGGAGAGACAAGGACTCAAGCAAACATAATGAGAGGGATAGAAGCTTTAGTCGAGACCGAGATAAGAAAAGGTATCTTTACTTATTATCCATGTTACCTTCACATCTCAATGTACACTTTATATTTTAGGCGGAAGCGCGACAAGTCGGAGGAGCGTAAAGCTAGGAAAGCAGAAAAGAAACGTATAAAAGAGGAGGAAGAAGCTCGCCAAATCGCCGAACTTAGTGTTTACAGCGCAACCGACAATCCATTTCACGATGTCAACCTTGGCCAACAATTTCGCTGGCACAAGAAGAATGAAAAGGAACGCAAGCAGGGTCTCTCTCTTGCCGAGGCTCAGCGGAAAGACGCTATCCGGAAACAGGAAGCGAAAGAGGAACTGGAACGGTTAAACAAGCGTCGTGCCGAACGAGAGGTGGAACAGAGACTACGAGAGGAAGAGGAGATGAGAATGCAGCGTTTGCAGGAATCTGCCCAAATGTCGGACTGGCTGTCCAAGGAGGGCGACTTCCAATTAGAGCAGGAGCGATCGCGAGCTGCAATCAGGATCAAAGAGAAGAGAGCAAAAGCTGTGGATTTCTTGGCTCTGAATCTCAAGTATGTCACTCTGGATGATGATAGCGAGGACGAAGAAGAGGATGCAGGCCTTGAAATTGATTTGGATGAGCCTTACAACATTCTGGATGTAGGTGACACATGAATTCGACGAGAAACCAATTAATGCATTGATTACAGAACCTGAACAACGAACAAGTCGAAGAACTTCACGATGATATTGAACGATATATGACTTTGGAACAAAACGATACTAATATCAATTTTTGGACGGTATGTATAAGACGGGTCGTTCTTGGATTCTACCTAATCCCTCTTGATAGAACATGATGGTCGTATGCAAGGATCGACTGGACAGTATCAAATCAGGCCAACGAATGGGTATTGAAGCTGCCAAAGTGGTTGAGAACGACATCGCAGCTCTACTTTCAGGAAAAACTTACAATGAGCTTGCCTCGCTCCAGCGTCAGATACAGAATAAACTTACTAGTGGAGAGCCGGTCGATACAGATTATTGGGAAGCTTTACTCAAAAAAATATTGGTATGGAAAGCCAAGGTTTGTATTTTATCTTCCATTCGCTTGTATCTTTGATGCGAGGCCCCCCATTTATCAAAGGCCAATCTGAAGAGTTTGCACGAGGTAGTAGTGCGTAATCGCCTTGAACAATTACGCAAACGTCAAAGAGACGAAGCTCTGCTAGCCCAAGAAGAATTACTGGCAGGGGTCGCCAAAACTGCTTCATCCGGTCCTGTTCCCATCCCAGAACCCACGGTCACATTGGAACCCGAGACGGCTTTGATCGAGCCCTATGATCGTTCTATGAGCCCCACTTTGATCGATATCACCAAGCTACCTACTGAAGAGCGGCAAATTGATATCTTCACTGTAGATGAAGACCGGCGTGCCCTTGTGAGTCTATAAAAAACGGCAAGTTAGTTAATCTTCTTCCTGACCCTCTATCCAGATGAAGCTGCGCAGGACAGTAGCCGCGTCTCGCTTTGTTCCCAAACTTACCCAACCCGAACCGGAAACGCAGGACGAAGAAGCGATTGCCAGTGGTGCGGATATGGCATCTGAGGCTCTTTACCGAGCCGAAGCTGAGCGAGAGCTTGATGAGGAAGAAGAATTGTTCAATATGGAAGAAAATATTGCCAATCCAACCTCATACAACTGGGAAGACAAATACAGGCCACGAAAGCCGCGTTATTTCAACCGTGTTCATACTGGGTATGAATGGAACAAATATAATCAGACGCATTACGAGTGGGTTCCTCTCCTCTGCCTTCTGCAATGCATGTGAAGGATTGACATTGGTCGTAACAGTACGGACAATCCTCCCCCAAAAGTTGTACAAGGATATAAAGTATGTGTTGATAATTCATGGTATCTTTCGGGAATTCACCAGGATTCACCTTCCTGTAGTTCAACGTTTTCTATCCCGACCTCATCGACAAATCCAAGGCACCCACCTATAAAATTGTCAAAGAACCTGGTAACGATGAAACAGTCCTACTGCTTTTCAGCGCAGGTCCTCCTTACGAGGATATTGCATTTCGTATTGTCAACCGTGAATGGGAGTTCTCTCATAAACGGTGCGCTCTTCACATCTTGCATCTACCATACTCTTAATTAACTCCTTTCACAGTGGATTTCGTAGCTCCTTCGATCGAGGCTGTTTATCACTTTGGTTCAATTTCCGTCGTAACGTGCGTATTCGATGTCTACCCTGTTCTTCTCATTGGTTCAATTCGTATCTTCCAGTTCTACCGCAAGTAGAGAGGTCCGTGCATTAGTCACCCAAGTGATTTGACTACATTGAATTGTATGTATGTATGTGATTCTTTACATAATTTCCATTTGACCCTGGAACCACGCGTCTTTAAGCCACAGAACAATGGTCTCTTTTATGCCTCGTTGTCCATCTTGCTTTCTTTCTATAATCAGTATGATGCGCTAAGACCCGTCTTAAACTGGCTGTTCTGTGACGATTCGCTTCGTGGCCTAATACATGGCCACAATGGCCCAAGCTGTGGTTTCGTCTAAATCATGAGCCCTACTTTATAAAGCGCTCCCTCACTGGCTTGCCCTTGCCTACTAACTGCAAATGTCTTGCCTTGAGATTTCATACTCTAGCATTCCCTTGTCGGGTTACCACTCTCAGCATCATATAGAACCTCGAACAAAAATATCCATATTTTCTCTCCTCAATCCTGAGCCTATACAAACATTTCCCGAAGTCGACACACCTTCCGCCGTATCACAGACTCCTCCTTCTCCCGTAACGTCTTACAGAGACTGTAGGGTTCTCGACCTCAGTGGTTATGAACGCAAAGATCACACGCGTAGGATCAGTAAGTCCTACAGGAAATCTCCTTATCCCACTCAACACGAACGTGCCCGTCAAAGCCGTCGCACCTCTGCCCGCCTCGCTGGTACTACCACTATCATAGCCGGTAAACGCCTGGGCGAGTCCTCGAAAGGCGTTTGGATCTCTCTTGATACACACCTGAACAACGCCGAGTTAGAAAGGGAAGCTCGTCGATGCAGAGCTGAATGGCGGAAGGACCAGGCTAAGCGAGTGGAAGCTCCTAGACCTGCTCACCACTCACAACCGGAAATTAAAGCCCTAGCGCTGTGGTTAGCTGATGTTCTGTGTGACACGTTTTTGGACGAGCAAACAGGTTAAGTGATCTGTATCTCCGATATTAAATCGTATCTTACATCTCCTTTCAGAATCTGGGACGTGTGTGTTGAAAGAACTTGGGGCAGAGATTAAATCTCTTTTGAGCTCGTGTATCAACCCATCTACCTCTACCCTCTTTCTCGCTCTATTCTACATGAGAAAGCTATTTTCGGATCACCTTCATCTTCGCGGATATTCCGCTCTTCACCGTGCTCAAGTTCTTTTCAGAGCATTTTGCCTCGCACTCATGTTGGCATTTAAATGGCTTGATGACTATACGCATAGTGTTCGAACCAATGTTGCCGAAACAGACGAGGAGTTCTGGAGACAAAAGCGCGCAAATCCTAAGAAGTATCGAACTTGCTGGTCAGTGTTGATGGTTCACGAAAATTCTACTCAATGCTGAAATTCTGAGTCAGGGCAGACTTCATGTCCATGTCAGTCAGTGAAGTCAAAAGTACTGAGCTTTGCGCTCTAACGTTGCTCGACTGGAATATCTCGGTGTCCACATCAGACTGGTTCTTCTGGCTTGAGGATTTGCGCATCCATACTATTGCGCCATCGGGAAGGTCCATATGCACGATCGTTGCTGCGCTTATTTATACCGCCCAGCTCGAGTTGCAGAGAAAATCTCCTGAGGCCCCGTTCTTGAACCCTTCTCGTCAAAGTTCACCGACCAGGTCTCTGGAGCCCCTACGCCGTTTAGAGAGTGCACTGCTTGTTGGAATTTCTACTGTTTCCTGGACTGTTCCTCCGGATGTCGCTCTGGAAGAAAGTCCAGTAGGGATCACAGATTCTGAACTTTGTCCCACGGTGGTCGTTACTTCTGCTCCTGTCCAGCTAAATCCCTGGCAGACATACCAGTTGAGTGCTTTAGAAGATTGCCTCCCCCCGTCCCCCCTATCGCAGAATCCCTACTATTGCCCAGCCGATTTCAATTCTATCCTTCCCTCTGCGCAGAACTCGATGCTACCTTCACATAATTCTACTTCAACGCCCATCTTTCTCGATCCTTGGCGTGTTTATGATTTCAAAAGTTCAGTGTATCTGTAATCTAGCTACTGTACATGTAAAAACAATCCTTTGATACCCTTAGCCCATTACCATAAACAAGCATCCGACCAATGTCGGAGCACCGGAAACGAGTTCGGGGGTGCTCGAATGTAATGTATGTGATGTTATTTCGATGGTGTTCGATTGACCAACGAGTGACTTGTGAGTGACTAAGGCTCACGTGTGATAGCGCAAAAGGATGTCGCAAAGGCTTCTTTCTCTCCTTACATCCACCGTCAATACTTACTCACTATACTATCTAACGAATTCGACAACCATGAGCAATCTGCCTCTTTCCGCGAATATGGACGTTGACGAAACGGCCATCGATGAAGGTTTATACTCACGTCAACTGTACGTCGATTTTTTGGTGAACTTATGTGCTCGATCTGATTATCCAACGTCTTCAGCTACGTGCTGGGGCACGAAGGTATGCTTCTGGTACTTGCATGAGTCGGGTCTAACCCTTGATCTAGCTATGAAAAGAATGGCAGTCTCAAATGTTCTAATAATCGGAATGCAGGGTCTAGGTGTCGAAATAGGTCGCGTCTTCCAACACATCCTATATCGCAAGCTACTCATCTTATTACAGCAAAGGACCTTGTTCTTGCCGGTGTCAAGTCTGTCACTGTATACGATCCAGAGCCGGTCAAGATTGAGGATCTGAGTTCTCAGGTCAGAATGAGGTCTAATGTGACGCGATCGAACTCACGGTCTTTCAGTTTTTCTTACGCGAAGAAGATGTAGGTAGACCCCGTGCAGAAGTCACAGTTCCTCGATTGGCAGAATTGAACGCGTATGTGCCGGTGCGCAACCTTGGAGGACAAGCGGGGCAGGAAATCACTGTAGATCTTGTGAGGGGTTTCCAGGTACGTTCAATATGTCAAAGCGCAAGTGATGTGGCCTACCTCTGGCTTTGTAGGTGGTCGTTGTGTGCAATGCACCATACGCCAAGCAGCTCGAAATAAACGACTGGACTCATCAGAATAATGTGCCTTTCATTGCCACTGAAACACGCGGTCTGTTTGGGTAAGCTTGTTCAAAATTGTTCCTTTGTGTGACGTAGTAAAAATTTCTAGCTATGTTTTCAATGATTTCGGCGCCAAGTTTACCTGTGTCGATCCGACTGGAGAGCAGCCTTTGTCAGGTATGATCGTGTCCATTGACAAGGTTCGTCGTTAATTTCATGCATGATTGCTCGGTCTAACTTCAATTTAGGACCAAGAAGGAATTGTTACATGCCTTGACGAAACACGACACGGTCTTGAGGATGGTGATTTTGTGACGTTCTCAGAAGTGCAAGGAATGACAGAACTCAATGGTTGCGAGCCACGCAAGATCTCAGTCAAGGGTCCCTACACGTTCGCAATTGGTGATACAACGGGACTCGGAGACTATGTACGAGGCGGCGTCTTCACTCAAGTCAAAATGCCTAAAATCATTGAATTTGTGCGCCTTACACTTGACAATACGTTTCTTTCATTGACTCCGCATTCCAGAAATCGCTTAGGGAGTCTCTTCAATCCCCAGAATTCTTTATCACCGACTTTGCCAAATTTGACCGTCCTAGTACGCTTCACGCAGGTTTCCAGGCGCTTTCTGAGTTTCACGCTCAACATAAACGGTTCCCCAAACCTCGTAATGCGCATGACGCTGACGCAGTTGTAGCTATTGCGAAGAAACTTAACGCTGACGCTGACGAAAATATTGTTACTCAACTTGCCTTTCAGGCGACTGGCGACCTTTCACCAGTAATTGCGGTCATTGGTGCATTTGTAGCACAAGAGGCTCTCAAGGCATGCTCTGCAAAATTCCACCCCATGCAGCAGCACATGTATTTTGATTCCCTCGAATCGCTTCCCGACGTCCTCCCCTCAGAAGCCGAATGTCAGCCTACCGGTTCCCGTTACGATGGACAGGTCGCTGTCTTTGGTAAGACTTTCCAGGAGAAGATCTCCAACCATCGTCAGTTTTTGGTTGGCTCCGGTGCTATCGGTTGCGAGATGCTAAAAAATTGGAGCATGATGGGACTCGCAAGTGGACCTAAAGGGGCGATACAAGTTACTGATCTTGATACCATTGAGAAGAGTAATCTCAACAGACAATTCTTGTTCAGACCGAAGGATCTTGGTCGGTTCAAGGCTGAAGTCGCAGCTACGGTAGTTTCAGACATGAACAAGGATTTAGCTGGGAAAATAACGACAAGGCAAGACGCAGTGGGACCTGACACAGAAGGTGCAATTTCCCCTAAACTCCCAGTCATAGATTCAAATAATTGTTTACCTTCTTATAGACATTTATAATGAGGATTTCTTCAACAACGTCGACGGCGTTACAAATGCTTTAGACAATGTCAAAGCCCGTAAGTTTCACGCACCGATCTCGAGCACAACCTTCTGAAATCCCCGTTCAGGTCTATACATGGATCAACGATGTGTTTTCTATGAAAAACCCTTAATAGACTCTGGCACTCTTGGAACAAAAGGCAACGTTCAAGTCGTGGTTCCACACCTAACGGAATCCTATGCCTCCTCGCAAGACCCCCCGGAGAAAGAAACACCTTCTTGCACAATCAAAAACTTTCCCAATGCCATCGCCCACACCATTGAGGTATGTGAGATCTGTTACCGTCCTGCTTATGATTGGTTGAACTGATCTTATGCAGTGGAGTCGAACTGCATTTGATGACCTTTTTGTGAGGCCTGCTCAGGCTGTCAACTCTTTCCTCTCTGAGCCCGACTATCTTGAAAAGACTCTCAAATATTCTGGACAACAGAAGGAGCAAATAGAGCAGCTTGTTTCGTTTCTGGTTACGAACAAGCCTTTGACCTTTGAAGAGTGCATTGTCTGGGCTCGCTTACAGTTTGAGGAGAAATATAACAATGAAATTCGACAATTGCTGTTCAGTTTACCAAAGGATGCTGTTGCAAGCAATGGTCAACCATTCTGGAGTGGGCCCAAACGAGCACCAGATCCTATCATCTTCAATTCGAACGACGTATGTGCTGAACCCGTATATATCTAAATCGTGATTTCTAAAATCTCTCTAGCCGCTTCACCTTTCTTATATCATTGCAGCTGCGAATCTCCATGCTTACAACTACGGTCTCAAGGGCGAGACAGACTCCAATGTCTACCGAAAAGTAGCAGACTCTGTCATCGTCCCTGAGTTCACTCCAAAAAGTGGTGTAAAGGTCCAGATCAACGACAATGACCCCGTTGCACAGAACGAAACTTCTGAGAGCGGTATGTCTTCCCTATTCTATGTCCTCGTTTATAAATTTCATTCTCTTGTTTAGACCATCTTGCGGAACTCACTGCCAAGCTTCCCGTACCATCCTCTTTGGCTGGGTACCGCCTAAATCCAGTGGAATTCGAGAAAGACGATGACACGAATCATCATATTGACTTTATTACTGCCGCCTCTAATCTTCGGGCTACAAATTACAGTATAAATCTTGCGGACAGACATACAACAAAGCAGATTGCTGGAAAGATTATTCCTGCTATTGCGACCACCACCTCACTGGTAACTGGTCTTGCCTGCCTCGAGCTTTACAAGGTGTGTACTTTTATCATCTTCCCGCTATACATAATCATTCTTGTAGATCATTGACGGCAAAAGGAAACTTGAGAGTTACAAGAACGGATTTGTGAACATTGCTCTACCATTTTTTGGATTCTCAGAGCCTATTGCGGCTCCCAAACACAAGTATGGAGCCACTGAGTGGACACTTTGGGACCGTTTCACGTTCAAGAGCGACCCGACACTAAAGGAGATTATCGATTGGTTCCATAGTGAACACAAGCTCGACGTTGCAATGGTAAGTTCAGGCGTGAGCATGCTCTGGAGCTCATTTGTTGGAAAGAAGAAGGTATGCATAGCCAAGTACACTCGAACCTCGATGGCCTAACCATAATATTTGATAGAGCGAGGAGCGTTTGCCGATGAAGTTCAGCAAACTTGTTGAACATGTTAGTAGGAAACCCGTCTCTCCTCACATCAAAACCCTCACCGTCGAGGTCATGGTCATGGATGAGGAAGGGGAAGATGTTGAGGTAAAAAATTGACATCCTTCATTTGTTCACACTGGGGGGTAGGCTTACCATCTTTTTGCAGGTTCCTTTCATCATTGTCGGCATCTGAGGATATCTATGTAAACCACTTTCTTTTGTATAATTAGACTTCCAGGACACTGAATTCGTAACTATAAGAAGCAGTCTGCCTCAGTCTGACGGGAAGTCGTGAATGAAGTCAAATTTCATTTGCGTCGTGTTGACGTGCCAGCCTGCACCTGCATTTTTCATACATACCTTAATAGATATTGATCCTGTCTCAAAATAACTCAAAATACATACTTGAGACTCTGTTGGACGTCGTGCAATGCCACTAGCCTAAGGGGGAAGTGAGCAGGACATTAGGAACATTAGCAATGCACTTTTTGTGGGTAGATAGATTGAGATCAATAAAAGTCCAAAGGGTGCCTCAGAGAGATGGGGTATGGACCAGTGTAATAGGACATTCACAGTAGTTCCGTTGAATGGGTCTAAAGGTAGTTGGAAATGGTCGAATAAAAGTCCTCCTGTATTATATACATGTCATGTCTATTTCAGTGAAGTTTCGACCGGTCTCAACGCTTGTTTACAAGAGATCGCTTGCAGTATACTTTGATAGCGGAGTAGAAGGAACGAAATGTCATGTAAGCGGATCGATAGCAACTGGTATGGAACTAAAGGGAAAGTTAGTACCGGGTTGGTACCCTCGAGGGTGAACTATCACTATCAACATCGTACAATGCGTACAGTTAAACAAGAACAAAGCGACAGTAGAGCGAACGAGATAGTAAGTGTTTTGTATGTTCTTTTTTGTTTCCAGAATGTCCCCAGGTAAAATCGTGAAATAGGGGATTATGTTTCGAAGAAGTTATCCGAATGATAAAAAGCCCATCATGACCACATTAGAATGGAATAAATACCAGGAGGTAGAGTGGGGCAGAACTGGAATGGGAAGATTAGAGGAAGAAAACAAAAGCGTCTTGTGAGATTATGTCGGGCTTTCACTGCTAGAGAGCCTCTGCATAATACTCCCGGCTTCACCGAGGCAATATCAGAGGGAAGATGTGAAGTGACCATCAGAAGACAAACAAACAGTACAAAGAAACAAACATAAGGGAATTGCCAATGGGTGATGATGAAGTCAGTATAACACAAAAGGTCGATTCGAATGGGAGACACAAATACACACCACCGAGGGGCGAGCAGAAATAGATCACCAAGACGCATTATGGCCACTAGGGGCCCGAACGAGAATTATGATATCGGAAATGGTGCTAAGACGAGGTCTAGAAGGAGCTGAAAATGCTGATGCTCCTGTTGAGCAGAGAGAGAAAGACGAATATGTACGGCGTTCAAATTCAAGTTCTCAACCAAGTGGATTGGTAGGTGACAGAGGGATGCGGCGCGAATGCCGGAGGGCCATAAGAGTGACGACCCGACAATCCCCAAGTCATATCTACATCTGCTTGTACAGGTGGCAACTCGTTGGGAGTCATGCGAAGGTCGCAGCACCTGTATTCAAATTGGGACTGTGAATATGAACGCGTATGATTATACGATTGTGATGTATCCTGGTCATGAGAGTAAGACTGCGAGCGGGAATGTGGCAATGCAAAGGGGAGCAGCAGCGGGGGAGGACAGGAATTAAACACTGAGTGCGCAGGATGCTGATGAGAAGTAAATTCAAGAAAATGCCCTGTTGTCGGTAGAGGTTTGGCAGTAGCAAAATGAACATTAGGAAGCCAAGGCTGAGACACATAGTTGAGTTCATGAGTTGACTGATACTGTGGAAGGCCCTGGTACGATGTTACGGGTACAAAAACACCAGGTGTCGGTTGCACCGCAAGGTAGCGTCCATGCGGACGATTGCTATCTCTGAGTATCGGTTCATCACCTGCAGGGCTCCACCTAGCAGGGGGAGGGAGCAGTTTTTCTGCAGATTTGTTGGTTTCCCAAATTTGGCGTTGGATAGTGAATGAATTTTCTATGCCGTGCGGGGCACCTGCTTCACTGACTCGTCGTTTTGGCATGTACTCCTCCCTCAAAGGGCCGTCCTCATCTAAGTCGATTTCAAGTACGTTGGCTTTGTGAGCCTGCTCTTTTTCCTGCTTCTCTCTGCGGCGCTCTTCGAGTCCAAGAAAGACAGCTCTGGGTTGCGGAGAGTCCGAATCGCAAGCCTTCGGCGCGTTGATGATCTCCTCAAGGGTAAGTTTGATTATGAGGTGTGGATTGGCGGAAGGACGAGATATGGGCTGAGGATGGGAAGGCGACGACAGAGAAAGATGATAGGACATGACGTGCAAAAGCCAATCAGACCAGTCAGCAGTGGAAATCGAAAGGTCGTAGGCGAATATATCAAGCGCTCGTGATTCCAATTCATTCAAGATTTTGATTGGGACGTTCGAGATGCTATGCCTTAGAATGGAACATGAATAAAAACCAAAAGAAACCGCAGAAATAAGCGTACCAAGTCTTGTTTGAGAACGTGTGATCGTCCAGCCATTTGTTGGCTAGCATGCACCCAAGGACAATTAATCGGAAAGGGGCGGTATTGTCCGTCACGTCTTGAGTAAGCCCGTGATTTTCACCAAGCAATACCATCCTAAAACGCAGTTCCTTCGTCTGATCGGCGGTCATACTTACTGTTCCGAAGGACACTGGTAATCTGACGATATACCACAGAGCAAGGAATATGGCTGACGGTTGAAGCAAGGTGGAAAGCAACAGTGAATGAATCGAAGTAGCGAGATAGCTCGGGGGAGCCACAGCATAAGCCTTGGGAGTGACAAGTCTGGTATAACATCAGTGAAACAAAAGGAAGAAGGATCAACAGTGATACTGACCTAACTTTAGCAATGGACGAGGGGATATTCGTGCCGGTAGTGCATGCTTTCCATACAAAATTAGCGATCCATTCAGAAAGAGGCTCGGAAAGCTTCCGATAGCCTGACGTAGCAGTGGGAGTCACCAATTCCGGAGCCGGGACAGACACTGGTAAGTCAGTAAAGGGCTGTGCAGCAGGATGCGAGCGATAGCATTGCAACTGACAAGTATCCTTCGCAGCGCCAGCAAGGGATGCATTGGAAACGTAAGAGCAGCTGAGAGCTGCCGATGTAGAGCTGACTGCTCGGTCGACGAAATCTCCAAAGGGAGTGACGGGCTCAATGGGACTAGAAGACACCTCATGTACGCTCCGGGATTCAGGAGAATCGTCTTCGAAAATGGGGGTGAATGCACTGCGATCTTGGTGGTCGTAGACATCTATCTCCATATTTGTGGCAATGGAACAGGCCTTATCGTTTGCACGCATGCCCGCAGTATCAAAGGGACCATGAGGTACCATTTCGATACTTGTTGCAGCGCCCTTAATGGTCGGCGCAATAGCACTAGGTTGAATATAGAAGGGCGGAGGGCACGCTTTAGCGCGAGATCCTTTAATAGCTGACGCGTTGTCCGCGGCAGCTAACCCTGTCTGAAAATCCTGTTCTGCAAAGGGATGAGAGTCATCCTCCCAGATTCTACGGGGCTTACTTCTCCTCCAAGAAGGCAAAGAGTTAATCCACTGCTCTCGAGTACCGAACGAGGGCGGAGGCCCAGTCGGTGACACAGGCAGAATGCCAGTCAAGTCCTGGAAAGAGTGATTGACGCCGTCGTCAGAGCAGTGTTGTTTGATGACGAGATGAGCGGGTTGTTTGGAATGATGAGGAACTGGAACTGGCATCTGCAAAGATTGAACAGACCAAGAAAACGACCTGGCTACACGAAACGACGTGAAGATGGTCGCTGACTCAGGTGTATTGTTCGTCGATTCTTCGGGGCAGAAGAGCCGAAAGGTCGTGATAGAAAGGTCGTAAAGATAGAAAAAACGAGCAGAGACCGGGATAGGGTAGACTGGAGAGACTACAAGTACTGGCTGACGCACAACAAAGGCGTGCCTTTTTGGAGAATCCGCTGTAGGAAAAAGTCGGTTACCGCTGGTCGCCTTGGAGCCACAGGCCGAAGATGATTATATTGCGACAGACAGCGAGATAAGGCAGCTCTTCTTCGACCAGGCCTAACTTTGAAGGGCGTTGGAAGTAGAAGAAGTGACCTGACAGAACTACTGACTGGTCTATCCGCCTTGCGTAGGGAGGGACGGAAAATAAGAAGCTAAGCCTATGCTCCCAATACTTTTTTTTTAGCATCACGTAAGCTCCCACGATCCCAAGCCGAAAATGACTCTCAACGTTGTATTACTTGTAATCGGAGAATGTCTTGTTTGAAACGTTTGTTACTACTTCATTGGAGTCCAAATCACTTTTTTGTCTCCTTTCGTCTCCCAAGTACAGAAAGTGGACAAACTCATCGGAAGATACATTGACCTGAGGCCCTTACCTTATCACATTTCTCTTTTGAAGGATCGATTGAATCTTCTGGTAACTTTGACTTTTCCTTCTCATCGATGAGATAATGTCCATGTATCTCAAATCGATGAGAGGTTCCTTCCCCATTTATGATGGATCATCTCTCATCTTTGATTCCCAAACATTACAAGATGCACTCATGCTCATCGCATCGCATGAAAGCGCAGTACTGGTTGTGCGCAGTCACATGCGGCCTCTGCGGCTCTTTGCGGGAAGGACGACGTTCCATCAGGTTCAATCGTCTCCAATGTACGGTGATATTACGATATCTAATAATACTTATGATGCTGCCGTGCACCCGAGTCTTCCGACTCTGGCCTCTGGGATACAATCTCACAGCCGACGTAGATCCATTGGAAACTTGAGAAAGACAAGATGGAATAAGATGGAATATCTATAACTTCAAGTTATAAGTGTCATTACCTGTGGCATCCGGTTTAAATATTCTCTTTCCCCTCCGGTGCCGCATTCATTATAGTTTTAATATAATGATTTCCATCGACTCAGGACCTGGGAAAAGCTGCTCGTCATGTTTATGTACTCTTGCCTTTTGGTCCATGCTCATTCTAAAATTGTAAAAGGTCTACTAGTAACTACTAGTAATCAGGAACAAACCCACTGGGCCACCTAGTATGTACCAGTATGTACCACTGGCATATTGTTCCAGCAAATTCTAGTGCTACTACCAGTAACAAGAAGTGCAATTGAGACCGACACAAAAGACCATGCGGGTCACATCTCGTAACGGATCATAACGAGATGTGACCTGATCCGAGAGAAGGCAGCAGAGCTGCCTTCTCAGAGGATAAGATAAGATGTGGCGATGAGAGCGGGCGCTTATCGCCTTTGAACCAAACTCTCATCGTCGAAATTCGTCTCGAAGCTCTTTTTTGTGATCTTCCTGTGCATATACGCGTTCTAGAGCCATGACACAACACCCCCCGCTTCTCCTCAGAACCTCGTCGTCTATCAGGGCTGATGATCGCCAACGCCGTACTCATATTCTCGGAATCATTCCGATTTTGAAAAAACTCAGCCTGGAGAGAAGATTGCAAAGGAACTATGACATTGAACGAGCTAACGAGGCGCGGCAGGAGAAGACTATTCTTTTTATTGAAAAGAAGGCTCCCACCAAGGGCTCTCCTTCAGCTTCACTTATTACCATTACGGAGGACGAATGGAATGACATCAGGACAACCCCGGCTATTTTTGAGCGTGTCAAACAGTGGATTCCCAGCTACATACTTGCGTGGATGACAAGGGCGAATGAGGTGGATAATCTGTCCAAAGGGAAGCGCATTCGGGACGTGCAGGAGGGCGATTCTCTGGAGAATGGGCCGGAGAAGAACCCTAGGCTCATGACCCCCATCATCGAGACTACGCCAGATCCGACCACCTCTCAGAATGTCGAACTCCCAGAATGCCTCTATAGAATTGGAAGGCTGCACAACTACCTTCCTCTTCCTCTCTTCACTGACAACAATCTCATTTTCATTCATTCCCACTCCTCGTCTTTTAAGACCTCAAAAACACTTCTTCCAGGGGACAAGGAACGTACTGAAGTGGTGGTCCTCAAGGACTTGCTGGATCGACTTAACATACGGGTGCCAGACGTAGAGAAAGCGGACGAAGACGAAGGTCTTTCGCTATATGAATTTCAGCTCGCCTCCAAGAATTACTTCGCCTTTGAACTCAGCCGTGACCCAGATGGTCAGGAGGGTACCCGCACAAACTGGACTCGACAACACTTTCTCTTTTTCAACAACCAACGTGACGCAGAGAAATACTACAGATTCTGGAAACCTCGCGAGTATCGTCTTCGGGAAGAACGCCGTCTGTACAATACCAAATTTGATCTCACTACTTATAACATGGCATGGAATCGCGTCGTCACCGATTACGAGAGGTCTTTAGAGGCAAAACCTAGACAGGCTCCTAACTTGTCCGCGGCTCCCTCCTCATCTAAGCCCTTTCCGAAAGGCAACAAGGGTGACTCCTTCGACCTCTGTTGCCTTGGATGTGGTAAGAAGGGGCACTCCGCTACAGACCATTCAAGTAAGCATGGCTCCCTCCTCTGGGCCAGGTGGATCAAAGGGGGTAAAAATTTCGTCCTCGGTCTCCCTCAGGGAGAAGATAAACGCATCTGCTATCAGTGGAATATACGAGGGAATTGCAAAACGAACAAGGGCTGTCAGGATGCGCATGTCTGCACATTCTGCGGAAGCGATGGGCACCACGCCTTCTCGTACACTTGTCGCTCCAGACCTAATTGAGGCATTCCTCAAACTTTCGATTCCGCCAACTCTTTCCTACTATGACTTTTCCGATGCTATACATTTTCGCTTACCACTTCCCAACACACATCCGGATTTTATTGAGCTATATGAGCGGGTTGTCACTCCTTACAATGCGGATGAATTCGAAAAAGCTCTCGTCTCATGTAATATCTCTCATCACTACCCACTTCTCCTCCATAACCTCCGTCGAGGTTTTCCGCTTGGCCACTTGCCTCCACTACACGAAACGATCATCATTCCCAACCATCAGTCGGTATATGAGCACCCTGATGTAATCGAACAATACATTTCCGACGAAATCGCAGCTGGCCGAATGGCTGGGCCGTTCTCTTGTGCAGATATGCATCTTATTATGCGAGGTCACTTCTATGTCTCGCCTCTCATCGTGGCTACGCAAATCCAGGGTCCGGGTATTCCTCCTAAACATAGGGTGTGCCGCAACCTCTCGAAAGATGGTCGCGACTCGAAGGGACATATAGTCCCATCAGTCAATTCTTTCACTCAGAAGAACTTGTTTCCAACACGATTTGACACCGCAGTCAAGGTTGCAGATATGGTAAGTCCAATTTTATCCCCTAACATCCTTCTCTTTCAGCTCTACTTCATTCGACCCACTTGGTCTTATTCTACTACCATTACCTTAATCATTACTGTCTACTTGCCCACTTTCACTTTCACTCACACTACACTTTACTCAGGTTGCTACTGCACCACCAGGCACGCAGGCTTGCACTCTCGATATTCAGAAATTCCATCGCACTTGTCCAATACTCCCCGAACACAAACCTTTCCTTGTGGTTCAGGATCACTTAGGTCGTTTCTTCGTAGATCTTGTTTTTTGTTTTGGTGCTGCCCCGGCTAGCAGCAATTCGGGAATGATTTCCAATGCTGTGGTTGACATTTTACTAAGCAAACTTGTCGATGCGCTGCTGAAATACGAAGATGACTTGAAAGCTTTCCGAATTCTCAACTCCCAAGGTTCCTACGACTACGACAGGACTTCGATGTTGGAGACTATTGAAACACTTGGTGTCCCATGGCATCCCGATAAAGGTGATGAAGATTTTGTGACAGTCACCAGATTTATAGGTTTTCTTTGGAACCTCGAGCTCAAGCGCGTTAGTCTTCCTAATGACAAACGCATCAAATACCTTGAACGTATTCGGGTCTTCCTCTCAAATTTCTCGAACGCCCGTGTTCCTGTATCAGAAGTTGAGTCTATACACGGCACACTTTGCCACATTGCCTTCATCTACCACGAAGGTCGATCCCACCTTCCCCCAATTTCAAATTTCATGGCCTCGTATCACAGTTCTTTTGAAGAAAACCGCGGTCGTTTTCCCCCTCCTAGTGTTCTTACGGAGCTTCGATGGTGGCACTCTCAACTTCAGGACCCCTTCTACTACCGAGAACTCCGACCACGAGGTCAACTCAAGGACTTTGGTCTTTTTGTTGATGCCTCCACTGACTGGGGCATTGGTATTGTCTTTGATGGCAGCTGGGCAGCATTTCGTCTCCGTCCCAATTGGAAGATCCCTGGACGTGACATTTGCTGGCTCGAAACAGTGGCTGTGGAACTATTGATTTATTTTCTAGAATCAATGAATTTCCACGACATCTACCTTCTCATTCACTCGGATAACCAGGGGACTATCGGCGCCTTTGACAAAGCACGCAGCCCAAATTACTGGATTAACATGTCGATCCGTCGCATCTGCGGGGTCATTGGCCCACTCTTCATTCAGCCTGAGCTCAAATACATTCCCACCACTCTCAATCCAGCAGACCCATTCTCGCGCGGAGAACTCGGTTCTGTCGCGGATAAACTTCCTCTTACTTTTTCACTCCCATTGGAGTTGCAAGAAATACTTGATTATGTTTAGGTATGCTCACGCCATTCCCATTTCTCACTACATCAATTTCAACTGAAATTTCATGCCTATATAGTCCTCTTCATTTCTTGGTGCTAGACAGTTCTGGCCCGAGTTCCACGGTTCCGCGCACCGTGGAGACTCAAACAATTCCTATTTTGAACTCCTCTTCGTCACACCTAAACCCACTAGACTTCCGCAATAACTTCGCATCCCCACAAACTAGCACATGTAGCCCTCAACTTCTTTCTTCACAACCAACTACCACCCCTGCTCAAGCCCCACCTTGGGCAGGTAACCACTTTGCTCCGGCTCCTAGGAAACCCAGAAAGGATTCCCAAATCGCCAACAATACCCTGCGGCCTAACGTTAGCTCAGCTGATCGGATATTGGCATGGACTTCGCCTTGGTCTATCGAGATGAAACTCAGGAACCTAGAATCAATCCCTTTACATATTCTTCAGCATGCTGAACAAATCACAGCTTCGGGTCTCACTGGGCAGACGAAATCAAACTATGCCGCGGGGCTTCTACGTTGGCATCAATTTTGTGATAGAGAATCAATACCCGAGCTAATGCGTATGCCCGCTTCAGAAGTCCTAATTGCAGGTTTTGTTGGCGCACATGCAGGAACAGTCTCAGGTAGCACGATCCGATCGTGGCTCTCAGGTATACGGGCTTGGCACATCCTCAACAGAGCTCCATGGCCTTCAAACTCGGAATTTATTACACTTGCTCGACGGGCTGCGAACATCAAAGGAAGCCAACATAAGCGTCCACTTCGCAACCCAATCACTCTCCAGCATCTGCTTGTTCTCCATTCCGCTCTCGATTTCAATATCCCGTTTCACTGTGCTATCTGGGCAATTGCCCTTATCTGTTTCTGGGGATGTCGCCGTCTCGGCGAACTGACAATACCCTCCAAATCCTCCTTTGACCCCAAGTTCCATGTCATCCGCTCAGGTATTCTATCTGATTTTCTTCTGCAATCTTCGCGAGCTCGCATCAAATTTCACATTCCATGGACCAAATCAACAAAGGAACTCGGTGCCGATGTCGTCGCTTCTAGACAACCAACCAGCCTATGCCCATGCAAAGCTTTTGAACAACATTGGCAGATGAACGCCGCCGTCCCTGAAGGCTCCTCATTATTCAGTTTCATTGACAAATCGGGTTGCTCTCAACATATGACAAAATCCATTTTCCTCAAATTCGTTTCCGATATCTGGACACGCGCTTCAATGCAACATGTACTCGGACACAGTTTCCGTATCGGCGGGGCTGTCGAACTCCTTCTAGCCGGTGTTGCACCTCATGTTGTGGCAGCAATTGGAGGTTGGACCTCTCTTGCTTTTCTCATATACTGGCGTCGTCTGGAGGACATTATCATCTCCCAGGTCGCAGATGCTTATGACAAGCGTTGGGATCGGGTACGCAAAGCAATGGAGGATTACAGGAAGGCAAATAAAATTTCGGCCACTCTTATTGACAGCTGCATCCGCGGCGAGGATACTGAATTATCTGAGGACTAATAAAACTCAATTTGTACATTATATTACCCTTCTAATAGCTATAATATATCCTTAGTACGCCCTCGACTCGGCTTGGGGTTTAGTCAACCACAGCTGATGTTGAGTTGCCTGTGTTGGAGCCTCGGGCTCTGTTTGGGGTATCTCCAGGCCACTCACCATCTACGGGTGGGTGAGCGGGGCTGTGCCCCAGGCAAATCTCTTCTTCTAACATTGAGCACCTCAGTGCTCCTCACACCGAGCTCGTTGGAGCGAATACTTATCTTATTCCGAGAGAAGGCAGCAGAGCTGCCTTCTCAGAGGATAAGATAAGATGTGGCGATGAGAGCGGGCGCTTATCGCCTTTGAACCAAACTCTCATCGTCAAAATTCGTCTCGAAGCTCTTTTTTGTGAACCCACCCTCCCTTCCCTCTACTACTTTAGTGTCTGATCTTCTGATAAAGACGCTCCAGGCTCAGCCATACCGCGTTTCGTGTGTTTTCCCACCCGAGCGGGGCTGTGCCCCAGGCAAATCTCTTCTTCTAACATTGAGCACCTCAGTGCTCCTCACACCGAGCTCGTTGGAGCGAATACTTATCTTATTGCGTAATGACAGTTCCCCGTTAGGGATGGCACTGCATCACCCGACGGATCCACGCGCTCCGGCCAACGAGCGGGCGATCGACGGCGGCGGGAGCAAAACAATTCATTGCCCAATGCTTCCGCCTCCTCCTCCTCCCCCAGCACGCACAGTAGTGTAGGCTGAACTTGTGGAAGGTGTGAAAAACATGGAAGGTCTTGAACTTCGAGCCGCATTTATGCTACATGCGTGTAAGGACTCACTGGGCGGCTGTTTCCATTGCAATTGCTGAGGTTTATGAGGAGGTTTATGAGGGAGGAGGTTTAGCTGAAGCAGGCAGGCAGAGCAGGCTTTTGAGGTCCGTGGGGGAGGTGTAGCTGGTGCAGACAGAGCAGTAGAGGAGATGTGTACCAAGGAAATGAAACGTCGATATGCAATCTGCTGTATAATAGTTAGCCGCATGTATGTAATTCTGAATGTGAATATCAGATACGGGGAACTGGTTACCTTGGCTGTATAGCCGTGAATCGTCTCCTCTATTGTTGTGAAATGGTCTCTCTGTCAGCTAAACCCTGACAATTTCGTCTCTTTATCGAAATCACCAAGCTTAAAAAAATACGAAGCTTTCTTGACTGGAAAAAAAGACGATGTCAATAAATCGCTTATAGTTAGAGCACCTTGAGCAATAATCCACTACTGCTATTCATTGAATGATTTTGCCTTTCTCAGAATATAGTAGATACGTCGTTGTATATTCTATCTTACATTACAAAGGAAAATTCTACATATGCCTCGAAGACATATTTAATCTTCACTATCAGTAAGTTCGATCATTCCGAGGTCCTTAAGCATTGGACGCAGATGTTTGGGCTCATCTCTATCATTCAAGCTTGTGCCAGTATGCTTGCGCTTTGTGGGGTTTTCCTGGTGATTCTGACTACTCCCTGTTGAAGATGCGATCAATATTTCATGCCGACGTCTCAAAGACAGATAATCAACTTACCAGATGCATTGCCGCGCTCAAGGACTTCAATTTCAACATGGATGATGTGCGACGGAGGTGGACCTAGAATTAAGCTGCCCGTTTAACTCTAGAACAGTTGATATAGTGAACAACTTACCAAGACATTCATTTAGTCCATGGATCTGATCACTTTGCTGCAACACTACTGCGATCATTGCAGCAGGGACGTCAACTCTCCTGGAAGTATCAGAGACTGAGCTAGCAAGACCAGTGAGTTGGAGAAAGAACTCCGTAGAAAATGTAGTCGAAATAGCATCGTTTGCTCTCATTCCTCGTAACCGCAGTGAGTTCTTGTTGCGAACTATGGTAGAAAGCATAGATGTATAAGGTTTTCCATTTGCGTCAACTGCAAATGTACCCTGCAGCCGGGGAACTAGAATCTCGGCTTCTTTCTCTTTGAAACGAAGAAATTTCTAGCCAATCAGATTATCGAGTTCATTGTCCATGATACCAACAGATTGAATGAATAACATACAGAGCTTAACATTCGCATGATGACTGCTGGCCATAGGTCAACATGAAATCTCTTGAGCGCATGTTTGTCAGGCCAACCAAAATTGTGACAGCAGAATTTGGTAACTTCCATTATGTCGGGTGTTTGGGGTGGCCATTTCGAGGCACTCGGTGCTCTTGAATGGTCCATGGAACGAGACCAGCTGGTGACAGGTTCCAGAAATGCCGTGAGGGTTGATAGATCTCTAAGTGATGGGAATTGGGATATGCGGAGCACGTTTGCCTTGTAAGGGCTACGATATCTGAGCTTGTGATGAGTATTGAATTCTATTTCATCCGCCATATTGTTATTGAGTCGGCCAAAGGCCTCTGCAAGTTGCTGAGGCATTGTAGAAAAGGATTTGTGGGCGTTGAGAAGATCGTCTCCATATCCACATTTGGCAAGACCCGCTGCTGTTTCAGAGCCAATGCCATTCACACCGTCGCTGTAGTCATTTTTCAAGAGTAGGGAGATCAAGATGAGACCGGCATGCGAAAGTTCTAGATGTGATTCAATTGACTGGGCGTTGTACATGAGAACTGTTTCGAAGTCCTTGAAATTCCGGGGCTTATGATCTCTATAATTCTATGTGAGCAATTTGATAGATACTTATCCTCTTATACGGCACTCACATGCGCAGGGGTCGGAAGATGCGAGGAGCACCAAAGGGAAGAAGATCGCTATCCTTAGTAAAAACAGCATCAACAAGGCCCCTTTTGCACATTTCTGCTAGTTCAGCATCAGCTTCACCGGTGACACGCCTAAATTTTGGCTAGACGTCTATGCTGTGAATTGTGACATTTTCACGTATAGATTTGTATCAAGAGGACTGTAATTGAGACCCAGATTGACAGTCAAAGTCAATACTGAATCAGTCTAATAAGTTGAAGGGACCATATACCCATACTACCACAAGTTGGTTAGTTTACCCATCCCCGATACTACCTACGGATAGCAGTCTACCTGTTTGTCAAGCAGGATTATACCAGACTCGGACTACATCCGAAGGATGACCATTCACGTATGACATACCAAGGGTATTCTTATTGGACCTTACACTGGCAGGAGTTTGGAAGAACTTACTCAAGTGACCATGAACCGAGGATTGACTCGAAATGACTTTCTAGAACTCAGGAATTATCAAATACTCCTTCTAGAACAAGATCATGCATTAATCTAAAAGACTGTGATTTAGTCTAATAGACCAATCAAGTTGCATGGTTGAGTAAAATGACTAGAAGAACGATCGAAGTACTGCGAGGCTCCGAAGACATATCAAATGAATGTCAAAGAGTCCTGACGTAGAAAATATTGAAGAATGCAATTAAATGAATACTATGCGTAACTCCCTTGATAGAGTATAGGCACAATGGGTGTCTATTGAAAGAGAGAAGCAATTAGTTTAATCCAGATGAATCAGATTAATAGGATTAGAATCGAGGAGAGCTGATTTGCCTCCGGACGAGGTGACAAATGATCGAAGTAAGTGTTGAACAGCAATGACAGTTAAACACTATTCGAGTCATTCTCTAAAAGCAATTAAATTAAATGAATAGTGAAGTACCTACCTATGTTTGGGGGTATACTAGAATCTTGGAACCAATATGGACCAAATAAGGACATGTAGATTCAAATTAAATGGTATCTGACTGAGTGTAGAAGTTTCCTTGCGGTTCCGAACGTTTATTGTATTAAATTAATTGTACTATGCGACTCTATATTCTGTATGTATAAATAGCGATCTGATGTATCTGGAATACAAGTGATTTTGGGACGACGTTGCAGTGCTAATCCGTAAAAAGGAAAGACACACTCCCGCCAGACTGAAACCTCTTCGCTAGCAGCCATTCGGGCCCGGCACTTGTGAGTATAGGAACGTCGTGTTCTGCTCCTTGTGACTGCGAGAAGTCTATCCAGTTGTTGGGTATTCTTCGAACTTAGGATCAGTCGTTGGTCTTAAGGGCAAATCACGCTGTGTGGTTGTGCCAGCACATAGTTCTAGCCCTCTGTAGGGGTCTGTGTGTTTCGGTTTTAATTTACTTTGATTCAAACCCCCAATTCTTGATATACCCAAATCGATACAAACCAAAGCACAAATTGTGCTAAATCTACCTTGATCAAAGGAATATATCGAATCCTTAGAACGATTCAAATTGATTGATCAAAGCTTCGTACTTAGCTCTCAAAGCTTTGCGGAACCTTTGCCAACGCTACCCCTTGCTATTAAATAAATTTGATAGCAGTGAACTCGCATATTGTGTATTAGATTGGTTGGTTGGAGTGCCCATTAGATTCCTTCCTTTCTCTTTCACACAAAAATGAGGCAAGCTCGTTACCGGGAGCCTGCACAAGTTGAGTGTCAAGAATATACCTTCCATTATCTCATTATCTGAACTTACAGTGTGAGCATAGTAACCAAACGCCTCTATCAAAACTCTAGCTTGTGTATAGTAGCCCGGTTCCCTGGTGATAACCTGGCGGCCTCGCTTAATTCGGGAGCGCTCTTCCCCATCATAGACAAAGATACCATGGACACTGGCTTGCGATAAGTAACATAAAAATTTGAATAGCTGAGAAAGCGGAGAGGTGGTTGCATGCATTTGATTTACTGCCCTATCAGCGGCGCAGAAACCATCAAGAAAGATGCTACAGTCCATATTGAATTGAAAAGTTTGCTCATATAGAATGCCTGCACTCACCTAATATCTACACCAATCAATGTAGTACGCAAACGATAGTGATTCGTAATGAATCCATTTTCCACCATGAAGTCTCTCAATTTGATAGTCACAGCAGCACCGTCGACAAGCTGAGAAATAGTCAGTCCTGATGCTTTCAGCAGTAGTGGTTCACCCACAGGCCAAAGATTTCTGACTCCCATAGCAAAAGTAATGATAGCAGGAGAGAACGAGGTGTAATTTTGCAATAGGGGTGCTTATAAATAGCACCAAATAAAGTCAGCAGTAAGAAATCTGAGTCTCGGTACGTGTTAGAGAAAGGAGTCGAGGGTTTGCAGGTGAACATTCAATTCAATGCAGTACATGGTTTCGGTGTATCTATTGCATAGGAGAACAAAGATTAACGAAGGGAAGGACAGGCAAATACAACAACGCAATTGAATATGCATAGGACAGAATAATCGATAATTCAGTAGACAATTCTTGATTTCCAAAAAGCGTGGCCCACATCCATCAAGGGCACGAAGATGCTATTCCACTCCGTGTCGCGAAGGTATTCCAAACAGAACAGCAACAGCAGTATACCCATCCATTGTAGCTATGCTTGAAGCAAGGCGCTTGCGCCGTCCAATCACTAGGCGGTGACTCTGTCGAAGTTAGTGAGTAGGACCAGGAGCCAGAGGGCTTGTGCTAGAACATAGATCGATATTCAGAGGGTGCAGAATCCGCCCTCATGATGTTTGGTACAGCGTATCTTTTGAGCGATGGCAGGGCCATGAGCAAAACACAAGGTTAAGCATTGCTAGGAAGGCTCGGCATGGGCGTAGCAGTCGTGAAGGAAGAGGGTGAGGTAGAGGCACTGGCGTCGAAAATGGTCCTTTGCTCTTGAAGAAAGCTGCAATTCGGATGGCGCCTGTTCCAATATAAAGCATGCGTGGGTTTATCTTTGGACACTTCGATGAACCGGCCAGCCGGTTCTGTTTCGTCCTTGAAGGGGTCGCCCACTTGAACAGTTTCCGAGATACAGGGCTGAACAATTGGCTTCCAAAACAAAGCGCCGTCGGAAGACGTTCCCGGAAGCTCTGGGGCATCAAAGAACTTCGCGGGTATGGGTTTGCTAGGGCCAGGAAGCGAGTTACGTTCGGTACGAACTGCTGTGGCAAAAAAAGATGGAGATGGGGTGCGAATGGATGGAGATTGAGCTCGACCGAAATTGTTTTGGGAATGGCGGTACAGGAAATGGTAAAGAAAACTGGAGGGATGTCCTGAGGACGTTGTGCTTAACCTGACGACCTATCGCCTATTAGTCTGAGATGAAGCGATGGAGAAAAGAGTCTACGCACAGACAAGGGGACCTGTTCTTGTCACGAACTTGGGCATCTCTAGGCAGCTGTGGTGTTGATTGTGGGTGTTGTTTGGACGGCTCCCAATCGCATTGCAGAAAAAGCGGATATTGGTGAAGAAGTCGCAGAGGTATATGGAGGATTGAAGCAGGTTTGGCTGAGGTCTGAGGTAGAATGAGGAGGAACAGTGCTTATGGGGTTCCCGTTTGATCCATATATGTTTGAAAAAGCCTGGAGCTACCAATACGGTTCTGGGCATGGGAAGTTGTCAAAGCTTGCTTGGAGGTAGAGCTTTCATTGGGGCAGTTGGGAAAAATGTAGAATAACAACTGCAGCGTAAAGCCAGCGCGCACTCAAACGGAACAACAGACCGCGCGCTTAAACGGAATACGGCAGACCGCGCGCGCTTAACCGCCGTCACGTGTCTCTGTTGATTGTTTTTCCCTCGTCTTGACCTTCCTTGCACCTCCCATCACCACCAACAGTTACTCTTACAAAATGGGCTCCGATTTAGGTGAGTACTTTCTCTCATTACCAGTCCTCCTCCTTCTGCCCCTAGTCCGAATCTTCTAGCCAACGGACGCCCAGCCCATCATCTAGGCAAGGCTCTGTTGGCTGAAAATTCGTTCTGGGTTATGCTTCAAGGCGCCGTCACCTAAAACGAAAGCCTCTTCCCTTTTATCCTTCCAATTGACGCGATTGACGCGGCTTAAACTCACTTTTACTCACAGGCCACAACGTTCCCACCGCTCGCATAAGATTCCCTTCTTTTGACCTATCTTCTGCTCTCGAGGCCGACAACAACGCGCGGATGGCTGCTGAAGATGCTGGGGAACTCTTAGAGGATGAAGAGATAGAGTTTGAGGGCGAGGATGAGAACGAGGACGAGGATAAGGGCGAGGAAGAGGACGAGGACAAGGGCAAGGAAGCCGACAAAGAGGCCCGCGCGGAACCAACTTTCACAACCAATCCTTCTGGCAGCCCTCCCTCATCATCTCGGAATAGCAAGAAGTACGCGAAGCTTACGAAACGTTTGCGCGAAAAACGGGCCACTGAAGCTGTTGAACGTGTTGCGAGCAGGGGCATAAAGCCCTTTGTTGTTGAATTAGCTAAAGGTGCTCAGCCCATTGAACTTGAAGACTTCGACGCCTCCAGTCTCCCAGTCTCGTCAAGCGGCTGGAATGCTAACCCTCGCAAAAAGCTCTCCCCTGGGCTGCAGAGGGTTTGGAAAAACCTGGATGCCCTGAGCTCGTTGAGTGGGCTGAAGCTTCTTCGGTGGGATGGGCAGTGCGTGTGTTTTTCTTTTAAACACGCGCGTATCACTGATGCCTTTTCAGGAGTTGCATAGTGCTTGTTGATGCTCGAGACCGAATCATCGCAGTCCTTGGCGGCGTTCCTCATGGATCCAAGGGGAAAGAATGGCAGGCAGTGGAAGCTGATGCTGCTGCTGCTGCTATTCGTTGCCGTGAAGCCAGTATGTTCACCGAGGCACAGAAACATGGCCGGCGTGGCAATTTTGCTTCTCGAACAGTTGGCTACGGCTACGGTAACGGGCGGCGCAAACCGCAGAACTACAGAGTTTCCAGTCGGGCTAATCGGAACGCCATGCAAGAGCTTCTTCGAAACAAAGCCATCCGGCGTATCTCAGGTTTTCAAAACGGTCTGATATTTTTTCTTTTTCATCAGTTTGGATATTAACGGAGCTCTTACTAGCTCTCTTCAACACGTTCTGCCACAAAAATTACATAGAATATAGAGATACGAACCAAGAAATTCAACGCAAGCAGCCAGAGCTGCAAGCTAACTTCCCGAACACTGCATTTGCTGCCGCCACCTTCAACCTGGGCCCCCTCTCATTTTCTCCACCTCACATGGACCCCGATAACCGCGCCTCTAGCTGGTGCGCTGACACTAACATGGGACCCTTTGACCCTGACAAAGGTGGGCACCTTGTACTCTGGGACCTCGGGCTCATCATCCGCTTTCCTCCTGGTTCCACGATCCTCTTTCCCTCTGCACTTATCACCCACTCTACTATTCCCATCCAAGCACATGAGACCCGCTATGCGATGATACAGTACTCCTCCGGCGGTCTTTTCCGATGGCGCAACAACGGCTTTCAACCAGACAAATCGTTCTTAGAAAAGGCTACTGCTGAAGAACGGGCAGAACGAGAAGCAGCGCGGGCGTCACGGTGGAGATTAGGCCTGCAGAAATTCACGCGATGGGCAGACCTTTGCAGGGGTGATTGGAGGGGTACAGTTCGTACTGCAGCTGGCCTGGATGAAGTAAGTGACCTTTCCGACCTTGAGGAGTCTTCTGAAACACTACATCCATCTAAACGTGCCCGTCGCCAGTAATTCCATAGAAAAATGTATCTTGATTGACGTTTATACAAATATAATCGCATGTATTCCTCATGTTTTTTGAGATAAGTGCAAGACAAAGAAAAATCAACCTTCTGCTGCCATACCTACTCATGTATTGCAGAGAATAACCGAGTTTCTGCTGAGTTGCAGCTACACAGCCTCAATAAGAGCTCCTATAAAATTCGACATTCCCCCCCTTTTTCTTTTGACATTCTACTGCCATGAGCGTTGACATCGCAACCGACGAAGGCTACACCGGGCTGCTGAAAACAATCACACAAGACAAACATTTGGATCCAGCCGATGTCCTAGACGATCTAGAGGAAAGCCATGACCAACTTGAAGTCGACATGTCTGGTCTTGGTGATGCTGTTCGGGAAGCCTCAAAAGGTGTCTCTGAGAAAACCTCTCAAGAATATTTACGGTAAGTGCAATGCAGTGAATACAAATAACAGCTAATATCTTTCAGCTTGATGAAACAATGTCAAGCATTCCTTGTAAAGCACGGAATGGTCTCCGAAGGGTCCCAATTTTTCTCCGACAACCCACACCCTCAAGCCGCAATATACATTGTAGCTTGGATCATGGATTCGTAGGGCAACTCGCAGCTTTTATACTTGAGTACGGCTCACCAAATCTTGTAGGTGTGACCTTATCAAGCTCGACGGTACCCCTGTGTTGGAGGAACGCTCCACTTACACACATGCACAGAAGATGAGAGCTGCTGCAACATTTGGATTCGGAAAAATACACGGCTTAGGGATGCAGGCATGGCACCAAAGCGAAATTTCAGGCAAGATGCTTGGTAACCCTTCAGTTTCCGAGACGGTTTCTACTTACATGCTTAGTCTTCGCCGCCGCAAGGTAAGGTTTCCATTTGTACTGCATATATCAGCATTTGATGACACAATAAATTATCAGACGCAGAAGGGGGATACTCCCATTAGTGCTCGAGCTGTGTCTTCTGTAAATATTTCTTATCGGAACTTGGAAATTAATATTCACCCAACCCCTAGGACTTATTGGAGGATCTCTACCATTTCAATAGTCAGCCTCGATATCAAGTTCCTCAGACGTCTCAAAGCAGTTTTCAACCAGCTCGCAAAGGTGAACTAGGCCCTCATGCACGTGCATCAATGGACCTTGGCTACAGCTTAGCCTTTTGTGGTCTACTCCGTGTCGATGAGCTCCTGAAAATCCAGCTGCAAGATTTGACGTTGACCGAGAACCCTCTCACTGGGGAAAGTAAACTCAGTTTACAGCTTCCCTTTCGCAAGACTAGCCAGTTCGGAGGTGAGCAACATGTCTTACACAGTGATAGTTCAATGTACTGCATCTTAATATTTACAGATATTAAACCGTTTGTGTTCTATGAAATGCCGGATGAATATCAGCACATATGTGTTGTGCGTGCATTTGCTCGATGGATTCTTGCGTCAGGCTTGACCGAAGGATATCTTTTCCGAAAAATCCGTGCCAATGATCGTATTGCTGAAGAAAATGAACCTATGGTGAGTAGTCGCACACTGTATCATTCTACTTTCTTATGAGCTTCAGACATCGGAACAATTCCTGGAGATGTTTCGAAATAACTTGCTCGATGTGGGGGTTGATTTTGTTCCCTATGGAACTCACTCGTTTAGACGCGGTGGATGCCAGTGGTTATCGGTTGAGCGTCGATGGCCTTTGCGTCAAATCTGTGAATGGGGGGGCTGGAGTCAAGAATTTACGCACTTGACCATTGTCAAGTACCTTATTTCATGGAATGACAACCCTCATGTTGATCGAGATGATTTCTTCAACATGAAGCATGCACCTGCGAAAGTCTGTCCTACCTGCAACCGCTCTTGTCATTGTGCTTAGAAAACAATATGTTATTTTTCGAAAACGTAGTTGTATTTTATCATAAAATCATAGACAAAAATCAGAGGTGGTTATCCCGAACGTTCTGCGAGCTTATTAAGGTAATGGCAAGAAATTGCTGATTTATCAGTAAGCACTTTTCCTCTGTTATTGACAAACACCCTTGCAAAATCAACGCCGTACTCAGCCTTAGCTTGATCAACCAACTGTTGCTCGTGCTTGCTCCGAAGGTCACGTAGTTGGTCAGAAATAGCCTTCCAGTGAAAACGTCGGCCATCATTGAATGAGAACTCCTTCCAGAACTCATCGGGGCTACTAGCACGGTAACGCTCAGCAACATACTGTTGAGAGGAAGGATATCAATAAAGGAAATGGTTTCAAGAAAGGAATCTACCTTCCACTCTGACCAAAGCTTCTTCAAGCTTGCCCAAACACCATTTTTCTTGCCACTAAAAATGTCCCGCCAATACCGCAGTGCAATCGGCACCCCGTTGATGCTCAGCAAATTCTTGCCACAGTCCTCAGGGTCCCAACTAGGCTGCTCATCGTCCCAAACGCGATCCAGTCGGGATATATTGGTGGCAAATGTAATTGAGGGGGGCTCGCGGAGGTCGCGTTCCTTATACCTGATGATTTTTCCGAAACCCACTGTGACCACATGAACTTTCTCATGCTCATTTGCGAATGTGATGGAATTGGCAGGCGATTCATTGATGCTTGTAGTGCTGCTAGTATTGCCATTCAACGTACCGGCGTTTCGATGTGAGGTGTCGTTTAAGGCTCCGCCGTTGACAGGAGTGCAAGCAATACCAAAACCAGGGGACGCGCCTATCACAGTACTGCCGATGAGGGTTTGTAATCCGGTGTTTGTTGTTCTAAGGTCCAAAGGCAGTACATGACCTGTGGTGATGCAATCGGGAGAGCTGTTGTATGGTGCTAGGAAGGAAGGTAGGAAGGTATATGTTAGCCATAAGGAACCTAAAAAAGAAGAACAGACCAGGAGTTGTCAAAAGTGGTGGAAGAATGGGCAAAGGTGCTTGCAAAAGCGATGGGGGTGGAAGCCCGGTCTTGAGTGTTTGAATCTCAACTCGGAGGTTGGAAACATGTTCAATCATCGAGTGCATGTATTGTGCTACTTTAGCCTATACTCGAGCTGTCAAGCCCATGCCTCAGGCCTCCATTCCGCCGCTCGGTATTCCGAAGATCCACCTTTATTGTAATCTTTTCCTTATTGTTCTTTCTCACTACACATACCCTTTCATTCTAGTCCCTCCTTATTGTCTTTTACTTTACCCTGCAGGACTACACGTATAACTCCTAGTAGCTAGTCTGGCGCCCCGCACCGTTGCGCCGCTCCGTAGATATAAATACTGCTTGTACGCTACTGTAGTTCCTCAGTTTAATTATCGACTTAGATTCCCTCCTTAACTCTGTGCTCCTCTAAGTCTTCAAGCTCACTGCCTTGAAGTACTCTCTACTCTACCTTAGGACTTATACGTTCTCTGGTTCGCTCCTCGTCACCGGCGATACCGCCGCTCCGACTTGGCTGCTACTTAGCTCCTCTCTTCTATACTCTCGACCTCCGGGGACTAACGGCGTAACGGCGGTGTTGTTAATAACTTCACTACTGTCCCATTCGTCTTCCGCACTTAGACACTCTGTGACCTCTGGCACGGTTACACGGGTTGCATGATCTTAACACGAGCACCAATCAACGACGGAGAGAAGAGAAAAGAGCCAAGAGCTACGTACCGTACTGGTAGCATTCTCTCTCGCCCTCTCCTCCTCTTTGATTTTCCGCCTCCGCGCAAGCTCCTCTCGAGTTACATATGGATGCTTGTCACAGAACGTCTTTGCCTAGATGTGTTTACATACGAATGGTCAGCGAGTGAGTCTTTGAAACATCAAGAAAGACTCACCCAGCTAAGAAGCCTGTTCTTCTGTTCAAGTGTACGCATGTCTTTCGAGCGTTTGGTATCAGATAGCTGAGCACCAAGCGGGGCATCTGGGGGCAGTCCCATCATCTCATTCCTTCGCACCGTTGAAAGTTTGAGCTTCTTGGCTTTGGACGGGACAGCAGCAGGGCCTGCGTTAGTCGCGGGCTTATTCTTGGTGATACCTCTGCTACGTACTCCACGATGAGAGCGCCGAGCAACAGGAAGGAGACTGGGAGGAAAGGTTAAGCAAATGTGATTCTACAACTTTGGATAACATACCATTGCCAACGTATTTTATTCTCACTGAACCCAATAAGTTTTTCTTTCAAGACCCGCATATTACCTTGGGTACCCAGCTCGTATTTCCTGCAGATTTCGATGAGCGCTGAGTGTTTCAAAGCATTGCTGGAAATTCATAGATCAGTGAACATAGCAGGGCAAGATAAGAACAGGAGGGCGCACAGGTCTCTGTATGTTGCATGGAAGACACCAGTATCTTTTTCATAACTGCCAGGAAGCGCGAGAGTGTCGGAAGGCTGAGGCTCAGATGGATAGACAATTTTGAATTTTTGGCCGTCTATCTCAATTTCTTCACTGGGAAGAGCCGTAGGAGGGTCAGCACTCGGACTGTTGATATCCATAGCGTCGAGGGCTTGTTGGCACTGCATTTTGAGGAGAGAAAGCACGAGTTCTTGTGAGTCTAGGGTGGTGCGGACAACTGCAAGGTAATCTGGATCGAGGTCGTTGAAGGCGGCGATGAGGGAGGAGAGGGAGCCGGCGGCGGCAGCAGCGCCATTGCTGATCGAGCTGTAAGGGACGCCGAGCATTAATAACGTGAACGGAGGTAAAATGTATGAGAGGGACAGGCGAAACGACGGGCAAGCGACCGGCCAATCCATGGTGAGAAAGGAAATAAAGAGTAACGTGATAGCCATTCAGACGGACGATGCTAATTCGGCCGAAATGAGCATCGTCCAAATCCGATCAATTTTCTCCGGGCCTGTCATCCAGGCGTGACTTTATGGTCTATACTCAGAGAGAAGTTATGAGGCTCTTAGCTTAACCTCATCCATATGGATAGAGGTGATTTCTTGCCTCAATGCAACCTCAATGATAGTCAATGAGGTCTTTCCATAGGTCAGCAAATGCAGAAAAAAAACTATATCAGTTTATCACTTATGGGCCAGTCACATTATCTGGCACTAACATTGCTGGGTTCAGAGAGGTTCAGAGTTTCCCAATGCATTTCATACATCTGCAAAACCTTGTATGTTTGCCAGAGCGACGAGACTGGCTGGAGAGCGCTCAACAGCTCCCAAAGCACCGAGAGTAAAAATTTCAACTTGCTCTGGGTGCTTTGGCTGCTGGGAAGCACACTCAGCTGCTCTCAGAGAATTAGCTGAAAAATAGGTTTTGCAGATGTACTATGTACGTGAGTCAAAGCAAGTTATATCAATCGGCTGGCTGTACTCGATGAGGAAATATATTCCCACAGTCGTTGCATTGACTATTACCATCATTATTATTATCATCACGCACTGAAATGAATGGACAGTCGCAAGAAGGAGGTTCGGGAATGCCTCAGCAAGGAATTATGGACTCCATAACACTTGGCCAACTGAGGGCAATGGTTGGCAGCGTACCCAAACCAAAGGTGATACACATCATCTACATGCACTGGCCCGATGTATTGACTCAGTTCACTGTAGCAATGGTGGTACGATTACAACTACGACGATGAAGACACAGTCATGAATGAGCTCGACGAACTTTACTCATACGTTGAGATGCCACAGGTCGCTGAGAACCTCAGGGCATGGCAGGGTTCATTTAAAGATGGTACGGGACGCGTTTGAGAAATCGAAATCGAAGTCTCTGATGTCAATGACAGAATGGACCAAAAGCCCTCTTGAAAAGAGGAGGTCCCACGTCGAATATCTTTTAGAAGGTTTAGAGCACAAAGATGCATTGATCAGATTCACCAACTCCCGTCGACTCTTTTACATTGTACAAGGTGACTCAAGCTTTCATTTTGCCTCTTTTAGTTCTCAGATTCCGTATACAGGTACTTTTGCCGAAACATCATCTCCTGAACACCAACTCCACTGGATCGTCGAGAACTGCAAACTTGTCCGTTCTGCTAATGGTGTTAGCACGATCCTCGATGCGCTCAAGATTGCCAGCTCAAAACACGATCTTCTGATGCAAGTAAAATGGCCCTCGGTTTTGCGACTATATTGACGTGAACCTTTACAGAAGTCTTTCGGAAGCCGATCTCGCACAGTTGAACATTTCTTTGAACGATCGACAGGATGTCGTTGAAGAGGTGCTAACTGAGATATCTGTGTATTTTGGGATGCTTTACCACCTGATTGAGATATTCAAGGGACACGAAGATTTCGCAGATGAACTTAGTGAGTCGAATGTCAACGACACGAATGCCATCAGTTTTATCCGTATCTTTCAGTGAGTTTGGATCCGCCATTGCCGGTGTATTTATTCAATGTGGTGTCTGGACTTCGAGACAAGAGCGCGAAGGGATATCCTATCAAAAAAGTGCGCAAAACTAAAACCTTCCGATACTCATTACTGACAAGTTTCCTTAGCTTCTCCTTCTTCTCTGGAAGACTCTTTTATCCTGTTTTGGTGGTATTAAAGATCACGCTCGCGTCAAAACTTTGGCCAGGGAACTTGCTGGGCTGCCTACAGGGACTGATCAATGTATGCTATGCTCTGCACCGTTTATTCTGGCTATTGACGCAGAGCTCAGCTACAACAACGATTAAATCAAGTCCTTTGGATATTGAAGCTTTCCGACAAGAGACATACGTGAAATATCCGACCTTCGTTCCTCCTCAGCCACCACCTGCAGCTTTCGAGACACCAATTCTCAAACAAGTACGAGGGCAAGTTGCCTCAAAGCTCGCGCAAGCCTACTCTCCTATCCCTGTCCGCCATCACTACCATACAGAGGACGATTCTTACTCTAACCTTCCTCACCATAACCCCTCATTTCAGAACCCAAGTGCGCCGTTCCGTCCAAATTCGCAACCAGCAACTCCTGCTCCGTCTCCCCCTCCTGGTCCTAAACCCAAAAAGCAACAATATCAGACGGATCAGACGCGTCCGTTCCTGTTTCCTTTTTCGAAAACCCAAGGGAGGGCTGCTAGGCTTGTTCCTTTCGCAATTGACGAGGCCGACAAACTGTACAATCGCCATATGTACATCAGCCTCGAACTCATGCAAATGTGGCGCACTAGAGAAGACTGCATGACTCATGAGAGCGGGCTTGAGCATCTACCTGGATCGGAGGGAGAATTTGCTTCCTCAACATTTACAAATCCTTCTGCCCAATATGATAGTGTAAAGGAAGATCCAGAAGCTGCAGAGTTATTGCCTGATCTTGCTCTGTTGGATGTCAAGATTGCAGAGGCTACTGCTGCGCTTGAGAACGCGGGAACAGCTAGTGAGAAGCGTAAGGCGAAGGAGAGAAGAGAAGATTTAATGCGACTAAAACGAGTTGAACAGATCTATGTGAGTTTCGTAGAATGATCACAAAACTTTTCCTCACCCCTCTTCTAGAGTGCAGTGCTACCAGTTCTTTCCGGATGGGTCCTTGTTCTACTTAAACTCTTGTTGGCCACTGTATCTGCCGGTACCAATGTATCACAATCTACGACTTCAGCTGTATTCCCGCCTGGAGTAGCCTCGCGTACGTCTATAATTTTGCTCGGCAGTGCTCGTCACTTCATTTAAGTCCACTTCCACAGCCCCACCTCAAGACCAACCCGCCCCACCGCAGACCTTGGATGAAACAGATGTAACACGTCATAGAGAGATTACCTCCAAAGCGGTATCTGCAATACTGCTTACAGTGCTGAAATGGTTTAAGGTTTCGCGTATGCCCGGCCATCTGTGTTCTTCAATTTGCCCTCATGTTGGTTTCTAGATGTCATGAAGTTTCATCATCTGGGCCAACTTCTGCTCGATACGAACTGTCTACTACTCCTACTCAAAATGTTCGGTCTCCAGGAGATTCCCACCGCTCTGGTTTCAAAGGCAGATTCCCCGGAAAATAAGTATGTGCCTTGATGTTCATAGCAAAGTATATTGATCCACCTTCTCTCTCCTAGTTTCTTTCGATACTGCTACCTGAATTTTTCCCAAGCCTCGCATCAAATACGACCCGAAGATACTATGAACGTGAATAAACCTCCGCGGTACGTTATCACCAAAACCAATACTCTTCCAAATGGCGAGGTGCACGAAGAAGAGATTGAAATGTTCACCGACTTTTCATGGCGCAACTTCTTTGCAACAATCAATTTCGCTAAAATCATGCAAAAGCTGTCAAAGCACCGTTCGCATAGAATCTGGATGCTCGTGCAGTACAAAAGTTCGGTGAGTAGACTTCAACGGCCTACATGCTTTCGACGTCATGGCTGATGAATGCATCTTCTCTAGGCGGTGCTCAAACGAATGCTCAGGGTTGAACATCCAATGCTGCGATTACATTTACTGAAACTCATCAAAAGTCAAGTACCATTTTGTGGACGAAAATGGAGGCAAAGTAGGGTTTCTCTTCAGAAATGTGTCCGAGATCATTTTGGCTGACCACAATTAGCGAACATGAAGGTCATTACTGCGATATATCTCAACTGTCGTCCAGATCTCCGCGACGAGTGGCTGACGGGTACAGAGGTTGATGATGTTTCTGACGCATCGGTAAGATTTTTTCGCTCGACTATCACCGTTATCTCATTCCTGATTCTGAAAGGCTCAAGAACAAGCTTTACGTCACCTTGTCAAGTTTTGTGCGTCTTTCCACCTCACTCACCGTAAATATATTTCCACCGATGCTATATTTTTTAGATAACAACAGGAGATATGGGCCCAGTGTCGCATTAAACCAACACAATGCCCCTCATCGGAGATCAGGTAGCATATCAAATCACATCGAAGGTCTTCACCCTGGACCCGAACTGTCAGGTATCATTCGTCCTATCGGCACGCCAAACATCGTCGAAGCAGACGTGTTTCCTCCTGCCCGATCTCAAGCTCCGGATCCCTCGATCTTTCTCCCCTATATTCCCGAAGACATCAGCTTCGAGGAAGAGTATGAAGAGTACATTTCCGATCTCGGATGGACAGACGAGCAAACAGACGGGTCTTCATTTGGCAGTGCCTCTGCTTGGGCACGCTTTCCGGAAGAATTCGCAGCTGATATCACAGATGGTATCAGTGATAGTGAGAGCATTGTCACCATTGGTGACTTGGGCGACGAAACTCGACTGGATCCAAGCCGCGATGATCCAGACGTTGTCGATGAAAACCTAAACAACTGGGAGGTAAGAATATGTATTGACCTATCGGTAATCTTATACTCAACACTGATTCAGCATATGAGCCCCAAGACGATGGCAGCACTTCCCAAGTCTCCTGCTGGACGATCACCTGCGAGCAGGTCACCAGCAGGCAGGTCGCCTGCAGATAAGAGGAGATCAAGCTCTGGAGGTGGTCTTCGTCCAGTCAAACCCTTCGGATTGGACGACGAGGATGGTGTTGTATTGGATGACGAGGATGAAGATGGAGAGGAAGAAGAAGTTCTTCATGCACCTCGCGAACTGTCTGCTTTTGCGGCTGGTGAAGGTGTTGATGAGGTCGAGTATGCATATGGGTTAGTTGTTTTTATTTCTCAAATGATTGGACAGAAACTGAATTTTTTACAGAGTGTGAGACAACCTTAGCACGTACAAGCACGTACGGAGCAGCATTTACATATATCATGGTGTATGTATGTATACGAGCGAATATGTAGTTATACACCAGTGCTACCAACACTACAAAAAATTATGTGTTTGTCCCTGCTTGGTCCAATCATTCCGATTGGCTAGACAAATTCTGTCTTAACATAAATGCACGCGCGTCGTGTAGGGTTCAATTGACATCACAGACGAAGGAAGTGGGCGGAGCAGAGCGACGTCCCGAGCTTAATTAAGCTGTGCATCGCACGGGTTACTGCTAGTTGTATCTATGTATGTATATTGTTTCGAGGAGGAAGCTTGTGAAGTGTCAGCAGACCGGGGTATGCTATGAGGACGGAACGCCGATAGTCCCAGGAATACACGGCAATTCTGACGAAGAACGATGACAGAATCTTCTACCATCTTCGCGCGAGCGGAAGACCAGGGAAATGCTACATAAGCACATAGTTTACAGTACAAAAAGAAAGTGGTGCAATCGGTTATTCGCCGGCCGAAAGATCTTTTACATAGGGCGGCCAAATACAGTCAGCAATAGCAACTTTCATAGAACCACTTCGAAAAGATGTCCCCTACTGCAGTAGAAATTACGCCCGCTGTCATTCCCGCTGCAGTTCCCTTCAAGGGTGCAGCTCTTGCCATCGGTTCCCTGTCTACAGCACAAGATGGGAAGTATCAAGCACTCATATCCGATCTCGAAAGCTCTAGACCTGTAGAGAGGCAGATGCTCGACAGATTGGTCGATGGAGCAACATCACTAAAAGCCTCGACATATGCCTCAGCACATGTCATTCTTACTCAATCCGAGTACATTTCCCTCCTTCCGAACATTTCTTTCCTTCTTTCACAGCTCCTTGCTGGACTTGCACCCCTAGGAACCCTCAATCTTCACAATCTATCTGCCCTCGACGACCTCTCGCCCCTCACTTCGGCGCTGACTTTATCCGGATTCACACTCTTGAATACTGCTTCTTCTACAATAATTGCCCAAAAGCCTGCGCATTCCGCTGCAGGTCCGCTCCGATTGCTTAACCGTAAGAAAACCGATCCGGCCAAGAAGAAAGCCCTTTGGGCACTCTCATCCTACGCACCTTCGACTCCTTCCATTGATCCTGACGCCCTTCTTACCGATGCGGACAAGGCACGGCCTGTTCCCACATGTGAGCCTGTGAATCCTTCAACTCCCAGGCGCAAACGGGCGTGCAAGAACTGCACTTGTGGGTTGGCCGAGTTAGAGGCGGAAGAGCTGCGGCATAGCAAAGTCGTTTTGTTAGACGGCAAAGTCGACGGAAGTGCAGTCGAAGTAAATCAGGGCAAAGAACAAGAGCGATTGATACAGGCAGCTAAGGCAGCACCTAAAGCAACCAGCAGCTGTGGTAACTGCTTTTTGGGTGATGCATTTAGATGTGCCAGTTGCCCATATTTAGGTGAGGCTTCCTCAGAAGTACACCTTGGTTTTTTTGAGTTAAGCAACTTCGTTAGGTTTACCGGCCTTCAAGCCCGGAGAAAAAGTTGAGATTGATTTCGGAATGGATGATATCTAACTCTATGTTACATCTCAATCTACCTCCATTGCCTAGTGTGCACATGTTGTCGCTCTCATCGTTGTATCTACTTCCAACGTCCATTATTGGACGCCAATTATCTAGAAACTCTAATTGGTCGATATTTCGCATTCAGACCGCCTTCGCACAATATCTACAATTCCCGTTGCGCCCCAAGCTTTCTACGCCGGGCGGAACATATAGCGCTGCAAGAGACATCTACTTCCTAGCCTTGGTAGTTCCTCGTTGAACCTTTACAGCGTGTAACCTTCTTTCCTGCAACAAATCAAGTTTTGAGCTTATACTCGGGGGTACTTGGACTGATCTAAAATATTTAAGCAAAATCAATACAACACCAGCGATATTCAGTAACACCTATCAGAACTACACTTACCGGCCAGAGTGTACAAGTTTGTCCAAGTAGGTTCCAATCGTAGATGAGTACTTACCTTACTATATTGAGTAGTAAGAGCATTTGGAGGTTGGATTGGCTCCAGATTCACTGAAGAGAATACGCAGTTACTTATATACTGATACAGGGTCCAATATTAGCGGCTTCGCATTGACATGCATCCAACGGGTTTACTCCGACCGGCGCCAAAAATCTTCACCCCCAACCTCGATGGTCGACATTTCTTCAACATCGATTTCAGCTCCAGGACCTTCTCAAATTCTATGTAAAGTTTGCAACGCCCGTTACGCCATATACACATGTCCCCGTTGCAAAATTCGAACTTGTTCCCTTCCATGTTCTTCCAGTCACAAGGTTGCAACAAATTGCTCGGGAGAACGAAATAAAGCTGCATTTGTTAACATGAGAGATTATACTTGGGGTACTCTGATGAGCGATTTCACGTATTTGGAAGATGTTGGACGGAAAGTAGGGGAATGGGGCGCGATAATTGGAAAAGGCTCGTACGCGATTCCTGAAACTGGACGAGACGCAAATGGAATGAGAGGTAGAGGTATGAGAGCCGGAAGAGCTCAATTTCGTGGACGAGGCGGAGGGAGAGCCGGTGTCGCAAAGACGAAACGAGATATATTGAAAACACAGCTCGAGATGCAGGATATATCTATGGACTTGCTCCCACTTGGAATGGAAAGACGACAGCATAATCAATCAATCTGGGATTTCAAGTATGTAAACCATAGCCTTAATTCATCACACAAAATTTGAACGAATACATAGAAATCAAACTGCCTATCTTACGATCGAATTCAAGTTTCATCCTCCACAGGATCCTACCTCTTCGAAACAAATACCCTCGTTTAACTTACTCACACATCGCAACAACATCAAAAATTCTTTGCTTTCTCTTGTGGTGAGCCAAGTATCGCAACGTCGTATGCTCCAACAGAAACGAGAGAAAGGCAAAGGCAAACAGAAGGCGCTGGCGGAGGTGGATGAACATATCACGGACAGGAATATCCTCCCTCTTTGGCTTCTGGAGCTCGTCGAAGAAATCCCTAGTCCCATACCGGACACTGGGAAAACAATGTTTTCTCCATTTGACAGCCTAATCCGAGCACCTGTGCTTCCAATGCCTCCAACTGCCTTAAGCATAACCGGCACGCGACCCAAAACAGCTTATCATCGTGTATCGCCCACAGAACCACTTCTCACTGCTCTACGCAACACTCATTTCGTTGAATACCCAACCTTAGATTTGTGGTCACAAGGTGAATTTTCTGGCGTTGTAGCCGACCAGCACGCAGAATCACAGCTGCGCGAGACGTCTGGATTTAGCCAGCAACTGGTTTATGAACGAGGGGATATCGTGTCAGAAGATGAACCCGGTGAAAATCCTGAGAGGAGAGCTAAACGCCGAAAAATCGAGCTGAAAGCTGGGAAGAAAGCCATCTCGGGATTGTTAGGCGGGTATGGTAGTGATGATGATTCGGGGCAGGAGGAAGAGGAGAGAGCAGAGAAGGACGACGGGCGCGCGCAAAACGGCTTGACACTGTTAGGTGCATATGCAGACAGCGATGAAGAGACCAAGGTTGAGATGGATTCGGACGAAGAGGATGAAGACGTGGCCGAAGTGAGTCCCGAAGTCCTGTTAGAACTCATGAAAAAAGCGCAAAGCGGCAATTCATGGATGGACGACTCCAAAGATGACGACAGGGTAGATTGGGGGGATGGCGATTCAGAAGCTGAGCAGGAAGAGGAGGAATGACAGTCCTACTATAGATATATCCATTGCGTTATACATCCTGTCGTCTCAAATCGAGCAAACCCTTCATTAACAGCTGAACTTCGAGAACAGCATCAATGCTCTGACTCAAAGGAGTTTCTTGTGTATTGCGTATGGGATTAGCTGTCTTGACTTCGACTTCCCATAATGTATCCGGATGCGCTGGTATAGGCTCTTGAGTGTTAGGATCGACCTGCATTTGGAATTTGTCAAAAGTCTCTACGAAGGCTTGGACGCGAAAGGGTGAACCTGTTCTTGTTGAAACATCTGTATCACCAATGTTCTTCGTCTGAAGAGATAGCCTCGTTTGTATATCTGCGAACGCCGACTAAGGAAGAAGGTGGGTCATGATGAATGGACAAGTGGGCTTTATATACGCACGTATGGCCAAGTGCTTGCGCAAAGCTCAGCGCGTCACCCACGACATGACATGTAGCCCATGGGCGCACCGTTGCTTCTGGATGTGCCCTGACAGATTCTGGCTTCAAATACGAATACAGTATCCTGAACATTTCAAGTTGGCCTCTATTCAGAAGAATGTCTAAATCTATCGCTTACCATCCTTCATCCTTCCTTGTCAGTTCCTTCTTAGCTCTAAGAACGACAGGCTCATTCCCTATATCTCGTTGATGTTGTGCATCTATAGGCTCGAAGGTGACTTCGCGAGTGTGCATAGACTCGCTGTATTCGCTGTGTAGAGTGATGCGATTGAGTATTGCTTTGAGATCTCTTGCGAAAAATTCTCCGAAGAGAGCTACTTCGTAGGCGTTGCCTTGAGAACTCATTGTATATTTTGGATTGGTGATGTCGATGAAAAGGCAGAGAAGATTAGAGAAGGTTGACGCTCGTTGATAAATTCCGCTTTCAGAAATATATATGTACACAAGATTATTTACTCGAGGTATTGACATTAAGTACAAAGGTTCAAGGAAAATCGTCTGTGAAGCGGAGGGTAAATTGGGAACAGTGAGCAGTGAAATACTAATCATACAGACATGAAAGTTGGAAGCCATGAATCATACCATATCCGAGCCACAAAACTGAATTACCATTACTGAGATTGCTGTTGCTGAGGTTGTGCAGATTGCTGAGAAGGGTCGACGGTACCGTTCGGCGAGACCATGGGAGCCATGTGCATGGCTTCAGGATTCATCATGGGAGGCATGAGCGCGGTCCGTACCCGCACTAGCATCATCCTGTACCACTCTGGATCTGCACCAGCCTTTTCCTGCTCAGCCGTAACCTGCTGCAAGTGACCGATCTCCTTCAACCAGGCCAGCCGCCAATCTACGTTACCGTTCTCGTCGACATCGAAAGACTCATCGGGAGACATCGGCATAGCACCAACCACTGGAAAACGCATGCTCATCATCGGGAAATGTGGGTCAAATCTAAAAGCGAAGGAAAATATTTAGCAATGGACTGGACCAGAAGCAAACAATGAACGCACGGAGGAGGAGGGTAGGGTGTGAATTGCGGTCGGTTTGGGTCAGCAGTATCTGCAGGAATCGGTGCAGGGATATACTGAGGACTGGGCTCGAAACTTTCAGATGGATGGTAGTCGACATCGGGCTCTTCTGAGCTACGTCCCTTGCCCTTCGGTCCCTTCTTCTTCCGAACACGATGAACACCCGTACGAGGATCAACATTGTCGTTGACCGTCCAGTAAGAGCCTTTGCCACGGTCGGTGAGCGGACGAGGTACCTTCTCAAAACACGGGTTCAGAGACAGATTGTGTCTCACGGAATTCTAAGATATTGGTCAACGACAAAAACCCAATATGAATTGTACATATTCGACACAACAAACACGGCCAGTCAAGCAAAAACAGCACGGTCGCGGCCCCTTTAATCACGTCGCGTCGCGACTTATGGCATATCATATCACAAAGTGATATACGGAAGGAAACATTTTCAGAGGGTTTGGAAATGAGTTGCTCACTTTCCATCCATTCGGCGCAGTTCTGAAATAAGGGAACTAAACAGACAGAACGGTTAACAGAGGGCAAAAAAATATAGCATATAGAATACACATACCCGAGATTCAATGGCGTAATAAATATCTTCAAGGAGTAGCTTCTGATTTGGCGAGCCTTTGATAGCGTAACTGCCGAACGAAGGGTTGCAAGTTGTTACTGATTGAACAAGATGCATCCAGAGCCAATCCTCACCGAATAAGCGTCGAATATGGATAGAATGGCTTGCTTCCTGGAGGTCCATCTCTCAGAGAGTCTAGGTTGATTGGTAGGCCTCCCGTAAGGTCGTTCTCTGGATAATACGACCCGTTAACGATATCGCCATTGGGATCTGCCATTATTTGCGGCATAACGGGTGCAGCAGGAGATTGGGACATCAAAGATGGTTAAGCTATTGATAACCAGAGCGTAGAAAAAGGATGGTAGGTCGGCCAAAGGTCGTTGATAGACAGAGACGTTCGCGGTCGAAGTGGTCACGCCGCGTGACTGACAGAGCATGTATTTCCCACAGCCGCGCACGGGCCAAGACGCAAAAGCCCTAGGTTGAGGATGCCTTCACGACGTGAACCAACTACGTTGTCGAAAGCCATCGTCAAAATCGAAGAAAGAAAACATTCTGTGAATCGAAGCGAATGTGGTATGTACCTGTTTGCACCGAGTTTGTACTTTTGAAAAGGGATCAAAACTAGTGCAATTGCATGTAAATATTACTGCAACATAAACAAACTCGATATCAAAACAACAAATCCTGCCTCAATCTGCGCGCGCGTCGTCGTCTGTTCATGAATTTTTGGTATAATGGGTGTACTTTTTGAGCCAGTTGGACGGATTCGTGCCTCTACGTATATCTGTGTAACTGGTCTCACTTGTAAATCAGTCAAGTGTCTCATTTTCCTGATCTCACTGGCGTTTTTCTGGCAAGCCTCATTGTTTGGTGTTTAGTCTTGCGTTATCTCTGTTCCTGGAGTCCGTCTTGTTTACAATTTTTCAAGATGAGATCCTAGCTTGAACCAGGTGCTTCTGAATGTCGTCGAAGAATAGTTTCACTCAAGGAGTCCTCGGTATGACTTGCAGTGGCCTGACTTACTGAGACCTACCAGAACTTCGAAGATATTTCTTCGGGTCGGGAAACGGTTCATACAATCGACATCATTAACAATGCTTTCCGCTACTACTGCCAGTGCCTTTTATCAAACAAGCACCATTCGCATCTGTCGAGGTGAAGCAGTTGCAACATCGCTTCCCGGCAATGCATTGAGGTTTTATTGAGGTTTTATCACAGTTACTGCTACGTCGTGGGCTGTGTATAATCATGGTGCGTTAATCTTTCGTTCTTTCAATATCACCGTGCTTATATCTTTCCTTCGCAGTAATAAATCTGGATCGGGAGGTTCGTCCAATATTTGAATCATACTGTAGCTCATCACTCGCCGCGCTACAGATGGAGTTTATTCGGTCCATTTTTTATCCCCAGTGTTTACATGACAATCTTTGAATAACTGGTACTATGGTTGCAGCTTGCGTACACATTCCCAATCACAACCACAATCATCTTGATTTCAAGGCTCACTCTTAACATATATGGAGGGATAAGGCTGCAAGCAGCAGGGTGAAAAGAAACCTCACGCGGAGTCTCACACAGTGCGCTACATATGGCGCCAGTGCGGAAAGCATTTTCTTGGAGGGGCGGTGCAGCGCTCTGTGAATATCTTGCGAAAAGCCAGCGGTGGATGGGAACGGCAATGTCGAATTCGCCTGAAAGTTTCAACGCTCCAAGAAAAAAAAGGTCGCAAGTATCTCATGATACTATGCACTATGTACAACAGACAGGAAATATATATGATTACAGGCTCCAACCAATTTGCTGAGTACTGAGATAAGGCTGCTATCATTTGCTATTGGTCTGTACATAACGGTGTTACTGTCTTTAAAGTGAACCAGACCAGTGAATTGTTCGGAACACTCGTTTCCGATCGGCATCTGGCTTAAGCACCTTATTCGGCACCGTTTGTAACAATCCTCAGATGGCATCTGATGGCATGCATATCTATCATCAAAACCGACTGGTTGCCGGAAATTCTCTCGCAAAACATTTACCAGGGTCCCAATCATCATCATATTGGAAGGGTGGTGCTCTGAACGAGATTCAACACTGTTATCTACAATGATCACAAATACATCATTCGTATTGTAAGCATCGCGAACTCTTTCTGTGTTTTACTCGGTGCTCATCACTATTCAAGTTGCTCAATAATCTGACATGTATATTTAAAGACCATGCCCGAGGATCCGTGTCTTATGTAGCTGCGCTCCTCAGCCAAACTTTCCATCACTCACTCGCTCATCATGTCCTCTAAGAAAACCGACAGGGAGCAAACTGTGATCGTTATCGTCGGAGGCGGGATCGGCGGCCTCGCTCTCCTGAATGCCCTCTCAGCGAGCATCAACCCCGAAAAACACACTGTCGTCCTTGTCGACGCTCGGCCAGCACACATGCATCTCATTTCCTCCCTCCGTCTGATCGTTTCCGATGCAGACGACCTTTTGAAGCAAGCCGTGCATCCATACGGCGACCACACGTTCAGAAACAAGTTCGCTGGGAATGGGAGCTTTGTTCATGGCTCTGTGACTAGCGTCAAGTTTGGCGATGGCGGAAAGGGCGGTCAGTTAATTCTGGACAGTGGAGAGGTGGTCGACTATGATCTTCTCGTCCTTGCTACTGGTTCGAGTTGGCCTCGCCCATTAGGATTCCCCACGGAAAGTAAGAGCGCAATCGAGAATCATATTATGGCTCGTCGAGCCGAGTTTGCTGAAGCAAAGGATATTTTGTTGGTTGGTGGAGGGTCTGTCGGCATAGGTTGATTTCGTTTTTACCTTTACTTTTCTGACTCTGATCATCATGTATCCATAGAGCTTGCTGGAGAATTGAAAGATATTTTCCCTGTAGGTCTTTTTGTCTTGGCCTCTTTCCCGATGGATATTCATAATGCATTTTCATTCGCAGTCAAAACCCATAACAATCATTCAACGTGAACGACTCCTGCTCAACAACACTTATCCAGACAAATACCGTATTGCAATTCAAAAACAGATTGAAGCTCGCGGAGTCACTGTCCTAACAAGCGACGCTATACCGGCTTCGGACGCGTCAGATGTCTCAGCAAGTCAAGTTCCTAAAGACGGTTTTGTCACAGAGCAAGGAAAGAAACTGAAACCTGATCTGGTGGTGAGTTCTTACTTTGCGCATCATCCCCATGGTAGATTTGTACTTTTTTATCACAGGTTCCTACATGGGGCAACCGCCCAAACACATCCTACCTTCCCACCGACCTTCTCTCGTCCACCGGACATGTCAAGATTCTCCCGACGTTCCAACTTCCTGCTCATCCAAACGTGTTTGCCTTTGGTGATATCATTGAATGGAAGGAGCAGAAGGGTGCTGCGAAAGCCGCGTTTTTCCACACGCCAAAGGTCGCGAAGAACATTATGGCTTACCTAAATCTTGCAGAGAGTGTAACTACTTCAAGCGTGGATCTAATGGCGTCAAACAAGAGTGCGAAGTACAGTGGTTCTATGGAAATGATAATGATCACCAATGGAAAGGTGAGTTCTGGATATTTGATACTCGAAAGATCAAAATAGTCATCACTTTTCATAGGCGAGAGGCTTAGCCTACTTTGACATTCTCTGGGGGATCATACTCGGAGGATGGTTTGTTACACTGCTGAAAGCAAAGACACTGATGATAGGGAGGATACCTAGCCAGACAGGATATACTCCCAAATGATCTAGAAAGTAGAAGATGCTTTTATTGCATAGTCAATGTACAAAATGAGTCTGCTACTGATCAGGACACTAATTTCTGTTTGCTACAGACGAAGGACTACAATTACTTTCATGTATGTTCAGCATGATCATTGACTATATGATATATTGAGCGTAAGATACAAAGGGTATGGACGACAATGATTATGAGTAGCGAGTAAAAAGGCATAGCAAGTGAGCTGAAAGCTGGCCAAAAAAGGAGCAAGTTCCTTCCAACCGCAATATAAACGTTGGTTTATGAAATGTCATCCTCCCGAATATTGGGACGCCATCGGATACAACCCAGCCCGTCCCTTTGAATAGTAACAAGGTGTCGGTGCCGAACGGGCGATGTCACCGCCGACCACTCAAAGAGGGTCAAGCTCGTAAACTTGCACCAGAATTTATCGTCATGGGCGTTTTTGATTGGGAAGAATCAAAGATTTTTTTCGGTGTCGGAAAAGTTTTTATAGGTGTAATGCGCACGGACCATGACGTAACTCATCTCACGGTAGTTGATTAGGTAAAGGTCGCGGGACTATCATACAGTATAATACCAAAGACATTGAATCTTCGAGAGAGTGTGTGTTGATTTAAAACCGCCGCAGGCCACCATTTCGGAGCCAAGAGCGGGAAAACTATGTACTAAGTACTAGTAACACCGAGTATCGTATAGCGGTTAGGTATGTATCGTAGACTGCGTTCGTTGGTTGTTGCATCGTAACGGTTATAGTAAATTTGTGTGTGAGTATAGGTGAGTGCGATGAGCAAAAGTTTGGACAACAGATATGAGTGGCTAAAGGAGTATAAGAAACTGGAGATGAAAATGGCATTGAATCTTCAAACCTAAGTAACTTTCGACTTCTTGGTCTCCTTCTCCGAATCGTCTTCGGCTGATTGTTTGGCGCGACCGCGATGAGTAACTGCTCCTGTCCAGCCTTCTGTCGCACAATGAATGAATGCCTGCTGGAAATCTGAGCACAGGGAAGGATGAAAAGCATTCTTGAAATCAATTGGTAATGACTGCTGCAGTGCACAACACTTTTTCTTCACAACTTCAGCAAAATGTGAAGCCCATGCCCAATCAGAATAAAAGTTCGGTAGCGTGCTTGCTACAGCGCGATTATTCATATCCATATCACCGTCTATAAACTCTTTGCGCTTTCCAAAGATAAAAGCACGAGAGAAAAACTCATCCCGAGCATTCTGTTGTTCCTCACTTGGAGGAGACTCGGAAGCTGGCCATTTTGTCAGGAGAAAGTAGGTGAAAACCCACAACACTGACTCGATGTCATGGATATAGTGATACCAAAATGGAAAGGATGGCACGCGCTCAAAGTTAAATTTGTGTGTTGGAGGTCTAAACAGGTATCTGCCTGTCATAACTTCGACAGGCATGAAAAACTCTGTGCCCTAGCGAGTCGAATTAGTCAGATCACGAAGGTTATCTATTAGACCCACTGTTTTGACATCTGATGTTCCAGATTGAATTCCTGGCTGAACACGTCTTGAATATTCCTAGTCAATAAGCTTGGCATTCCCATCTTTTACCAACACATTCGCAGCGCTGATGTCGCGATGAACAAAGCCAGCAGAATGCATATATGAAAGAGCTAGGACTATAATTTAAATTTACTGCCAGAAGAGGATGAACGAGCTTACCGATAATTAGCGATTCTAATGCCTTCAAAATGATATCCCAGTCCATCATCTGATCCAGCGGTTTTCCCGCATACTCCGATAGTTGTCGACAATGGACTTTGGGTGCGTAGGTCCTACGATCGAGTCTCGCAAGATGGGTAGCCGTGGCTTCACGGATAACAGTTTCCTGACGTCGTTGGCGTTCCGCTCCAGACTCCATCATGATTGAGGCTGGAATGCTCACACTCATTACTCGTTGGTAAGTTGAGGATTGTGTTGAAACTGTGATACGCTTGATGTCTGAAGGAAGAGTTTGTCCCCGAAGAAAATTCGATGTGGAGTCAGGAGTCTGTCCCTTCTCAGTTGTAGAGGGTACGGGAACTTTCTCGCAGGCTTCAATCCTGACAAAGTATTTATTGAAAGCGCTCCGGTCTAGGTTTGGGACGGCATTAACCTTCTGAACATTAGCTTCGATAGCCAAACGAATTTCTAGTTCCGTGCAAGAGTCCTCAGGTAACCAATAGTCTTTGATCACCTTGACCTCGGCATCAAGGTCTCCTTCGTCATTTAGAACCTGCTGAACTTTGAATACACGAGCAGCGCACCCGAACAGAAATTTCGCCTTTCGAACGGTGATAGCTTCCGTTGTAATGTATTGCTTGCCGTCGATAGTGAAGATATAGCATGGACCAGTTCTGTCCTTTCCCTGTACTCTCCTAACTGTAGGGTCATATCCTAGCTCCTCCCGACAGGCTCCGCTGAGGGACTAAGCAAAGTAGATTAGGTTTTTGGCGTCCTGTTGAGATGGACATTTGAAGTTGGAAATATAGGGAAATTGAAAGTACTGACCATATGCAAATTCATCGCCTCTGTAACGAATACATGCGACCGGGAGAAGAACCATAGTCGAACATTAAATTTATCAATCGTTAAGTCAAACATGAATCGACGTGTGGGATCAGCACCCATAATATGTGTCGCATTAGACAAAACTTTCTTGTTATTCTATACGCAAATTAGCATATCAGAAGCCCCGTATGGAATTCTTACCCACATCATCGACAGTGTCCGGCGTGGACCTCTTCTTCAGTTCCCCCGTCATAAAGACATCGTACTCGTATTCTTCTCCTTTTGCAATAGGGAAAACTGCTGTGGTTTTGGTGAGAAGGCCGTTGATGTTCGCTTTATAGTGTGAATGATCGCCTTCGAAAAGCATATGTTTGTCAGGATTATTTGAAAATTTGACGGTAGAATCAGCCCCCATGACACTGTTTAAGCCATCGAAAAGAGGTGCATAGAAAAGCGACTCCTTCTTCTGTACCTCAACCTTCAGCTCCTCCTCTTCCTCCTCCTCCGACTCTTGCTCCTGCTCAACCACACCGAAATTTAGCTCTTTCCAGCCTTCATCGATCAAGATGCCCCGTTCTCGAAGTTTTTGGTATGCTTTTTCGACTGAAGACTCCTCGACGCTCGGGAGAACTGCTTGTTTGAAGAGATCGAAGGTTATTTCCGGAATACCTATATTGTACTCGGGACCTGCTAATGATTGGAAGAAGAACCAGGGAGTATCGAATAAGTCTAGTGAGGTCATAGTAAGAAGTGCAATCAGAGAGAAGATAGAACGCGACAGTCGCGACTGAATTCAGTAACGAGGGATTACAGGGGCCAAAAACGGCGGTGGCTATGACCTCGTGTGATCTGACAATATACAATTGCCTTCGCTGCTATAATCCGTGTCAAAATCCTGGCTAGCGTAGCACGGGCACCGGCATGGGACCGTGTCGGTTAACCTACCTACCTGGAATTTTTCAACAAACATTTGGGTGTATTTCCAAGGGTCCTCTTGGGCACTTGAGCGCACTTGAGGCTGTCCACGTCGGAGATTGATCTGTGCATTAGCGGTTTCAAGTACTCTAGAAGCCGGTGTAAAAAAGTGGAAAAAATATTTCAAGTTACAGGTAGTTGAACAGAGCTGAGCCGATGCAAAGTCACCTGGGTGATTATTTAATTTTTGTTCGCGGGACCGGGACTGATTCAAGTACAATTCGTCAAGCGCCGGAGGGCAGTTACTCAACACACTCAGTCCTAGAAACACTGCTCCTTTATGCTTCCAGTCATAGCCTGCTGTCCAACAATAACAGGCTAAAACCATCACTATATCAATGCTACAAGCACAGTGCGCGTAGGAGAAGAACACAAACTTGCCATGAGCAACCAAGATGTCGACGAGGATCACGACAGACGCCATATACCTACGCAGCAAGGTCAGTTACCTGGAATTCAATAATTAAAAAGGCTGATATCAATCCTGGTATAAGGTCTCGTTTCAGGCCTTAGACCCACGCTAGCCAGAAGCGACACAGAAAACTTGTTGTCATACTACCAATCACCCCTGGCAGACAGCCGCTACGAAGACAACGAAGGCAAAGCGCGAAAACCAACAGTTCCTTCTCGGCAACTCTCAATCGCCTCCTCTGAATCAGATTATTCGGACTCAAGTCACAGTGATTACACTGGCGCGGCTGCTCAGAAACGTCTTAACATACCCTCCGAAGGCGGCTCGGATCGAAGAAGAGTGGCTATAGTAGAGATGGACGCTGTGTTGGAGACTGCGAAAAGAAATGGTAGTCTGCGGTCTAGAAGAGGAAAGGATGTGTTCGGCAGTTTGGCACTTGTGGCCCCCCCAGACGCTTCACCGAAATCATATTCTCAGCTCACTCCTCCGTTGACCGCTCCCATCGAAGGCAAACATGGCTTAGAGCTTCCCAATCAAGATGAGTCACGGGCTCACCATCGTTCTCAATCTGAGGCTGTTTCTCCGAAAAAGCCTTCCAGAGATGTTGGGATCGTTGGGACTGCTCTCCAGCCAATCATTCTTGACCTGGATACTGTCAATGCGCAAGGTCAAGCTTTACAACCACCACCACTTTTCATTCATCCGGAGTCTCGCTCACCAACTCCCGGTGATCTGTCGTCGCCAACATCACTAATGCCGCCTGTAAAGCGAAGGTCAACTGGCCAATCTATCACTGTAGTCACTCCGGAAATAGGTGCAGAAAAACCCATCGATGTGCCTGTTGCAAGTCCTGTGGTCGTCAGACTTGATCGCAGGGACATTGTGCAAACGGCTTTACCAGAAGCAAGCCCTCCGTCCAACAATGGCCCGCAAATAGCCGTTCAATCCGGGCTGCATTCACCACATGTACCGTCATCTTACCTCAATTATAAACCTGGTGCGTATTGAAAATCACCTTCATACATGCTAGGATTTGTCCACGTATGCTCTGTCCTTATTCTGCCGGATTTTTGGTTAATCATCCTTCTGAAGAAACGCGTGTTATTCTAACATTCTTTTTGGAATCATAGGTATCCATGCGACAGCCGGTCCCCTTCCTCCTCCTCCTCGCGCAGCATTCGTTATCGACACGCAGGCTCCACCACCTCCACGCCCACCTCGACTAAATTCACCCGTTCCTCAGCAAACGAGTCACACGCTGTTCCCCAATACCCGCTTCGCTAACACCAGTCCACGTAGGGGGGACGTCGACGTTATACGCCAGGCGCTTCAACTACCTCCTTCAGTCGCTAAGGCTCTTGCAGCTAGACCTATGTCAACTAAGCCGTCAACAGGTATCTCCCCCAATGCAGTCGATAATCCGAGGTAAGCGTCACATTCTTTTGGTTCTTGGAGTACCTGAAGTTTTCTTTGCTAGCTCGCCTTCCCTTTCTCCATCAAGCATGGATGCTCCAGACGCGACAAAGTCTGCACATCGTCGAGAAGGAGCCTTTTCACCTTCTTCCGAGGACACCGCAGCCCAATTCGTCACGATCAACGTTGCTGAAGCGGAGACTGTGATACCACCGTCCCTTCGACGCGTAGACCAGCACATCCAACCTATACACGATAACGTCATAGAAAGCGGCACATCTATCACCGAAGTACATCCACTCAAGCCACCGGCCTTTGCCTCATCGATATCTGCAGGATCCTCCTCGTCCTCTTTTGGTACTGTGCAGTCTGTCGGCTTTGGAAACGCAACAGATCAACTGCAACCCGGAGTCTCTGCCAATCCGATACAAGAAGATACGTGGGTCGACGTTCATACCGTCGAAAGTTCTCCTTCCTTTGGGGCCTCTGTTGAACACCCCCGCCTCTCAGCGGAGCATTCACATCATACACGGACTATTGCCTCACATGCCACTTCTCAGTCACTCTCCGTGGACGAACATACAACCACTACATCTGTTTCTCGCTCATCATCGGTGTCTCCGGCATTACCTCGTTCACATTCACCCTCAATCAACTCTCAAGCAGACTCCCGTTCCTCGTCCCTTTCTCCAGCACCGTCGCCTCCGCCAAAAAGTTTCCGACACTCAATCACCACTGGTCTAAAGCGGATGAGCCTACCGCGCACTCCTTCCGCGAAGAGTTTGGGCCGAACATCTCATGACCGGGAGCGAAGTTCCAACGAAGATGAAACATCTAATCATCCTCTACCTGATATACCTCAAGCTCGTCTTCTCAATTTCCAGCCACTTATCCCTTTGAGAAATATTCAGTCCTACCAACAAGTCACCCGCCCGTATATCACACCCCTTCAACCAATGAGGCGAAAACGTAAAATCGATCCAAATCCCGCCGCTATGTTCTGTTCTGAGGTAACGGCAAGACAAAATGCGGGAGAACGATGCATGCTCTACGCTCAAAAAATCAATGATTTATGGGGATATGACTGTGGGCTGGAGGAGTGGATGGAAAACATTCGCAATAGAGGTATGCTTCGTCTCGGTATTATTTTCCCAATATTGATCACTTTTTTGGTATCAAGGCTCTGGTTCCACAAGCCGTGGACCTGCAATTTCGCTCATACAGTCTACTCCTACATCACCCATTTCTACTAGCTTCAATACCATGTCACCGTCCACGATTCCATTTACCTCCACACTTCGCCAAACATCACGTTCCTCGTATACGTCCGTTATAACCGAGGCCACCTTTCCACGAAGACCAGATGCATCTGCTGCCACAGATCTAGCCATGACCTTCAAGGATGCATTATCTCTGAGCCCTCCTACCGGGCCACCCCCTCTGCCCTATCCGTCGCTAGTATCAACAAACCAGAGATTTCCCGGTCGATCAAACTCGTCTGTGGGTAGCACCAGTGGGAGTGATTCTCCTGCAAGAGGATACAAATCTTTGATGCCATTGACCCCAGCGAGCAAAACCGGGGCTTTTTTTGCATCATTGGGTCGCAAAGCGAGTGTCAGCAGAAAGGATAAGGGTCTTGGCAGTTCGACAGGCTCGGGCTTGGTATCATCATCGTCGCGGTTGACGAAACAACCACACAAGCACAGCTCACAGAATAGTCATCCACCTGCTACGGTTACAGCAGGACCGCCTTCTGTTCCCGGAGGCCCGAGAGCACCGCCTAATAGGATGCTCAGGTCGCAGACAATGATGATATCACCTATGCTTTCGGAAGGCTCCAACTCCAGTTCGGTTGGGAAATTGAATGTAATGGGCAGGAGGCCTTCGCTGTACAACATTCCTTCAGCCGATAGTGTGCATCACTCAACCCCTTACAATGGGCACCTGAGTAATCCCACTGTAACAGGAGGACCACGCTCTCAATCGTCTTCACCGTCGAAACAACCCTTGAAACCTCGTTACGAGTCGCCAACTCCCCCAGAGTCCTCGTGGGACCTAGAGTTCCGACGTCAGGTTGACAAACTCTCTGACTTGATGCCGCATGCAGATCGGATTGTATTGGCTGGATACTTGAAGAGGTCAGGACAAGATATTTTGGCAATCGGACAGTACTTAGAGGATGAAAAGAATGGGCGTCTGAGAAGGGATTAGGCGCAACAAAGAAAAGGTTTCGAAGACAACAACGGACGTCATGTATCCTATTGGAAACGTTCCACAAATAAATGCAACTACAATTTTATCTTCTCGTTTCCTCTTCCCATATTCTCCATCTGTCTTGCTATCATTATGTTCTCCATCCTGGTCTTGACTATTGGTTCTAACACCCCTCCTTCAGCTGCTCCGTTCAATGGTCACTGGAGCACATACTCGTCGGCCTTCGCATCAATCACAATCCATTGTCTACTATCATACTTTGTATAGTTATTTATTCTTGTTATGATTGGACCTACTTCTATGCTCAAATATTTTATCATTAGTTGCTACGTTGACATGTTCTTGTTCCAATTATGATTTATACACGTACTAATGCTACATTTACTATAAGCCAGTGACTACTGAAGCGCTGAAGAGACTGCGGAGGAAACACTATACCAAATTTTGACATTATCTGGTGATAGCAGGCCTGAATGTCCCAGAATTTCTCTTAGTTGAACTACTGGGAGGTGCAAATGCTACAAAACTGGTCATGAAGCTTTCCGGCCTTGAAGGATATCATATCGCGTACCTCTCTGTACCGGCCGCATTCGTTGTACGATGTTAGTAGCCTGAGGACCGGAATTCCACCCTCCAGTTGCGCTTGATGCCCTCACCACCCCAGTCCGTTGACCTCCACCGCCTATAAGAAAGTTTTCGACCTCGTTTGCGCTGTCCGAGCGATCAGATATGTATCCACCATGATATGCGAGTGGTTGGCGATGAGTTCCGCCGATGCGGTTACGTTGAGGCTGGTTCAACGCGCTAGAAGTGTTCTGACCCCACCCATCCGTCGCTACTAGGCGGTTTGGGAAACTGCCCACACGATTCACGATGGGAGTGCGTTGTATCTGACATTTAGTGTCAACTGAGGAATATGAATAGGAATAACTGTAAACTAACGCCATTTGCTTCCATGCCACCCACGACGGCACCAAAGTCCAGATTATTTCCTACTTTGGGCGCAAAATTTCGCATTCCGGCTCGTTGGTCATCCGAAAGCTGATTGTTGGATCCATTTATTGAAGGTTCATTCGCGGTGAGGTTAGGCCCAAGGAGAGCCTTGCGTTTGATCTTGTCATGTTGGGCCTGCAAACTCGAATAAGCCTATGTAGATCTCATGCAAATTGCTCTTGTACTTTGAGTTTCTGGTATTCTTTCTCTCTTTCTCGGGTACCATCTTGTAAGTCGCGGACCTTTCTGCGTTCCACCTCCAGGTCTCTTTCCAGGTCTTCTGAAGTGAGATACAGGTTAATTCAAAAAAGATCACAATGCACCTGCGGTCTTATTGTTGAGTAGAGATATTTCCCCGTTGGCTGGAATCGCATCGAGAGATTAGCCATGAATTTGCAGGCAACGCTCGATGACTATACCTTCTCGAACAACATTATCCAACTGTTTTTGAAGTTGCGAGTTTTTGTCGTTGAGATTACGCAACACGGCTTGTTGGAAAGAACTGGGAATAGAAGTGACTAAAGAAGTGCTATTCCAACATAATCTTATGGAGCGTCTTACTTTTCTTGATGTATCTGGTATTGCCAGAAGGCTATTGCACTAGAATGTTGTTGAACTCCACACAAATGAGAACAGAAGTTCAGAACATACCGGCTGCATATCTCCAATATAATCGACGGTGTCAAGCCGGAAAGAACAGACTGGTTTTGAACAGTCAAGGCGGTCAAGTACGGGTATATGCGCATACACATACAGTCTTGTAGTCATTGGATGGATGCAAAGAGCAGACCTAGCATGTTTGACATTAGAGTCGTACTATGTAGAGGGATCTTGGACGTACAACAACATCGTCTCTGCGATCCGTTGTTCGACTCAGATGGCAGACTTGAATGAAACGCAAGGACATACGGTTCGGATAAAGAAGATTCACAAGCTCCATAGAATTGTCAGCAATTGGCATGAATATTTGCATAGAATGACTACCTGGGCACAGACGCGCCGCGTTGAATAGCTCATTCGCACAATCGACTACTCGAACGTATGATCGTCTATAAATTGTTTCCATAAGGGGCATGACAACGCACCACAGAAAATATGAGAGCCTTTTCCAACCGTCCTTCAATGTAAACCCTGGTATAATAACCGACTAGAGCAACTCACAAGTTGTCTTTCAAACAGAATGAATACACGTTGAAAAAGAAAATGACTAAATAGACTCACGACGACAGCTTTGTCTGTCAAACATTTCCTACAAGTGAGACGATTACATTTGAGCTCGGTGTCCATTGAGATTCCTGGATTCCGCGAGGCCTTGAATGAATCTGCAAAGACTGGCCAAATGTCAAAGGCGTGCGAAACTCACGATCACTGCGCTTTGAAACTCTTCTATGATGTGGTTTTCCTTTTGGCCATTTCTAGTTTTCTATGATGGTCAAAGGCATTATCCATTTACAGCGTCCCGGCTGCTCATTGTGGCCTCTATTGAGCCGCGTAGTGGTTTTCGTATAAATGGTCTACGACCATTTCGTTGAGGCATCACCAACTTGTTTGTATCACCTTCAAAGCCTATCCACAGAACCTCTCCATCGAACCACAGAATGCAACAGTACTTGCCTTCAGTCGGTCCAACGCCTGAATCCTTGTCAAGGCCACGTCGCAATGCAGTGGACATTTCTGCTTTAACCAGCAATACCAGAACATCCCCTATTCCGTCGCGTTTTGGTCGACGAAACGCTATCGACTACACCTCTTCTCTGGTTAAATCAGACTGGTGGCATGCGGGTCAACCCCACGCCTTTGTTCCTCGCCATAACTACGGAGCCAACCCCGCTGTACCATTTGGTTCAGCTGAACAGGTTCAAGCTGGTGTTGCTATGTCCGAGCTCGAAAATCATCAAGACTTGAACCACTCCTCGGCCTTAATCACTAGCTTCCTTCCGAGGGATTGGATGCCAAAGCGGCCCTTCGTTCGTCTAGTCATTAATGTAAGTGGCACTTCCCCACTGTAATTTTCGTTCAGTATTCTCAAACTTTTGCAGTGGCCGGGCTATAATCATCTCCAGATTGTCAAAAAATTATTCTTCTTCTCCCATAATGGCAATCCTCGAACGCTCATGGAGGTAGCTCATGATATTGCGGACATTTACCGCAGTTTTATACATGTCAGTATATGTCTAGTCCTTTGATCTTCTTCGAATTCTGTGTGTGTGTGTGTTGATCCGAATCTCCTTCTAGGACTTCCATACGGCCTTCAATTCTGCTGAGCACGGAGCAGTGCGTCTGGGTCCCAATTATGTAACCTTCGGACATTTGCGTTTATTAGGCATGCAACTCTGCAATGCCTCTAGTGGGGACTGGATTGCAGATGTAAGCTATGTACAATTCAGAGCAGCTTGAGCAAAATATGTAAGCTCGCTGAATACCCTATGTTATCGTATATGATACATTTATGCCCCTATTCCTGTATGTTACATGTAACAAAAGTAGTTGATCACAAATATGCCGAACATTAGAGCTTATTAGCAACGCACGGCAAACTACTTTTCTTGGACAGAAAACTGCCAAGCATATACTCGAAAATTCAATAGGTGGAGCTCTCCATATACATTTCTCAGTGAGTGGAGCTGCTGACTTTTTAAGAAAATCGGGGATCTTTGCAACGTAGAGTGACTTTGCAGTGGACTGCTAATAAGCTCTATTGTTTTAGATTTTTTTCCGAAAAAAAACAACTTCATAATAGCCCACCGCGAGGGTCGAACTCGCAGCCTTCAGATTCCTGCCACATCATAAGAGTCTGACGCTCTATCCGATTGAGCTAGGCAGGCGTATCAAGTTTGAGTCTCAATTAGCTGAACTTCCGCGGCCTGTTTGACTTCCATAATAATCAATTATTCGGAATCAGCCGTTCAGGATGTGTCCCAAGGTGTCTCACATGTGACATATATGATCAGTGGCAAGTGCCACTGTACCTCATGTGTGTCCGAACAATAGAGCTAAGGTATCCAAAAAGCCGTTCACTTCCTCTCCGTTCACAGGCCATTATTTGCCTATCTAAGCCTCTTTTGCAGTCTTTTGCCTGCAATCTCAAGTGATTCCAGCACCTTGGGACTAAACGATCCTTTGTCAACGATATCCCCTTTTATTATGAAACGCACAAAGAAATTTCCAAATAACGGATGTATAAATGGCGAAACCTTTTTAGACCTCGATTTCTCGAAGGCCTTCCACTGCCAACTGTTGCGGCAGCCACTCAGACTCAGTTTTTCATACTGTACAGTAAGAAGACTACTTTTGTCTCTTTCCTCTGTGCTATTGTCCTTGTTATTGATATCTCTCAGGGTATCACATACACTGTTGAGGGCCACGTAAAGGCAGATATGGACTCATTGGTGTTACTGCAAGCTACCGAGCATAGATCAGGTTTTGACATCTCGCGCTCGTTTTCTCCGTTGCTGCCTCCAGAAAAACACGCGAGTGATTCCTTCGATTTTATCGATGTCCCTCATGCCCTTTCTTCGACAAATTCTCCTAAACACCTTGGACCATCTCCTGCACCAAGGAAAGAAAATAGGAAACAAAATTTGCCTTCCCTTAATCAATTCAAGGAGGTACGGGGAACCCCGTCTCCTGCACTGCGATACAACCTTCTACCCCTGATTCAGAAAAGGGGGAACACGAAACGAGGCAGAACATCCCTTTACGGGAACCCCAAATCTTCAGACACTAAACCGCTTGTAAATGACAATACAGCAATAATTGCATCAAATGACCCATTGGGTACAAATGTATTTGATAAATTACCAGAGGTAGCTCTTACACCGACACTACCGTTTCACAGTACAGTACTTTGTGCTGAAGTTCACAAAGCCAATAAACCAGCTCTTTGCGAGGTCATCTCGTCGCGAGCCATACACAGCTGTGATACTCTTACACCAAAAAGTGGGGAGGGTAATCAGTCAAAAATTTCTCCCCTAAACCAAGATCGGGATCCTCATGTGCATTCTTCTACTTTACTTGCAGTCTCTCCTTCCTCAGATGTACGATGTTCTTCATTTGCTTCAATGCAACGCGAAATTCTTCACCATCCACTTTCACCAACCCAACACACAGGACCCTTAATCCCCGTTGTTTTCCCAGTACCGCCTGTTGAAATCGGTACCGATCCATCCGATTTTTCGATTCCGCCGAACGACGAAGGCCGAAGCTGCCAAGTTTTTTGGGATGCCCCTCAAAATGAGCATTTTATTAGTGCTTACGACCGTGGCAGTAGCCTCGTTGAGGAATACGAACCTCCTTCCGTCCGTCGGTTTTCCGAGGCAGCTGCGTCCTCCGAAACATCCGAAGTTGCCGTTAGAGAAGGCGATCGAGAGAGAATCATCAACAAAATTCTTGCCGATCAACCTCTACTGCGTATGCACTCCGTCCCGTCAGAAGTCTACTCGCACTCAAGACCAGCGACACCTCCGCCGCCACATGTCAAAGACGAAAAAGACGAGTCGGCCACCAACGACTCAACGTCAACCTCGACATCATTATCCATTGATCTCCAAGATGAGACTACCGTTGCTGAAGTCACAGATATCCTCGTTACGTCCGAACGCTTCGACGATGTTCAAATTCCGCATACGACTGGTATTAAGCCACTTTTCGGTGGTTCAGTTCCGGATGACGAATATTTGCCTACCCCAAGGAATAGCCCACCTTCTCCAAATACCCTGTCAACTCCATCCACCTTCATTTCCTGTCTCGCTGGAAAAACTTCTTCACCCCATGAATCCCGGGTCCTTTCGATTAATCAGTCATCTCATCCTCCACCTCCTCACTTATCTATTTCTTCGGATTCTTCGTCCTCGAATCTTGACTTGCTGCCATCGTCACGAAATTTTCCTCAAACTTCGAACAGTGCAAAAATATCCAAACGTCGACGTCAGGCACCTGCTTCATCTCTTACATCCCCTTCGAGGTCTTGCATCGGAAAACGTTTATCATTTGGACAGACATCACTTTATTCACAAACTACCGCAAACGTTGAGCCTACTCGCAGGCCCGAGCCCGAAACAGTTCGCAGCTCGGGCGTGAAGAAAGAACAGGTTGTGAAGAAGGAAGAAGCTGTGAAGGAGAAATGCAAAGAGGAAAAGGTTGTAAAGAAAGAGACCACTGCCAGGGAGTTGGTGAAAAAGGAAAAAGCGCAGGAGGTAAAAGAAGAAAAAGTCGCGAAACACGAGGAGAAATCGGTCAAAAGGGAGAAGGTTGTCAGAGAGGAAAAACATGTGATAAGGGAAAAGAGGATGAAGCGGAGGTTGGATCTAATACCGTCGGAACGAAACGCTGCAAGGAATCCTCGGCCGGAGAAACGCCATAGACTTTTCCTCAACGAAATTCATGTCAATCTTTGGATCAACGATATACAGAGAATCTCTTACCTGGACAAATCGTACCAAGTGTTAGACCATATTGACGGCCTGAAGTTGTTCAACGTTCTCGTCGATATCGAGGAAAGGAGGTTTGAAGTCACCCTAGAACTGCTCGGTGCGGGCAATCCTTCCTTGGCGAAATCGCTGGGCCAGCTGAGGAAACATCGGACGCGGTATGATACAATGTTTGACCTCAAGATCAGGTACAAGGCATCTCAACTGGTCGATTATTTCGCGCAGAAATATAACGTGGCTAATCCACACGACGGTGGCAGTCAGATATGATATTTCGTCTTTTATCATAACTTACCAGAAGTGCTGTATGAACTGTATATCTTCGTAGACCTTTTTACATCAATGCTATACTTGCCCGAAAAAGTTGCATGAAATTGTAGTGAATTAGTAGTACAATTGCGTCTATCTACGTACTTGTCGAAGAACATAAAATACATGGTAAGCTACGTGCGTGCAACCCATAAGTTGAACAGAGAAAACATAAAGAACATGAACTCGTAACGAAGGCCCAGGAAAGTGATGTGTAAAAAGGTAGTATAGCGTGTAAGTAGAGTAGGTCAAAGTACAGATATTGGAATCGCAGACGCGTAATTATGAACATGCTACGAGCGACTGCATAGATAAGTTGGCAAAATCTTGCGTCACACTTATAGCGCGGAGACATGGACGACCCTGACTCTGAGGGGGGAATAGAAGCCTAACCTTAGGGCTGGATTGCGGTCAATGAAGCGCCAGAAGTAGGAACGACGGGCTTCAGGACAACGAGATCTACGAAAGGTGAGGATGGCCCTTCATCGAGCTTTCTCTTCTTTGTAGCGGGTCCATCGTCGTCAGAGTCTACCACTACGATAGGAGAACCTGGATCACCGACTGGTGCCTGCATGATGGGTACGGGAATCAAAGGATTGGGATTGGCAGCGAGCGACGTTTCCACAACCATCGCAGCAGGGGCATCAGACACGTCACCGTTTGATAAGGAGGTCGAAGCTGCGGGCACGGACGAGGATGGTTTTACTGTCGTGCCAGCTGTAGCAGATTTGCGGCCAGGACCACCGGCGCCCTTCCCACCTCTGCCTCTGCCTCTCGCACTCTTCCTGTTCTTCCGCCGCTCCTTCAATACCCTGACCAGGTGACCCGTCAATATTTCGATAGCCTTGCTAGCACCCATCTTTTCGAGTTCAACAAGCATTTCTTTTGTTAAACTCGAGAAAACGTCTGGGTCGAGGATCAATTTCCGTTCATGGAGGATCATGTAACCTTCTTTAGCGGAATTGTTCGGATGCGAAGCAGAATAACTGGGATGAGTTGGAGGAACGGGACCCAAGACGATTGGAATGGCGATATCGGGAACTGAAGGTGCCAATTTTTTTGGCATGGTAGAAGTCGAGACAGATAAGGATGGAACTGTTACTGAAGTTGGTAAAAGAGATGCTGGCACGGTGACTAACGAGGATGTGGATGTTACTGGCACAGAGGTTAAATTGGTGGACGTCGCAGGTGCAGTGGGTATATTGAAGGTTGTTATCGCCGGGGCCGAAAGTGCCGTGGATAGTGAGGGAGTAAATGTGAGAACATCCGTATTAGGTCTTGCAAATATATTCCAAGGTTGTGTCAAAGCTGAATAAGGACTCGTTGCAGCACCAGCTGACGTGATAGGGGTCGAGACCATCGAAGAACGTTGGGGCAAAGTACTTGTCTGGGCGGTGGAGGAGGAGGAGACGTTATAGTGAGAGATCGTCGTTGTAGTCGCTGCCGAGGAGTCGGAGGAATTCTGCATTGGGAGGGGCGTAGAATTCAAGGGAGGAGGAAGTACCCCTTTCGTATCACCTTTTACACTTCGCTTCAAGGGAGGCTCCAATGTCTTGTCCTTTTTGCGCGATTTCGAGGCTTGCTCTGCAGCACCCGATAAGAGTTTAGAATCTTGACTTTCCAGTGTATGTTGATGTGCTTCATCAAGCGACCAAAAGAAACCCTTTCCCCTGTCGCCTCCACATCGTTCCATTTTCTTGAAGGCTCGACCAGATGATAGATTGTGGCGCACGGAGCTCTATCAACATCAAGATCAGAAAGGAATTCCATTTTTCGATATACAAGCTTACCATCCAGGCTGTTCCATCACTGTACCGATAATAGTCATACTCCTTTGCTATCCATGCACAGATTTCTTGTAGCGTGGCTTTACCATCATAGGCCTTGATGGCACGATATATAAGCTGGGCATAGGTGAGACTGGGTTTAGGTGGTATCTCTTCCGGCTTGGGAGGTGGCGGCGGATGAACAGGTATAGCAGATATATCACTCTTCTTTCTCTTCTTCGCGTTGGCTTTCGTCGATCTCGCGATTAAATTAGAGTTACCAAGTTGAAGTTCTGGGGGTGGAGTCGGAGGTTTAATTTGTCTTGGTGGAGGAGAATGTGAAGGTTGTGAAGATGGCGGAGATATGGAAGTGACGTCGAGCGATGGCGACCGAGGTCTATTTGTCGATGAATTGGAGCTTGGCGAAGGAGTATCTTCAGGGGGAGGAGGAGGGGGCAATACAAAGTGAAAAGTCCGCGAGGCAATCTGTATTTGGGAACTTTGAGGATTATCAGCAGGCTGACACGAGGACATATAATTTCTAGAAGAACATACCGCTCGCCTAAGGGTGCTTTGGTTCCACTTCCCTGCCAAACTCCATCAACCCAGGCCCCGTTCCGCCCGATTACAATTAAAATAAAGCGGTCTTCTTCCCGGTCGTATTCTATCTTGGCATGAAGCCGCGAAACGCTCTTCAAAGCCCCAAGGTCAACGTCAACCTGTACAGGCTCCGAGGCTATAGAAGAGGAGGAAGCAGAGACATTGGGGTTCGGATAACATCTCCGACCAATGGTCACAGACAGCGTCTGAATGTAAAATGTAGAATGGGGGAAGACAAGGGAGTAGTAGGCCGAGATTTTGTTTGGCAAGGAAGATATTTCCCCTTGTTCTCGTTTAAGCTTCCCATCTGCATGGCTGGGTGAAGCAGAGCGTGTCCTGGACTCCATTAAGTCGGGTGCGCTGTTGTAGTGGTGTTGAGAACGTCGTTGACAATGTTGTCGTCGAAAGTGACTGGGGTGCATGAGCACGTGAAGCACTTTAGTAGATCGCGCCGGTCGGGCCGTTTGCTATCTATTCATCCATGTTCTTTGCGCACGTTTCTAATTGAACAATGTCGAAATCTGCAGAAGCTGCAACTGAAGTTATTCAATCCGAAGTTGACCATCTCGCAGACAAGAATGTGGACAGTAAAGACACAGAACTGCGTTATATGGCTTATGGTGCCAGATTAAGAACTGCCCTCCGAGCATCCACTCGTTACATTGCCTATGTGAGTGATATGTTTCTCAAAAACTAAGCTTGTTGAATCTTTTCTCCCCTCCAAGACCAGTGATATCGGAGAGGCATTTCGTCCAGTCGTGCCCCCATGGATAGTTACCGCTGCCTATGGTATCTCCTGGCTATATTTAACCGGCGACGTTGGGTACGAAACGTACAAGGCTCATCGCCAAGGACCTTCAGCTTTAGAGGCTGCCAATTTCTCTGAACCCACGAGGTTAGCTTTTACTGCGGTGCAAAGAGCGACCTTCCAATCAATAGCATCCATGTGCGTCCCGATGTAAATCGTGACATCCTTCTTTTCCTCATTGCGTATACATGTAAAGGGCTCTACCGGCTCTTACGATTCACACTGCTGTAAATCAAGCCAAGAAGGCATTCGTCAACGTGAAGAACCCCCGCTTAAAAGTGTGGGGGCCTACAGCCACCGGGTTGTCCCTTGTACCTGGTCTCCCTTACATTTTCGATCATCCAGTTGAACAGGTCACCGAAAAAGCCTTTGAATGGATAAAGAAGAGGGTGGCCGATAACTCGAAGAAGGACGAGTTATAGAGATCATGATAGTTATGCTATTTAGATTCAATGCATATAGAATTTCAATCATACAACTACTTAGACGAAACTTTGGACTGCGCACACGCGGCTCTAGTTGCCTTTCAGATACTGTGATGTACTGTCAGTGTACTGTGCTGACTTTGTGAACAACCACATCGTATATTGATCATGCACATAACAGCCAAAATCTACTTGGACGTCATAGCGTTGTTCTTCCCAATGCAAGAGGTATCGAGCTGATACTCGTAGGTGGTATCAATCCAACTTCCGTCACCACCGCTGTGATACAAGACGCGGGTGTTGAATCATACAAAGGATTCAAGACTTCGAGACTAGAATTCGATTGCGGTACTTGGGGAGAAAACTTTGTTGGTGCTAGATAGAGATCAGCGAACAGTATAGCAGAATAATAGCCGATCGACGAACCTAACTCGTTCTTCCCAAAACCGTCTAGCATCACAGTATCGCTAAATTTATACGTTTCGCAGCATAGCATGACTGGGACGCTATGTTCTTTAGCCAGCATAGCGACCATGGCAGTCCCTGCCCTCGAATACACCGATCCATTAGCATGGAGTGAGTGTGCACCGAGTAAAACGATATCAGCATCAGTTATAAGGGAGGGAAGGGCAGGAAGAAGGGCGTAGGTGCATGGTAATGGAGGTACTGTGGAAGCGAGGCTGTGAAGTAGAGTTTTACCCTCAAGCAACGGCCGCGAGTCAATGACAATCACTGAAAATCGTTTATCCAGTGAGTGTGCGCGTAGTAAAATCTTTTCTACCAGCGACGATCTAATATGAAGATTGATAAGTAAATTTTGGTTAGCAGTTACCGAACACCAATTTACCTCGCGTAAGTAAGAACAACGTCCCCGTCTTTGATCTTTTTGACCGCTAGATCTTCGATAACTTCGTCTGCAATAATGATACGGTCTCGTATATATTCATCAATTTTATGGCAAAGCGCATCCTTTGCCTATTTTAGGCCAAAATGTTATTGCTCTCGCGGATATACGCGACAGGCAAACACGTACATCCTGCTCCGGAAGATCTATGTCTGAGCCACTGATCTCTAGCTTTAATTGTCGAATGGCATTCCCCATCGTAACTGACATGGGTCTTGCAGTGACAAGATGCGTAATTTGAGGTGATAAGTATGTCATGAGATGTCGCGAGAGAGTATTATGCGGAGGCGTAACATAATCTTGTATAACCTAGAAGGCAATCCAACATGAGATTTCCGAGTTGAAAAGTAGTCAAATAAAAATCACCGTCTTGAACGCAGTCAACGTAGCAATACACCGTGCATTTGCGCCACAGATCTTAAATTCCGAAAACTGTAATCCCAATTTGACAATCGCAGGATGTATGTCTCCTTTGATTTGATGGCCTGGGGTTTTTGGTAAACCGAAGTGTGAGAAGATGCGAAGGCCTCGCGATTTTGGGCTATCCGATGAACCGTCTGTGCCTCCAGCGCCGTCCCGTATGTTCGTGGGCGCGTCTTTCGACGTTGACGCTGCGGCTGAAGGTGTTTTGTTTGATTCAGAAATTGGTTTTTTAGGTGTAGCGGACCCCTTCGGTTTGGAAGAGGATGATCCTGTAGTGCCGGATACTCCCTGACCCGATTGTTGTTGTTTCTGTGCAGCTTTCGCGGCTCGTTGTTGTTCCTGTCGCGCTCGTCCTTCCGCTCGTTTTTGGGCTTTGCTGAGAGACTGGGCATCTGCATCTGCAGGCTCAGGTTTTAGACCTAGTTCAGGCATATCTAAGTTAGATCGGATGAAGATTAACAATCAAAAGTTCATGCACTTTCGGGAGCTACGGAGTCACTTCAGTGCTTGCACGTGGCTCCCATTTCCGGCAGGCAATTGCTGGAGACTTCAACACTGACAACAGTGACACTATTTTATTATCTTGCATCTTGTGTTTACTACGATAATATGGCAGGCTTCCAAATATCCCGAAAATAAACCATTACTGACTTATCTGCTAGGGTGTTCCCGCTCTTTTCCGATGGCTCAGCAAAAAGTATCCCAAAATTAGTGCGTGACGTTGCAAATTTGAACTACGGCAAGGTTGGAACTCATTGTCTATTCAGTTTATCCTGTTCAAGAGGAGGAGGAGGTTCAGGTCCCGGATGAAAACGACGAAATCGTTGTCATTCCTCCAAGAATGGCAGATTCCAATCCTAATGGGGTGGAATTCGACAACCTCTACCTTGACATGAACGGGATTGTGCATATTGCTGTCGTTTCTATGGCATACAATTACTAACTTCTCTTCTAGGTTCATCCATGTACGCACCCGGAAGGGAGGGTATGGAAGCTTCTCACCCTTGTGAAACTTGGTTCATTTCTGCACAATTCTAGCCTGCTCCGGAAACCGAAGAGGAAATGATGGTTGAAATTTTTAAGTATACCGAAAGAGTTGTGAACATGGTTAGACCGCGAAAACTCTTGTTCATGGCCATTGGTGAGCACACCTATATGCACACATACTTATGATTGACGCCTATTTCTCCAGACGGTGTTGCACCGCGGGCAAAAATGAATCAGCAGCGGTCTAGGCGGTTTCGTGCTGCACAGGAAGCCAAGGAAAAGGACGAACAAAGAAAAGAGTCGGTTCTTCTTTGGGAAGGTATGTACCGCACCACTTTTAACTCCCAGTCTTTGAACGCTAATCATCGAGATGTTCAGCCATGGGCAAGGAGTTATCCGAAGAGGAGAAAAACAAAGTCGCCTGGGATACTAATGCTATCACGCCTGGAACACCTTTCATGGATTTGCTTGCCGCGTCACTCCGCTATTGGGTTGTTTCAAAGATGAATACTGATGACGGCTGGAAAGGCGTACGTTTTGCCAATGAGAATACCATTGCTTTCCAGCTGATGCATCTTTTAAGATTCAAGTTATCATATCTGATGCAAGTGTGCCAGGTGAAGGTGAACACAAGATCATGGATTGGATCCGTCGCCAGCGCGCAAACCCCGGACATGATCCAAATACGCGACACGTTATCTACGGCTTAGTGCGCGAGCTTCACTTTTTCTTTATTACGCATAGACCCATTCTTTATAGGATGCCGATCTCATAATGCTGGCATTGGCGACACACGAACCTCATTTCCGAGTATTGCGGGAGGACGTTTTTGGCGAGAGCAATTCAACTGCTTGTCGGAAATGTGGACAGGAAGGTCATTACGCTGCTCAATGTACAGCCGAATTGGCACAGATTCAGAAAAAGCCTCCGTCGGAGAAGAAACCTTTTATTTTCCTAGATGTCGCCGTCCTGCGCGAGTATCTTGAGGTCGAACTTGATGTTCCTCAAGCTTACTTCCCCTTTGATTTCGAACGATCAATCGATGACTGGGTGCTTCTCATTTTCTTTGTTGGGAATGACTTCCTTCCCCACCTACCGTCGCTTGAGATCCGCGAGGGAGCGATTGATACTTTGTTGAGAATCTGGAAACAGGAATTGCCACGAATGGGTGGATATGTGACAAATCATGGTCGACTCGAGCTACCAAGAGTTCAAATTATTCTCGAAGGTTTGGCCAAAAGAGAAGATGATATCTTTAGACGCCGACGTGAAGGTACGTGTAAAATCTTCATGTCCTTTTCTTCACTGGAACAACTTTTGATTCTTATCTGCCGCTTCTCCTAGGCGAGGAACGTCAAGAAGCAAATGCCAAGCGTCGTAAGTTGGAGGAAGAGAATAGTAAAAATGGATTTACTGCGGGGCCATCATCCTCTCTTTCATTGACTGCTTCTACCTCTAGTCTTACTAATAATACAACCGTTGCACATCCATCCCTTCCTCCACGACCTGATTTTGCTGCCAGAGCGGATTCCATTGGCCTTGGCGCTAAGCCTAATGCAGAGTCTATTCAGAACATTCCCGCAGCTACACAGGCACTTGCGGGTTCGAACCATGACGTTGTAGCCAACCGGCGTGCTATTCGAATGGCCAATATGAGCGCGGCAGAGGTGCTCAAGGCTGAACTTGCTGGACTTGTCCCTGTGAAACCGACCGCCAGTAATGTTGACAATGTACCCAATGTACTCTTGCCCTCAGGCCCTGAACCTTCTATGATCATTTCAGATGCCACTGCAACGCCGTCTGTTGACATTACAATGACTGTCGACAGTGAGGATGAAGTTCCTGGTTTTGGCGCACAGTCTGTTACCGATGAGAATGCACCCTCTGTATCAACCGACTTTGATATACCGTTTTCAGAAAAAAATAATGTTGGAACTTTCGAGAATGGGACTGTGGGTGCTGATGATGTAGAAGCTGACCCGAACTTGGCGGGAACAAAGCGCAAACTTGACGAAATGAATATCGAAGAGACGGATGAAACTGTTGTAGTTGATGATGATGAACCCCCCGTGGATGGTCCCCATTCTTCTTTAGCGTTCAAGGTCAATCCAGATGGAACCGTTTCTCAAGAAGATACAGTGAAGTGCGTGGCCCTTTCAATGGATGGACTGCGACTATTGATATAGAGCGAACTTGATTTCAGACTTTGGGAACCCGGATATAGAGATCGATATTACAGGCAGAAGTTTGATGTAGAACCCAATGACAAAGAATTTAGGAGGCAGTATGTGTTTAATCTATAAAGTTTTGCTATGTTTTGACTCTTTGTAGGATCACAAAGCATTATGTTGAAGGGATGGCCTGGGTCCTGTGCTATTATTATCAAGGAGTACGCAGCTTTCCAGCTTTCTATTCATACTGGTTCGGGTCGTTAAAAATCAACATGTAGACTCCATCTTGGCAATGGTACTATCCGTACCACTTTGCACCCTTTGCGGCGGATTTCGAAGACGTCGATAAAATGGACATAAAGTTCGAAATTGGACAGCCATTCAAGCCTTACGAGCAGCTCATGGGGGTTTTTCCAGCGTCAAGGTGAGTGCTTAGTTTTTTTTGATTTCTGTGACTGATTTATCGAAAATAGTCGGAAACATATTCCTGAACCATTTCACCACCTCATGACGGACGACGACTCCCCTATTATCGATTTTTACCCATCTACCTTTGAGATAGACATGAACGGAAAGCGGATGGCCTGGCAAGGAGTTGCACTCCTTCCCTTTATTGATCCCGTTCGCCTTCTTGAAGCAATGAAAGAGCCTTACACAAAGCTCACTGAAGATGAAATTCGACGAAACACTTGGGGAAACAACTCGATATTCACATCCGATGCCCATCCAATACACCCATTCTACGAACAATTGTATGGTAAACGGCGACCCAAAGAGGTGATTCCATCCATTTTTGTAGTTTAGTGTCGACTTTAATACTCTAATCAACAGCCACTTCAAATTGATCACAATCTCACTAAAGGTGTCAGTGGAAGCGTTCTTCCCAACCCTGAATGTCTTCCAGGTTCTACTTACCTTACTCCCCTTGTTGAACAAAATCTGCCTGATATCAAGAACGATCGCTCACTTTCAGTCTTCTACTTTTTCCCCAAACAACTCACTCCTCACCGCTCGGTCTTGCTGCCTGGTGTAACTCGTTCTCCTCGCATGTTATCTGCCAATGATCTAGAGCATGCGCGAAATGGTGGTCGTGGCCGTGGTCGTGGAAGTGGTTATGACCGCGGGGGCAGAGACAGAGGCGGAAACGATAGAAATGACCCATTCCACTCTCGGCCTCCGAATTACGGCAACGGTCGAGGAAATTCCCGTGAACCATACCGAGGACAATACAGAGGAGATAACGGAAGCTACAATGATCGAGGCCGTGGTAGACCATCACCGAACAATAGCTATAGTAATGGGTATGGAAATGGTCGGGACGTATCATCAGCCTCGAATAACTCATATGGTGGGTATGGTGGTTACGGTGGAGGTCCCGCGAGAGATTATGGGAACGGTCCTACGGGAGGCTATGGCAGTGCACCTACAGGAGGTTATGGTGTTGGTAATGTAAGAGGAGGTTATGGTGGTACCAGCAGAGGTTACAGCGGGTCCGCAGGAAACGCCGGAGGTGGCGGAGCAAGAGACTACGAGGGATATGGTGGGTATGGTAATGCTGGTGGAGCAGGAGGAGGACCAGCAGCATATCGTAATAACGGAGGCTATGGTAATGCAGGTGGTAACTTCCCAGGTGCCTCACGAGGCAGGGGCAGCTACGGAGATGACAATCATAGTAGATATCCTGCCAACGGTTACACGAATCCATCCCATGGGAACGGAGGATACAGCAACGCAACTCAAGGTGGGCCTTACAACACACCCTCTAGGGGACGTGGACGTGGCTGGTAAACTATGTAGAAGTTTTCTTTTCCATGATTTCATTATATGTCACGACATAAATACGCTCGGTTCCACGAACTGTCATTGGTATTTTGTTTTTTAAGAGTATCAAGGAAATTTCCAGTATTGTTGACGCAAACAAAAAAATCTTTCACGACTGACGGAGAAAATAAATGTTCAGTTGCATGTACGTACTCAAACCTGTTGCATCATTCCAGGGTAGCTGGATGTATACCCAGGGCCTGGTGAAGGGCCTCTGAAAGCGGAACCAGGCATGGCAGGTGAATGCGGAGGGAAAGTACTGGGTGTTACTGATCCAGTTGTAGACATGTATCCCCCTGGTCCACCTTGTGGCAAACGAGTCAGCCAGAGCGAATATCTCTTTTCTCTCTGTCTCCTGCGATATTTCTTTTCCTTCCTGCGCCTCCTTTTCTCAGCTTTAGCTGCACGGCGTCTCTGTCGGGCGTCCGGCATCTCCGGAGGATAGCCTCCATAAAATCCAGTGGGAGGTTGATCATCCTCCCCGGATGAGCCGGAATCGGAATCGGAAGAAGAAGAGGTATCGTCATCGAACTCATCATGCGGTATATCAAAGGCTCCATATTGGGAGCCTGATCGTCGTTCGCGTCCTTTGTAGAGAACGAGCTCGACGCCTCGACGCTCAAAAAAGGAGTGGTTCCATAACTCTATGAGCTTGGCTACAAGTGTAGCTCTCTTGGGTGGCCTTCCGTTAACCGAAGTTCCAGGGGTAGGCAGACGTCCTGCCCATGCCAACCTGACATCCTAGAAAAAATTGGGAGGTGAGAAAATTAGAGCAGGGCAGATAACAGAGGTAGCCACATACATCCATAAGGCGAGTCCAGTCCGCGTTATAAACGTCGTGGGTCTGGAGCACAATCGGCATACGAGGCAATGACTCAAGAAAAAGATCCATGTCTTGTATTTTCATCGGTTCAAAAGGAGTATATGGATGAGCTGCATTGATCGGACGGGAGAAGCACTCCGGTGCAGCTAGTGTTCCTGAAGTTGGAACACCAGCCATCATCGGCGACATATGAGGCGACATATTATTAGACATACCAGGCTGAGGGTAAGGGCCGGCGGTAGACGGGAATGCCACTGAAGCAGGCATTCCAGGAGGCATTCCAGGTATAGGTGTAGTTGCTCGGGATCGTGCGCCGGAACCGATGGGTCTTCCTTCCATAATATGGCCGGGAGGATACACGTCTCCGCCTCCCGCAGCAAAGGGAGAGGTTGAACGACCGAATGGGGAGGCTGCCCGGTGATAAGGAGAAGCCGCTCGAGCACCATAAGGATCTTGTGAAGCAGACATTGGAGGATAATTAGACGTGGCATATGGAGAGGAAGGCCTCGGGGCTTGCATGTACGACGGCTCAACGGATCTAAGTCCTGGGGATGGATTACTATATGGTACACCTGCACGGAATCCCGCATTTGAACTGGCTGTGGGGACGGGATAAGCTCCAGGAGCATTACCATACGCACTAGACGGACGTTCAACCCCGAAATTGCCACTCATCCTTCGAGCACGCTCAGCCACAGCTTCGTGTGTGCTGTATTTGCGAGGCCGAGTGAGGGGGGCATTAGGTAAACGATCGTCATGATCAATACCTAGATCAGCGAATTGCTCTGACAGACCACCTCCCACACTATATTTGCGCTCTCTCTGATATCCCATTCCAGGACTAGGAGCATTAACGGAGGAGGGATATCCGCCAGCACCACCGTAACCGAGACGGTCAGATGTAGCGAAACCAGGAGGATACCCACCGGGATTTGCTCCTGTAGGAGGGAAACCTACAGATGAAGGGGTAGGGTAACCTTGATTGAAACTACTCCGCCTTTGAAGAGAAGTTGCTGCAGAAGCAGCGTCCCGCTCCCTAGCGATACGAAGGTCAGGATCGTTATCGTACCGGCTTTGGTTATATCGATCCTTCTCTCGAAGCATCTTCATTGAGTCTTTTTCTTCCCTCTTTCTCCGCTTTTCTTCGCTCCGTTGCCTGTTTCCGTAACGTCCATTCAGAAACCAAAGACGAAACGAGAATTATGATGGTTGCGATTGGCGAAAATTCGGCAATGTCATTACCGTAAGGAACACACATATAGTGAACAAAGCAAAAGCTATTGTGAGATTGGGGCTGGAGCAAGCTATCTATCACCCACCATTCTCTGAGAGCCTTTTGATCTTCTTTACTTAGGTTCCCTCGGCTCCAGGCTTGTGCAAACTCCTGAACCTGAAGGTCAATCTTCTAGAATAATAAGTAAAGATCAACGCAAGACTAACAGTACTTGCCGGCTGTGCGCCAGCCGGTAAAATTTGAGTGGCTTCAGCAGGGACCCACTGAATTCCAGTCACTATGCCTAGATAGTATTAAGGCGGATAGTGCGAGGTCATCAGCATCGAGGAATTAAGGATAAGTGCACAGAAGAAGGGCACTCAACCTGTTGGTGTTTGGTAGCTATCGATGAAATTAGCAGGCAATCAGAATATGTATTTCACAAAGCCCACCTAGCTGGAACAGCTCTGTAAAGTGTTAGTTAGATGATCGATACAATCTACTTCCGTTAAACTCACTTGAAGGGATGATAAACAACTCGTCCATCCGGCCCAATAGACGTCGTGTATGTGATGGATCCTGCGGTTATTTGGGGTCCTCCTCCTGGCGATTGCGGGGCTGTGTTGTAATGCGACTCTGCAGGAGTTGCATATGGCGATGGTGATCTGTACATCGTTCCTCAAGATTGGATGACAATGGAGGTAGTGCGAAAGCAACGACGTTTTCCCCAGCCGCTTGCCTCGAGGCTACGTCTTGAGATAACTGATTGAATTGATTAGATTACTGTTGTTATTCAAAAAATTGTATCAATTTGGTACAACGAAGAGTAATCTACAAGAATAGTCCAGGATATCGTATATTAATTCACCAAAATCTCCAGTATATGAAGATCATCAGAATCAGTGCAACCGCACCGAGTGGTGCATATTGGCGTAACATGGCTTGTAAGTTGATATTCCTCGCAGCTTTTCGGTATTTTTCGGACTCGGAACGTAAGGATGTAGACAGGTGCGACATTCCTGTATAGAAGAAAGATGAGAACATCATGATAGACAACATAAGAACAACGCACGGTCTAGAGAGTCTCCTCGCCATAATAACTCTTCCATATTCTTCGTCATGATTCTGGTAACATCCTGCAGTTCGTCATTCAATTTGTCCAAACCTGAGCTATTTGCTGCACTGGCTGTCCGCGTGTCCCTGTATAGCCGTGCAGTTTTGGACATGAATGTGTCTGAAAATAGTATTCAAACTACAGTGACACGGATTGGGCTCTGACAGACGTACCGAATCCCAAGAAAGCATAGGGCTTGCGCACAGTCTCAATCTTTGGCCCATACGTGGTGGCGAACTCCTTCGAAAGTTCATCAAGATATGAGAATGCCAATTTCCGGGGGTAGGACTTGTCTGCTATTGTGAGAAAAACAACATTATCTGCTATAAGGTAGCTATGAGGGATAGTAAGTAAGTGCCGCGAAACTAGTGAGTGCTATTACCAGCACAACGCACTGCAGAGTATATTGTCCGCTTTCTATTGAGCATCTCGGTTCAGAATTGGGGGTAATCCGGCGGAAGATGAGCTTGGACTGTTGTTTGTGCTCTTGGAGAGCTTGTTCTGTCTAATTCAGTTAGACTAGTAAGCAAGGGGCGGAACATTTAAAAAGTTCAGACCGGACCTGTTCGTCGTCTACACTAGCGGCGAGAGGAAGGGCATCAGATGCCCGAACAATAATGGTCGAACGAACCATAGCTTTAAGATGAAATGAAAGGACTCGTCAAGGACGTGTCCAGCTTCGCCTGGATTGATTGCTTACGTACCCGGCCCTGGACTTCCGGTTATGTCATGGACGACAACCCGGTGACTTTCCCGGTTCTGTATGATTCTGGGCTACAGTACAGAGAACATAAATAATCAGCATTGTTGAATCACTCGCAAGTGACTTTCTTTAGTACTCCCATTATGTCTTCTATCTTTGATGTCAACACGCAGGTACTAAAAGTTTTCAGCTCTTCTATCTTCTCTTGCGGTATTCACTCCGTCTTTGAAGCTCACATTTTACGGCGCATATCATAATAATAAGATCAACATTCTCATCCATGTCATCTGCGTACCGCTGATTATGTGGTGAATTCATCTCGGCCTTCTGTCAACACTATCTCTTCTCTAACTCGGGCTATCTTCAGGTCGGCTATGGTGCTACTTGCAAGCGCCCCGCATCCATCCTTCTTACCGGAATACCACCAGGAATTTAACAAATGGCTGGTGTTTGAGCTGAACTATCCGGCTATTCTCTTCACGGTCTACGAGACATATTATTTCATACTGGAACCTGTAGCTGCTGTACGGTTTTCCAGCCTCTCCTTGCAAGTCTCAACTAAACTCTTGCTCCAGTTACTCTACGCGCCACAATTCACCCTCTCCCTTCTAACGGCTACTGCATTTGCTCAGAGGTCTGACCATCTGACCGTAGCTATTACCATGCAAACAATCTCCTGGATTGCCCAATTCCTTGGTCATGGTGTTGCAGAGAAGCGAGCACCCGCGCTCCTTGACAATCTAGTTGGTGGTGAGTTCTATGGCATTCATCTCTACATTCAATCCTCATTAGTAACCCGCTCCAATTTCAGCCCTCGTTCTCGCTCCTTTCTTTGTTCATCTGGAGATACTTTTCGCCTTGGGCTATCGACCTGATATGCACAAGCGTCTTGTAAATGACGTTGGGACAGAGATTGCACGTATCAAAAAGATCGAAGGTGACAAGCGCCGGTCGAAAAGTCAGTGAACAGCAACTGTCTGCAATACCCTGTTCTTTCGATTGTTTTGCAGTCAGATTCTTTATGTACCGTAGTACCCATTGTTATTGTATCCCAAGGAAACGGAATTTATGTACACCTATCCTCTACGGTAATCCATACTCTCGAAATCTGCATATGTATCAGTTATTGGCCAAGCTCGCTGGAGGGGGTAGAACTGGCTCTCCAATTGCAGTCACATATGCGGATGAAAGTCCTCCGTCGACAGTAAAATCAGTACCCTGTTAGTCTAATCAGTGAAGGGAGGGTTAGAAAAAGAGTGGAGATTTACTGTCATGTAACTGCTGTCGTCACTCGCCACTGAGAACATGCCAACACCGGTGAATACTAGTGATTCACCACAATGACAGATACACTCACAGAAAAGTGCCGCTTTAGCCTGCTCAATAGCTTCACCGAATCTCCCCATCGGAAGATGCACCATTCGGCGCTGCTTCTTCTCTTCCGTGTTTAGGAAGTCCATCAACAAAGCTAAGAACTCAAATTAGTCAACCATATCTGAGTTGCAAAAGGAACATTCAACTGACGGGTCTTGAGCGGGCCACTAGGATATTCGCCTCAGAACAACATGGATAAGAACAAAAACAATATATTTGACATACGGGCAAAGTGAGTTTAGACGAATGCCTTCTCTCGCATGAACCATTGCCAATTCACGCGTCATAGCGAGCACGGCACCCTAGATGTAGCAACCTTAGAAGATGCATCTGAGGGATTGGAATGCTACGCACCTTTGACGCGGTATCTACGTGCCAGACATGATGTTGTTAACAAATCCAAATGGAAAAACAAGAATAAAGCACAACTTACAAGCTAGCTGGGGAGTGGCAGCACCCATTAACGCAACAAAACTTGCAGTGTTGATGATACTTCCACCAGTGTGTAGTCCAAGGGAGTCGTCGGTAGGATTCTGTCTCATGGCCAAGATCGCGTATTTGCATCCCCACCAAACCCCCTTGAGATTTATTTGCATCGTGAGGTCCCATATACGTTCCTCAGTGTTGAGTGCATTATCGTCCTCAGGATGCATTATTCCTAAGCAGAAACCGTAGATCAGGGAAATATCATATATATATGCGCACAAGCCTTACCAGCATTGTTGAACTAGATGAAGTTGGTCAGAGCGCAATACGATATCAAAGTCCATAGATTGTAATCGCGCACCATGATATCCAATCTTCCAAATTCTTTCACCGCAGTATCCACGGCATCCTTGATATCTTGCTCCCTGCTCACATCACATTTGATTGCAATCGCTTTAACATTCGGGTATCTGGTCGCAATAATTTCTGCTCCTTTCTTCGCTCCATCGATGTTGACATCGGAAAGGACGACATGACAACCTTCTTGAGCAAAGAGAACGGAAGACTCGAGGCCGATTCCCCTGAGTTTGGTTGATGGGTAGTGAATGAATTGAGTGAGATGCAAGGAAAGGCAGAAAAAGGCGGGTCAAATAACATACGATCCTGCACCGGTGATGAGGGCTACCTATGAGGACGTAAATGATGATATTCTGATGAAGGTAAGTGAAGGAGAAACTAGCTCTGTTTCGAAGGCGTCCTGACATAAAGATGAGGGTAAAGATAAAACTTGAGTGGGAGAGATAGGTGACAGCGGGCAGGTATTCGGGCTTTGGTGCCATATTTGGAAAAGGGCCGAGAAACTTGAGGGTACATGTAGCCTTTAGTCCTTCTAGAACACAAATGAATATCATCTTGTTAACTTGTAAACATACATCTCCAGCTATTGCTAACCCCAGCCACACATACAGACTAATGGGCACAGCAGCTCAAATAATATTCATCCCAAATAGACTGCTTGGTGAATGTCTTGAGGAAAGTACTTTTAGCATTCTCTTCTCAAAGTCAAGGATGGTGTGCAGCATAAATTCTTCAACTCTCAATGTAGTCAGGAGTCCATATATGACTGTAATTATTTGCAAACAATAGCTTGTGCACAGAGTAATTTCCTCAAAGGAAAGCTCTCCTCCGACAATTGATCTCCCTCAAGTTGGGCCCATAAGCAGCTTCCACGAAATACAAAAAGGTAAAAATACATAGAGCCAATAATCAATCCGGACCTCCTTCTAACATATCGAGGAAGTCCAACACGTCTCGAGGATAGGAATACGCCGAGACGTCAGTCTGCCAAGACTGTACCTCGCGTTGAGTCAAGGGCCTCGCGGGATCGCGAGACACTTCGCTTGTGAGCACTGGTCGGTGTGCGTCTGTATTTAGCCCCTGCATCATCCATTGCTCATCTCCTGAATCAGACTCTGTCACAGAAGCAGCTTGAGAAGGTGGCATAGAAGGTAGTTCTACTTTCGTCCCATCACGTCCATTAATCACATTGTCCGTTATAGGTAGCCCCTCACTTTCAAACAGGCTTTGGATATCTTCATCATTGATGGGAACCATAGCATGATTGGATTCTGGGCGTTCGATATTTGGAGATTCGGAGATAGCTTCCTGCGCAGCGTAGGGTATGGTATTCTCGCTAAAAATAATGAAAACGCGTAGAAAAATTGGAGGCACTTCACGTACTGGCTCAACATAGGACTCTTAACGGCTTCGTCTGTCATACTTTGAACCTCAACTGGAGAATGGAAGACAGATTGACTGGGGACCAGGTTAGTTTCAAGAAAAAATGGTTCCAACAACCGATTGTACCTTTCATCGCACCCGGTTGGGCTTGTACGTGATCCGGAACCCGACGAAAGGTCAGTCGCAGTTGCAACCTGCCTGGCTTGCTCAAGCTCGCGCAAAACACGCTTCCGACGTGGAGAAACAGCTTCGAGGAATATCCCATCAAAATCCTGTGACTGAGAGCAAGGAACTATCTCATCTGAAGGGGGGTGAGCACTATGGTGCTCCTTTGCGTTGTATTTCCTATACATAGAAAGATCGACCTCCACTTCCTGGCTTTGCGAAGTCGGTACTTGTGAAAGATCGAATAGTTCGTCGCTGGTAATAGCATCAGCTGCCAATGATACGCCTTTTCTGTGAACGTAAAGATCGATCTCCACTTCTTGGCTCTGCGAAGTCGGGACTTGGGACAAATCATCTAGTTCATTTGTAGCATCGGGTGTCAATGCCTTGTGTTTCCGGTTTACAAGGAAGTCCATCTCTGCTTCCTGATTTTGTGAACTGGGAACTGATAGATCAGGAGATTCGTTCGGAACTATAGGCAGTCGTAACAAAGGCGATTCCGGCGTAGCAGGCACAATCTCGGTAGTATGATTGGAGCGTTTGGGCGTATTCGGAGTTATAGTAGCAAGCGACCGACCCAAGGCCTGTCGAATAGAAGGAAGCGACGAAGAAGTCATTTCCGAGTAAAATCTCCCGGCCGCTTTGAAGTGTCGCGGGCTGGAGGCTTTAGGAGGATGAACGCTGGATGCAGGAGCCGGCTGTACTATCATAGATGTGAGTGGCCTGGGAGTTTGAATCAAGAAGGGATTCGCATTTGTGTCTCGTTGGGGCTGGGTACTGCTAGATGGTCCAGTGGTGAGGTCGATAATACTGTCAGAGGTATGACCTGTATCGGAAGCCCTGGCGAGCGATTGAGGAGTAGCATAATGGTGATGAGGAGGTGTTCTTCGGGAAATTGTCCTTGTATGGCTGGCGGAGGTAGAAGAAGAAGCTGTGGCGCTGAAACCCTCTTTATTCAGAGACTTAGTTCTGTTAGAAAGCTGCTGTCGGCGAGGGGCGTCGACTTTGGCCTTCTTCGAGGACCCAGATGGTTGCAATGACATTTCATCATCATCTGAGAGGATTTGTTTCCGCTTCTTCGGAGGATTAACGTTTTCCTTCTTTGTCTTTCGCTGAAAATATGAAGTTATTGGGAACATGAGTCAGTTTCAGCACACTTAGAGCATAGGCATAGTTTCCGGCTGAGGTCTGGTAGGGTTAATGCGCTGACCAAAATGAGGGCACGCAAGGGAACACAGTTGGCTTGAAGTTGGTGTTAATGGCGAAAGGGAAGCTATAAAAGTAACGTGATCGCGAGGACTAAGAGGCCAAATAAATAAACGCGTCCTTTACACCTTCATGTCCTCCTCTGATTCTCAGCAAGTCAAAAAACGCAGAATGTCTACCGAACCTGAGGCTTCAATTGCACCCATCTCTCAGCTTCTAATCAAGCGTCACTCAGAAAAAGCCAAAACACCCTCGAGAGGGTCTGCTCTCTCCGCAGGCTATGATCTATACAGGTACGAATGCCATAACTGTTAACTGGTGATGGGTCGTCTCTCATCATTGAATTTGAACAAAGTGCCGAAAAGAAAGTCGTTCCGGCTCATGGAAAAGCCTTGATTGACACGCAAATTTCTATCGCCGTCCCAGTAGGACACTATGGTCGTGTTGCTCCAAGAAGTGGTTTAGGTCGGGATCCGTGTTTAGCCTCGTTGTGCTCGATTAATTTTAGCTTCTTCCGCAGCCTCTAAGTTCATGATTGACACTGGGGCAGGAGTCATAGATGCTGATTATCGTGGGGTGGTTTTTGTTTTGCTATTCAATTTGTCGGACAAGGATTTTGAGGGTGAGTGGCCCAGCTACTTGAGACCGCATGATTGAATTTCTTAGTCAATTAGTCGAAGAAGGTGATCGGATAGCACAGCTCATTATTGAAAAGATCCATACACCTGAGATCCTAGAAGTACAGGTGAGACGCGTCAGTCCTAACCGGAGAAGTTTGAAATCATGTTCTTTTACAGGACCTGGATGAGACACTTCGTGGTGGTGGCGGATTTGGATCCACTGGTGGTCATGGTGCTTTATAAAAGGTAACCTTTAAGCAGCAAAGTATGTAGTGCTTGTGTCATAAATATTTTGAATTTTGCCTCGCAAATCGATTTGCGAGTGTTGTCATTTGTGCGCTTATATCGGCGCTTGTAAGTTGTTATGTAATCAACTATTATTCTGTGCTTGTCTACCGTCTTTCTACTGCGTCTATTGTACAAATGGACGTCGTTAGCACTGTGCGGACCTGCATTGATGCTTGGAAGTCTGGCGGAGAGGAAGAATGGTGCGTGTTTGTTCCACTCTGCATGTGAAAAGCTCATGTCGCCACAGTCGCAATATGCTCATTGCACCTCATTGTAATCCTTCCGACGCAGAATGTCACAACGTCCTGGAGACCACGTACAGCACTTTACTCGCTTCCACTCTTACCATGTGGACATACAAGCAGACTCTCTCTGCGGAGGGTTTCGTCACGTTCATATGTTCAGTTCTGGACAACCTACCTTCGACTTCGTCCCCCAACAGAACCTCAAATTTTGCTATATTCGGGGAACATCTAGTGGACTTGATTTGGAGTGTAGATGCAGAGCTAGATGAAGTCTTAGTTGATGTAAAAGCCACTATCGCTGCTTATGATGGACAGAGCGCGGACAAGCCGCAAGCCGTGCTCGGAAAGGCCAACAGGGTTAAACAGAGTGCCGAGGCAGATAAAGCTACCATTGTTTTAATAGTGAAGAAACTTCTGGTGTGTTTGCGAGCCATTACGCGTTCCTATCTAATGTTTATTGATAGCAATATGGTGTGCTGAGTGCAAACGTCTGTCGTGAGCGGTTGGACACTGCGATTCTGGAGGGTGTTGGGCTCATGGTTAAGGCTAATCTTGATAAGAAGGAGATTAGGACACGCACAGGCTTATTGTGCGTCTTCAGCTCAACTAATCAGTATGAATTATTTCGAATCATCCTTTTTCTAGTTACAAACAAAACAAGTTCAATCTTCTTCGAGAACAATCTGAAGGTTACAGTAAACTCACGGTTGAACTCACAAGTGCCTTGGGGATTGGTCACTTACCTTCAACAGGTCGACCACAAGACCCGTACGATTCCATACAGCATCGGGCACATGCCGTTTGGGGAAAAATCATTGGTCTGATAGGTTTCTTTGACTTGGATCCTAATAAGGCATTGGATATCTTACTCGATGTGATGTCCGTTAATCTCGCCTCCCATTACACATTTTTTCTGGCGCTTCTATCTTTTTCTCCCTGGGCACGAAGCCCCTTGCAACACGACCAACTACCTCTGTCGGAAGGTCAATTCAAAGGAAAGACCCTGGACGAAATTCTGGAACTGGTGAACCCTAGGCGTATGTCTTCCGAAAAAGACATCAACGGTGGTTCCCGTGTCCTTGCTCAAATTCTGGGCTTCAAACTCAATTATTATCAGCCGGCTGAAGCCCATGAACCCCCTAAATCGCTGTATCTTACAGCAGCTATTCTCATTCGCGAAGGCTTCGTTGCTTTGGAAGACTTATATCCTCATGTACGTCGTTGTTCGCTCAAGATCGTCACTCTGGAATTCAATATATGAACTAGTTATCTCCCGATGACTCTGACATGGACAATGTCCGTTCAGCCTATATGAAGGAAGTTCAGTCGCGAATATCATCCGCAAAAATGAGTCAGCTGGCGATGGCAATGCCTCTAGAATCCGGCACGTCTTTACTCTCATCGGTCAAGACGAAGGTAGCTGCACCTGAGATTAAGAAGGTTTCCGAACCCAAGAACCCCCCCAATCAGAAAACTGGAATTCTGTTAGCTCTCCTCTCCATAGGAGCTATGAAGCCTGCTGTTGGAATTCTTTCAAGATTCCCATGGCTCGTCGATGCTCAACCAGATATCGCCGACCTCCTGATTCGCATCATGAAACTTTCCATCTCTCAATTATACGATTCCCTCATTGACACCAAAGAGCGCAATCCCGACTTCACTCAGCCCCGCCCACGATTCAGTGGCACCGGATTGGCACCTCCTCCCCCCCGCAAGCCTATTCTTTCGCTTTTGGCTCCCAATCCTCCCAGTTCAAGTACTGTGGATTACGTATTCTTCTTTCCGAATTGGAATGAACAAATACCTATATGTACCTCTTTGGACGATCTAGTATACGTCATTGAACCACTTTTGCGGTTTATTGGGCTACATATTTCACGCGATCCACTATTCCTCACTAAATTTGTGAGACTAGGTCGCCAGCACCTACTTACAACTGTAAGGGTGTTCACTATCTGATGGAGTAACGAATTGATTTTCCTGGTCTTTTCTGATCCAGATTCCAATCGATCCCTTAACCAAAAAACCTGATGGTGAACCAGATCCGGAAAACACTGTCCGAAAATTCTGGTATCGAATCGTCCGCCAATATCTTTTACCTGCTATTCCATTGATTAGAGGTAATGCCGTTTGCACTGTAGAGGTATGGAATGTCGTCAAACTGTTCGACATCAGCCTGCGATGGAAACTATACGGAGAGTGGCAGTCGGAAACATACAAAACACATCCAGAACTCCGTATCCGCCGTGTGCAGGCCGAAAGAGAGTCGAAGGGAATTCTTCGTCGGCTCTCACATAAGACAATCGAGTCACTCGCAGGTCCCGTTGGGAAATTGGCGCATTCCAACCCTTGTATCTTGTTCACTAACGCGGTAAACCAGATTATGGCTTACGATAATCTAGCTGCCGTCGTCGTTCAGGTTTTGCGTTCTCTCACCAATATGGGGTTCGACGTCTTGACTTTTATTATCTTGGATGCTCTGGCCAACCCAAACAAGGAGCGAGTAAAGGATGATGGTGTCAATACTTCTGACTGGTTGCAAAGTAAGTCCAATATCTCATTCCTGTTTCTTTCTTAAGCTTTGTCTAGGCCTCGCTTCCTTCACCGGCATGCTATTCCGCAAGTACAATGCGAATATGAGCCCAATCTTGACATATATTGTTCATCAACTTCAAAACGGCCAGACGACCGAGATTGTCGTTTTAAGGGAACTGATATGGAAAATGGCCGACATAGAGCCATTACCCAGCCTGTCAGATCCGCAAATTCAAGCAATGGCAGGTGGGCCCGCTCTGCGTATTGAGGCAATCGCATCGTCCACTCGAGGTGCTCGAATGGATCCTACAGAGGGCTCACGGGCGTCCCTTCAACGACTTGGCCAAGGTTTAATTGATACTTCTTTGGCTCTGCCCCTACTTATACATGTTGCTCAACAACGGCAATCTTGCGTGTTTCTGGCTCGAGACGCACATTTAAAATCATTGGCAGGCTTATTCGACACAGTAAGTCTGACATGCGTGTTATCAGATCATTAACTCATATTGATTCAAGACACACGGTGTCTTGCTGCAATACTTGGAACTTCTTACTACACCTCTTGTCGTGTCTCCTCACGATTATGCGACTAAAGTACTACCTCCCCTCCGTGATTTGTATGAAAAGTTTGGTATATGTGCGCCAATTTGCATGCAAATCATACGCCCAGTGCTTCACGCCCAACTATTAGTCAGTCTCTGAAATCACACGTTACAGTTGACACTCACAGACACATCTAGGACTCGGCTCTGAAAATGCAAGAGCAAGAGCGTTTAGCCAATGAAGAGGCTGAGAAACGTCTGAAGGCAGCGTTGACTGCTAAACGAGAGCCATCCGTCATACAATCTCGGATAGCCTCGCCCATGCCAAGTATGTCCAGGGAGCTAGCGTCCGAAGCCAAACCTATGCCAGATATCCTTTCCACATCAGAATACGTTTCCATGGAGGTTGATGCTAGCTCTGCAGCCCCCGCAGCTCCGGAGGTATGTGCTGTCTCAATTTATCCTTTCTCCCAGTGACCGTTGCTTCAGAGTCCTTGGCTTCCTCAACTGGAAAGCCTTTTTGAGGACGTCCAGAAAATTATTCCAAAGTCTGTTTATGATGTTTTGGGGTGAGCTCACGATCTTCATCCCTCGTGATAAGAAAATGATTGACTTTACTCTTTAGGCCGGGTTTCTATGTCACGTTTTGGCAGCTGTCTACTTACGATCTCTCCCCCCCGGGGGCGAGGTACGACGAAGAGATCTCTGCTCTACGTAGTCTTAGTCGACAAGAGGACAGCAAGTACATAGCTTATGACAAATCTTCGGATCGTTCCAAACGAATATTGGCTTCTTCGCATAGAATTAAACGAGAAAGATTCAATTCTTTCGCCTCGACCTTACTGCAAGAATTCAAAGAACAAACTACCTCGCGTGCTTTCACCGTGAAACGACTAGCGCGCGAAAAGACTCACTGGTTCACTACCGGTAATCTGAATTGATTCCTTTTATACCACTCCACTCATCATTATTAGTGACAAGCGCTACGCAGAAGCAAACACAAGCCCATATACTTTTGGATGCATTCATTGAACATTGCATCCACCCTCGCAGCCTGCTTTCTCCAATGGATGCCGACTTTTGCGCCCAGTTCATCAAGGTTCTGCATACTCAAGGAACACCGGGATTTCACACGCTTGCATGTTACGATAAGGTGATCACAAACTTTTTCAAGAGTCAGTCAAAGTCTAAGGTAGCACCGCTCAGATTCTCGGAGACCAGATTAAGGTTATATTGTTCTCATGTAGTGAATACGAGGCCCGTAACTATGGTCAGTAAACCTGTCATATTCAGAAGATTTCTCGTTCCTGATCCTGTCGTAGGTCGTTTCTTACTAGGAGTGCTCTCCGACCTCCATAAGTGGCACTCTGAAGAGCAGACTTACATACAAGATAACCGATCGAAGATAGGGGGTAAGGCCGTTTTGCATACCGGCTTTCAGAGCCAATACCGGCTCCCAATGCATCCCGAAAATCATCTCAAATGGAATGTATTCCAGAAAATCGTTCGAAAGTGGCACAAGAAAATTTCCCTGGTAGTTATCTCGTATCTCTTCTGACATGCCCAAACCGACGTTAGCCGGGATATAGGCTTTTATAGACTGTATTCAGACCGCAGAGTTCATGCATGTCTACAATGCCATCATCGTGCTCAAGGAGATTTTACCGTTCTTCCCGTTATCTGCTGTTTCTCAAGAAACTGGGCCTCAGCTTGATAGAGTCATGGACTTGTTCTTGGAAAAGGAGGAACGGGGAGACCTTAAGATTTTAGGCCGAGCGTAGGTGGCGTTGATCATTTTCCCCTCATTTTCTCACTTCCCCTAGTTATTCTGCAAGTTTGAAAAAGCGTGAACAACTCTGGACCCCGAACAAAGCTATTAATAAGGTATGTCTTGCAGTTTCGGCCTAGTTATCTTAATTCCTCAACCCTGCATTAGCTACCCACGACTGCTTCTCCTAGACCCACTGTACCGGGTATTGATAGGCCGCGCGTGTCTGCGCCTCCTGCAGGGCTTAGTGCCCAGAATCCCGCAATAAGTGACGCCAAGAGTCTTCCTTCGTCTAATTCGTCGACTTTAACACCCTCCGGTCCCCGCGCTCAATTAGCAAGTGGTAGCCCTGCGTCTGCTTTGGAAAGGTATTATAATCATTTTCTTTTGTTCGTTTTTACTAAAAGTCGATTAGTCTACGGCCTCCAGTCGTGAAGAGGGTTCGGCCAGACATCTCCAACCCTGCTTCGCCCGTTCCTTCCGTTGATAAGCTCTTAACTACCGAACATGTCTCTACTCCGTCTGTGGAAAGATATGATGATGCCAAGGGGAGCGCCCCGTCTTCGAGCATGTCAGTTGGACCAAAGGAAACAACACTTCATCCACCGCCTTCGCCACCACTTGGAAATGAGCGGGCTATCGAAGAATCAGGGCCCCATGTGCTGCCTACCATGCCTCCTCCATCCGAACCTAGTCAAAAACCTTCTGCACAAGAGCTCCGAGTGACCGCTGCTCAGAGCCGCTCGGACAAGACTGATGACAAGAATGGACGATCAAACGAGTCTCCTCGTGCTACCAATGGGTCTGCTGCTGCTTCACCTCGGCATCGTTCTGCTTCACCATCGACTCGTCCGGGCACCCGGAATCACAGTACAGAGAGCCGGACGAGCGCTGGTCGATCACGGAGCGAACGGGATAAAGTCGAGCTTTCTGGGGACAAGAGGGAGCGCGAACATGGACCTCGGCGCGACAGCTTGACACATAACAGAAGTGACCGCAGTGGTAGGGAGCGCACAACTACCGGAGATAGTGATCGGGATCGCGAACGTCGAGACCGGCACGGTGATAAGGAGAGAGACCGTGACCGAGATAGGGAGAAAGACCGCGACCGCGAAAAAGACAGAGATAGACATGGGGATCGACATCGCCGAGACGACAAGAATCATACCCGTGATGCCAGGAAAGATCGCGATGGTCGTACCGCTGAGAGTGGTAATCAGGCAGCTGTCGCGGATCCCCGTGTACCAACTCGACCTGATGTAAGGCGTAGGAACTCCGACGAAGCGCTTGGAAAGCGCCGGAGAGGCACAGAGGACGATGTGAGTGTTCATCTTACCATGTTTCAAAGAGTTTAAAAGAAGCATTCGCAGGCCGACCGCGGTTCCAAACGGAGCTCTCGCAAAGATGCCCATCGTGAAGAACGTTCCAGACGCCCTGGCGACAAAATCGAGCGTGACAGAAACGAACGACCTCGCGATTCAGATAGGCGCAGACGTGATGGAGAGAATCCAGATAACCGTGCTGATTCCTCAGAAAAGGTCTGTGACCTATATCGGTTGGTTTTATTCGTAAAGTTGACTCAAATAGCAGGTTGAAGGCAAACGTCCGCCTGAAGGTCCTCAAGGCGAAACAAAACGTGTTGAACGCCTTGACATTCCCTTGAGATCTGGCTTGAAACCCCCTTTCCCTCCGAATACCCCTTCTGCACCGAGAGCTATGTCATCTTCCGATGCAAGAAATAGCGGCAAAGCAGACAATGGATCAGGTCGTCGAGATAATACGTCAGGAACCAATTCTGTTCCTGTTGAAGGGGGTATGGGTAGTTTACGTTCCAGGATTAGCGACAAGGAAATTAGTTCCAGACCGTCATCCTATCATGGACAATCAAGAAAAGACGACAGAGACTCCAGAAAAAGACCATTTAATGGTATGCAGGTGTCCTCAAACTTGTTCTAGTCGACTTACGCTTTATCTCATAGATCGCGAAAAAGACACGCTTGAAACCTCTAGCCAAGGACCAGAGCAATCTACAAGTAAGCGACTGAAGCTGAATCGCAATCGTTATATTGGTGAATCTGCCAATATGGCAAAGAAAACATTACCAATCAACCCTCAGGCTGGGGATCGACTTCAAGGAAGAAAGGACTGATAGGCCCAACGCCTGAGAAGGAGGCTGCTGATATCGTAGGCTTTACAAAAAGCCCTTTATTGTTTTATATTACTGAACAATTGTATTACCCTTCCATGCACAGTTAGCATACATTATGTTGAGATAAATTACCGTGAATATCCGGTGCGAGTTGAATCGTATGAAGCTAGTGGTCTATGTCCCCCAGACAGAACAAATTCATCGTTTAATCAGAGTCAAGAATTCCTCCCGTGTTTTTTGTTGAGTGCGGAAGCATCCAAGCATGCACGATGTAGTGGTTATGGATCCTGGTTTCTGAACCCCTCGCATCGTCATACAAAGATGCCTGAAAAGCTGAGATGAAACATGAATTGGGAATAGAAGATGTGGACCGTACGTTGCATCCATGACTACGGCGACACCGCGAGGTTTGATTGCTTCTTGAATGGCAATGGCGACTTGTTTCGTTAATCGCTCTTGGACTTGAAGACGGCGGCTGAACGTTTCCGCAATCCGTGCAAGCTTGGAAAGACCGAGCACCAATTTATTGGGAATATAAGCTATTGCAATCTGGAAGGACTGGGTAAGAGGAGATATGAATGGCTTGAAAAACAGCTGGAACCGACCTTTCCAGTGAAAGGGACGAGATGATGTTCACATAGACTGGAGATGTCGATGTCTCGTACAAGGACCATTTCGTCGTGGTCTTCCATGAATACTGCATCGTTTATAACATCTGAAGAGGCGAAGTTGTTCAATGTATGATGAGCAGCGTTCGGGAATCACATAGCACCTGTCAGACGATCTTCATACCCTTTTGTCATCCACATGACAGCCTTTGCATAACGTTCAGGTGTTTTTAACAATCCCTCTCGGTTCGGATCTTCGCCTATGCAATCAAGAATTGTTCGAACAGCTTCTGCGAGTTTTTTCTCTCTTGCAGCCTTCTCTTCGTTTGTTGCGGTGAGTCGAGAATAGGTTGATTTGGCTGGACAGTATTCAGGAGAGATTCGATTATATATGACACTCTTACCTGGCCATCCGAGACCATTAGAATCTGGGACGAGGCTTTCAGATGCAGCAGAAGCAGAAGCGATAAGGGGGGTAGATATTCCAGATGGAGGACGAAAGCCATAACCTTCGTGGATACGAGGGGTACCAATAGAAACAGAGTTCCCTTCAGGATGGCCAGAATCCGCCTTGCCGTTGGCTTGGTTTTGACAGGTCTCCAGTTTAGACAGACTTTCGGCGAGCAAATCGCTATGAGAAGGAGCCATTAGTTGAAAGATTAAAGAACGATTTGGTGTGAGTAATTTCAAGACAGTCACACATGAAAAAATGACAGCTTATGCAATCATCACAATGCACCACAAATTCATATTGGATTTGACAAGGAATCAGTACTTGTATTTGGGTTACATATCCCGCCGATTCCTACAACACTACTGCTTTCTTCTCACATAGCGTCAATCATGGCAAAATCATAGTGTCAATTAGGAGCAATTAGGGCATCAGGCCGGGCGGGGTTCTGCAGGAGATTCTGGGGGCCTCGATCTCGTTCCCATTACTCATCTGTAACTGATTAGGGAGTGAACGTTTGAACATTTTCCTGCGCATGCAAGTGGGGACGTCAACGTCAAGATGTTTGAATTTTGTGGATTGAGCCTTGAAGTTTGTTTATTTGGTTGTACAAAAACTCACTTCACAGCTCGAAGGCCTTCGTTGTTCAAAAATGAAGATGATAGCAGATGATAGCACTCTCGGATCACAGTGTACAATGTACAGCACAGCTATACTAAATACCCTCCGGCCTTCCTTGCATCTCTCCTCTGATTTAAGTCAACATCCCTCAAGAATCCACCCTCCGCCAGTGCCTATGACGCAGGACTTCACTAGTCATTACCGAATTTGACCGATCTCCAGATCAATAAACACACACAGGAAGTTGAATAAATGGAGGATGGAAGGTCCTATGGAAGGTCTTTGAATCTCACAGTGAAGGGATCACTATTACTCATGTAAAATATGCAATTGTCCTCGCCGAGCCACAAATGTCCTTCGTGGAAACCATTAGGTTTCTCCTCAAATTCAAACTTGACCACTGGCTTGTACGAAGTATCCTTCCAGGGATCACCATTGAATTTCAATTCCACATCCTTCCACATCTCCCAGATGTTCTTTATGTAACTCACACTATGGCTTCAATGGACTAGTGATGTGCCGGCTGGGGCCTGGCTCAAGAGCCCCAGCCAAAGCTCATGAAAATCTTGAGCCGGGCCCTACATGAAGGCCAGGGTTCGGCTGGGTTCGCTGGGTTCCGACTCAAGCTTGGGCCCCGGCTGGGACCCAAACTATCTAGTAGCGCACGTAGAGCGGATCAGATCGCTATGATGGAGAGTGGGGTCGGTAAACTGAGTTTCAAGCTTTTACATCACTCACCGACTCAGTGCCCTCACGACCAGCTGCTCACAAAAAAAATGGATCATATGCTACCCTGTACAAGCAGTCAGTATAAGGACCATCACCACCTAGTACAATCACTACAGTATCTTACTTTATATTTCTGGATACCCAAAGATTTAATGTACTTATTATATGCCCCAGGCTACTGGGATGTTTTATATGGAATGATCAGTGAATGTTATCACCCCCTCGCTCAAATATGCATCAACACTCTCTTTATTGGGACCATTCGAGAGTGATGTAACATCTTCAGAAGTTTCTGTTATTCCAACTAAAAGACCAGCATTTCGAACACTGTGAATCAGAGACGGAACTTGAACCTATATCGCGGTCACTCAGTCATCGGCTAGCATAAGGATGATAAAAAGAGGCTGAACTAACCAGAAGAGTGGCATCGACAAATACTCCTAACAAGTTGTTCATGCGAGCAAATTCGACAGTAGAACCAAGACTCAATAATCTTCGATCCTGGGTATCGCCTGAATCAAACCTAATGGGACGAGGATGACGATCTGGATTCCTTCTGCAGTGGGAAGCAAGAAAAACGGCATCTTTTACAGGGCGGTTTGAGTTTCATTCAAATATCTTCTACGAAAACGACTCACAGTTAGGTTGCTTCCAATTGAGAGCAGCGCATATATCTGGAGAAAACGACGTGAACATGATTCGCCGGCGGTTATTCCGACTATCCTGGGGTATCGATCTTTGATAGACCGTTTTCAAAACAGAATCCACGACTTGATTGAGGTCCAATCGCCGTGAAAGATTTAATTTTTCCCGTAACGCCCGAGAAGGATACACGACCTCAAGGCACAAGCCTACGGTGGTGGGGAGAATCTAACGGATAGCGGTAGTAGTATGGCGATTGCGATAGACAATATGCACAACGAGATTACCTTCAAAAGCCGGACCAAAGATATCATCGCCTGGGATATGAGAGCTGGCAAATTGCTTGAAGGTAACACTGTCATCTCGTCAATGTTTCTGCCCGAGCGTTTGGCCAGCGATTCGAATTGCTCTAAAGTAACATCGCATACACTCAAATCAAAATCCGAATCAGGCAATAACCAGTCCGTATACACTACGGGTTGAAGATCACGAGTGACTTGTATCACGACGGTAAGGAACTTTCCTCGTACAGAAGAGATCGTGGATGCTTGACTGGAAGTAGTAGAAAGAGATTGCGAGGATGGCGATGTCTGAGCAGAGCCAATGAGGTACGAGCGCTGAGGCCACGGCGACAGCGAATGAGGGATGATGGAAATTCCCGTTGATTTCCAATATGTCTCGACATCCCCGCCAACTTCTAAAGTTACACCATCGAAAGAGCTGATAATGTTGATTTCGAAAGAAACCTAACAAATAGGGATCGGTTAAGGAATTCGTGTATAATAAAGAAAGGAAAATCATACCTCTCCAACGATGTGTAGTCGTTGGTCTAGGATAGGCAAAGTAAAGGCCTCATTGCTTTCCATCCCCGCAAATAATGAGGGTAACGCAACTGCGCATCCAATCGTTTTTGTACCAAAGTTTGGATACACTGAAAACTCCAGTGTCAGGCTGTCAAGAGAGGGCGTTTGGAAGATAAAAACGCCACTCTCATCCTGAGGCGGTAATGATATGCTGTATGGCGCTGAAGTGACTTGTGGGGCAGTGGTCATCACAAGTTTCAGTGGTGCAGTCGTAAGAAGATATTCGTCTCTAAAGGCTGGGCTTATGAGCCGATGGTGAAGTCGAACACCAGAAAAATCCCGGTTTTGACCTAAAGAATGACCAATAGATACCTGCACAAGATGACTTCTATCCAGATAGTTATGACCATAAACACGATGGGGCATGATGGGCGGAGGCAGAGATAGAGAGGGTATAAGGTCAATCTCCGATTCCACAGACATAGGATCGTCAGAACCGGGAGAACGTTCCAGAATCTTCGTGTTTATTGGAAGTAGTGGGACACAGGCAGATTCCTCTATGAGGTAAGTAAGACACTGATAATGTCCGTACCAAGCGGCGTAATGCATGGCAAAATGGCCTAACTCGTCCGCGAGATTGACGCGTGCACCCGCATCTATTAGGACACGAACACATTGGTCGCGACCGTAACGCGCAGCGTGAAAGAGAGGTGTCCATTCATGGTACTTGTCCGGAACGTCCCACCCGATATGATTGAGGAGCAACTTGCAAACGTCGACATGCCCTGCGCGCGCAGCAAGGTGGATAGGGTACTCTCCGTTACTATTGGCTAAACATTGTGCGCCACGCTCCAGCAAAAGCTGAACAACATCGACATGTCCGGACTGAGAGGCCAATGAGAGGGGAATCAAATCGCCATTGGGTGTGGTAGGCTGAGGAGATGCATTTCCATGGTCTAATAGCACTTTGACACAATCGACACTACCACGTAGAGTGGCGTAGACAAGAGGATTGTAATTGTCGATGTCGAGGCAATTAAGGGAGACATTCGTCTCTAACAGGCTTTGACAAACCATTGCATGGCCATTCATCGCAGCATAATGAAGAGCATTGCGCCCGTATGCATCAGCCTTATCCACTGGGACATGTTTGTTGATACAGAGTTTTACCAGCCGCAAGGCTCCAGCGATAGCCGCTTCGTGGAGGCAGGTACGGTCATTGATATCGTCGACATAGTCAAAATCGAATGGAGAAGATAAGGAGGTCAGGATGAGGTCTGCTAGATCAGGGGGAGCTTCGACAACTACACTCCATAATATACGGGTTGTGTTCCTCCTTTCATCACCGATGACTACCTCAGAATAATGTACGCAATCAACGATAGCACTTTGATCGGCGCTTGCGACAGCCTTTCGTAGATTTTTCTCGAGGTCGTGTAGAGGTCCGATGAAAGTCCGCTCAGTCAAGATTTGCTGCGTGAAAATATCGTTCGCTGCTCGGCCCTCGAAATTTGAATCTGAGGAGAGATCAGTCAAGTTGAGGAGACAACTCGCGACAGTATCAGAAAGCTCCGATATTAGCTATATAAACTGTGAGTAGGATGCTTAGACAGAACTTGAAGCAACAAACCTGTCTATTGAATACAGGTTGTACATCCACCTGCCGACTAAGGTAAAGCTCTTTTGTGCTCGATTTGGACCTTTTGTCAAACTTCTTCAAGATCTTCCGAAAGCCGGTAGCATTGATTTCGACAAACGCCTTGAAAATGAATTCATTTATATCGTTCAGAATGCTACTAGAAACTGTACCTGTAGTTTCCCTAAATCACGTTCGAGAAGACGAAACCCTTCTTCAACTGCATTCCACTCTACGTGGTTCTGCATGGTGCCATCGACCGTATCTGGTAGACCCCTCATCGCGGCGGCTCTTCTTTTGGACAAGAGAGTTTCAAGTCGTAGTTTCAACTCGGCCTCTTTCTGAAGGTAAAAGGCATTGATCTAGATCCATCTATTATGAAGATCGATAAGAAACAAGGATGTATAACGCGGACTCACCTTCTCCAGCTCGCGCTCAAGCTTGAAAAAGAAGACTGCTTTGTGAGCTTGAAACTCTGGTCCCCGATCCTCATCGTGTTCGGAGGTAGAAAATAATGGTGGAGCACCAGGAGTATTTTCTCGTGAGACGATAGTGGTAGTAGTTTGCACCGTTTGGCTCGGAATATCCCCTGGACGAGACCCAAGCGCAAAAGCAGCGGATTCAGACGCTGGACGCTTCGCTTCGAGAGATGAAATGATTTTCTTGAGAAACTTGTAATCCAGATAGTACGGTGACCATCCAGGAATTTGATGAGACTGGATATGCTTCCCAAACTGGAGTCGCAGCGCAGTCCACATTCAGTACTGAGCGTTGAACTGATAAGGCTCAATACTTACCTTCATTACGGGAAAGGGTCGCGTCGTTTAAAGAGAAAAGAGAGGCTTAGAAGGCGAGACTTTCGCCTGTCATGAAAGTGAGCTATATGGTATGTCCATGAATCCGTGGAACGAACTCGAATCTTTCTAAGTTCAAAAGATACAAACAACATATCTTCCCGCGCACGTGTCTTAAAGGGGTCAGTCAACGAGGCGCACCCTTTTGGTGTTAATATAGGTTAATATCGAGATTATATTCTGGACAATCATTGTATCGTTGAAATCGACAACCAGATGCCTGCGGTTTGCTGTAACATTGCGTAGTACGACCAATACAGGTAGCGATTGACAATACGATAATCCATCCATCGATAGTTCGCGAAATCCACCGACAAACGTGCGTCAAACTAGTATTTTCCTCAACTGCCATATCTTTGCAGGTAGCAAAGTGATTGGACATTCACCATGCTTCTCTACGTGGTCATATGCACAGCGGTAGCAAAAGACATACCCTGAAGGCAAGGCAGTCGCGTTGTTGATCTCCTTATGGCACAAAGGACATATTCCGTACGACTGTTGGTCAAAACCTATTCCTTTGGTATGTGGAAGAAGCAAATGTGGAGGAGGCACGGCAGGACCTAAAGGAGACACAGAAAGAGAACGAGCTGGGGAGTTGGGAGAATACCACCATTCCAGGAATTTAATAAAAAAGATGGCAGTTGGGAGAAGCAGCCGAAGGGAATCGAAGAGAAGGTGAGGAGATGTTGAAATCAAACGACGGAACCGGAATAGGATGCCTTTTGGTTTAGCTTGAGGTATTTTTGCCCCTGCGGCTAAACTTGCTGCCCTCTAGATATATTAAACTGTGAACTGGTATCCCCGAAAATTTGAATTTTACTAGGACGTACAAAGTCTTCAAGACCAAGTCGGCGCAAATCTACACCGATCCATGATAACCATGGTCTGTAGAATGGCGTTTGATCAAATAGGTATGCAACATTGCATACGAGCAACCACACTTCGAAGGACGTGTTTAACCATGGATAAGCTGCCTTGAAGGCTCGTCGTAGCCAGCCTTTGTAACTTTGATCCGTCAGAGCGCGCAATTGGCGTGCATCCATCCCTTCATCCAGAATGTCAGAGTTAGCACCTCCTCCTAACTCTTCGTAATAATCTTGTGCTTTCGCTCGAAGATAAGGTAAGCCAACCTGGGATGATGGTTCAAAGAGTCAAACGAGAAAAACTTGTAACAAATCGGCGCACAAGAAAAAGTAGTGAGCGTCGTATCTCCCGACTTCTTAGCTTCTCTGCCTCTGGCACTCCTCCTGTTGCAGCTTTTGCTCTCTCTGGCTCAATGTATGGTCTTCGTCTCCGTTTGAGGCCGTAGAAATTCTCCGAGAACGATGCACCTGAACGTAATCAGTGTTTCGAGTGAATGCCACTAGTAACTCAGAACAAACCATGCTTTCGGAGATAATGCCTTTCTACGACCAGCATGAATAAGGCGTAGCATTCTTCATGCTTGTTTACTATACGCAGGAGATATCGTGGATATCTTTGAGCGAAAACCTGTGAAAACAAATCATTTGCCTAGATACGCGATGATTAATGGTGGAGAACCTACAGACAATACATACTTGAGAGCTGGCTGTAATAGGTCTCGGAGTTGTTCTTGGGCTACGAGCTCGAAAAGAGAGGGTTTTAGTGGATCTGCTCCGACGTCGTTGAAGAATTCCATGACCGATCAACAGAAAGAAGAATTCATGTTATATACAGGTGATTATGCGAGTCCGAAGGGTGCCCGGATTGACGTTGGTTGTATCCTGTGGTATACGCCAGCAACCGCGCCTTTTTTGACGCCACTGTACTAGCCGATTCACCGGCTCAAGTTGAACTTTACGTCTGGAGCATCTTTACCCTGAATTTTACAGTTTGGACGGTTCCTTCCTTCCCTCTCCGTCCACGATTACCAGGAGTATAGAGACTCTGTATACACAAGCTTTCTAGTAACTACAGAACTTCATATGTTCAGTGGATTACACGAAAACATAATGCCCAGCGACGGAGAATTAGCCAACCAAGCTTTACACGAGGAGAGTAACTACAGATTTCCCTCCTTCTCAGCGTCAGATGCAGTCACGTTGGTGAGTAACGTTTTGTCAAAAAGATATCACTAAATTGCTTGTAAGGGTCTTTCTATTCGCAAACGCTTCCGTGCAAGCTCCCGCCATTCTAAAGGCAAAGGCCTTGTCATCTCTATACAAACCATTGCAGGACACACACTATTTTCATGTACAGTTGGGGATCTGGGACATTCATCTGGGATTGGCGATGTCAGTTTGGATAGTTGGACGTGTTTGGAGGGCATGATCAGTGCGGTGCGCCGTACGGGGCACTCGAGTTACTATGTTGAGAAAGGCATGAGCGCGATGGGCAAAACACCAAAGCAGCTTGGTCTCCCGGGAGAGTTACCGAGAATACAAGGTGGTGGTGAGTCGCAAGTTACTTCGTGGCGTTGTAATCGCGTGACTGAATCGGGTACCACTAAGCGTTTCCTATATGGTTGGAGGTACGTTGTTTCAACTTGCTATTATCAGACCATTACGATTACCAGCAGAACGCGCCATGTTGTCCTATTGCTGTTGCGGGCTGCTATTCTGGCTCTTCACAAGATGATCACAATGTTAGTACCTCTTCCGACTCTTCCACTTCCACGGCTTCACGAATCTACTAGCTTGTGTCGACCACGGTCCGTGACTATCTGAACAAAATATTGAGGAATAGTGCAGGAGGAGACACTGCTGGACCGTCCATGAGCAATCCTAGTATGCCCATCCCTAATATACCTCCAAGAACAGAAAGTGTAAGTCGACCCATTACACAAGCTGTTGTTCGTTTAATGCTTGCCCAATGTAGGATTGGCTTCCTGAACCAAGTGAATTCACGAGTAGACGTGCGGAGACATATGATAGACACGAACTTGAGACTGAATTCTCTCACTAGGATGGATCAATGAAAACCCTATTCCAAAAAAGTCATAGTAGGTCATAGTGTACTGAGCAATTGCCTGTAATTCAGGGTGATTACTATAGCATAAGTAGGGAAGTAAGATGAGGATTGGGGAGAGACAGCAGTCATATGGAATCATGTTTCTTCTTGCTCAGATGATTTTGGGTGGGACAGGACACGGATGGTTTCTGCGAACGTATGATATTCTGATAGGCCCTGACCAGCTATAAGACAAAGATGCATTGACTCACCATGTCGAAGGAAAATTTGTCGCTGTCCAGCGGGAGTTGTGGGGTCGGCTTCAGGCTCTGGCTCTCTCAACTCATAACCTGCTTCTACATAGACAAGAGCTCCCTTTTTCAAGGTCTGAAGGTACTTGTTGGAAGCTTCGTGGAAAGAGAGAACCCGGTGCCAGCTTGTTCTTGGTGGGGGTCTCTCTATAATGATTAATGAAATATGGGATAGATGTAAGACGACCCAATACGCACCACCATTCGCGTCGACAGGACCAGGATTAAAGCTCGAGGTAGCAACTACGTATCTGTTGATTCAAAGTAAATTGGTCGAAGATAAAGAAGGCCGATACACGCACGTAACATATTCATTATCATTCTTTGTCTGCTTCACCTCGGGATCGCGTCCCAAACGTCCAACGAGCGTGAGTTTCGCGACATCTGCGCGGGAAGCACTGGTCGAAAAGGCCTACATGATAACAAAAGTTTATAAAGAGCAGAGGTGATTGAATTTTATGAGACATACGCGGGAAACAACGCGAGAAGATGCAGCAGAACGAATGGCAGTAAACATTTGGAGAAAGTAGAAAGCAAAATTGTCAGAATAATCAGGTCAGAATGTTCGACAGAAATCAGACCCGTGTGAATTTGATTGATCAGCACGGCTTGACTATTCTTTTCCACTTCGCTAACTCACTACTGTCAGCCTCAGTCTATATAATGTCTCGTCATAGATATGTGAAGAACTTGAACATTGCTGGTAGGTTTCCTAGCTGCGATCAAACACTTTATCTAATACACCTACTTCAGATGAATTAGACGATGATGCTCTATCAGACGGAGTAGATGAAGAAGAAATGACCGCAGAGCAGCAACGTCTGTAACTTATCATAGCTCGATTGATTACATTCTGAACGCGAATTCAGTGCGAATGAACGACGTTCTCGAGGAGATCCGTAATGTGATCGGCGAGGAAGAGATTTCTGGGTTACCAGATAGCGAAATTAAAGACACTATATGGTATTACAACTTTGATATCTCGGAATCCATACAATGGTGCCTAGGTGCGTGAATTCCAACAATAATCTCATCAACTTTTGACTCACTTGCATTTTAGACCAACAAGAGAAGCGCCGCGCGGCGAAAGAACGTCAAGGTGAGGTTCTTTCTCGTTCTTTGTCCCTCCCTCCTCCCCCTTTCCTGGTGGTGCCGGCCCTTCTACTATATTCTGTGTCTTGGTCCACCCAAAAAATAATGAGAAGGTGCATGCTTCACAAACCATCTCCCATCGGTATTGGCGCTTCTAGTTTTGCGCTGATCACAGGCTCTTCCATGTAGGACTGGATAAGATAATTCCCCCATTCTCTCCGCAAAGAAACCATTACACTGGGATGCAAAAATACGGTGATGACACAAACGATTTCGGGCTGGGTGGACGATCCCGAATGCCGTTGATCCATCTTGCTCAGCAGCAACAGCAAATGATGGAACAGCAGCAAAGGCAGCAACAATGGGAAGTGCAACGACAACAGATGCTGCAGGAGGAGCCGGAGCAGATCACGGTGGAGGAACTACACGAAGAAGACAATGGGAATGTGGATGACGAGAGTACTCGTCGTTTGAGTACCATCAGTGAACGTACCGAGCGTACTGAGCTCTCACCTTACTGGCCTCGTCGTGATTATCTTCCCCCACCTCGTACGGTCAGCACCTTTACAGACTCGTCCTACGGGAATCTGATCGGTGAGTCCATAAATACTTGTATCTTCACCGTGACGTTGATCGGCCCCGTTGGCTACAGATGGTGGATATCTGATGAACCCCGCACGTCTTCCCTTGGATCCGAACCTTATCCCAGTTTCCCCGTCAGGCTCTGCTGTGCACCGTCTGTCAACGTACGAACCGGCTCCTTCGATAGCATCTTCTGGATCGTACACACAATCATCTCCACCTCACCCTCCAAGCGAGGCCGTTCCACCTCTTGATACAATACCTGATATTCCTGACTCACATTCTTCGGTGGTTCCGCCACCCCTGCCTCCAAAACCCACGAATCAATCATCTATAACGAAACAAGCGTCTTCCGTACAGCAGCCATCTTCACCCGCACTATCTTCTCAGCCACGGGCAAAACAATCGAAACTGGCTCAATTGGCTAGCAGTCGAGCGAGCACTCGTACCAAAAGCTCCGCTTCATTGGGTACCGAGGTTGCTGGTTCTATCAAGACCTACCCAGCGCTTCGTCCTGAATCGCACCGACCGCCGTCATCCATATCGACATCGACATCCAATTCCACGGCATTGCCGGTACCTCCTCCCGACCTGCGTTCAATTCCCAGAGTGCCCTCCTCATCAGGTTCGATAACTACACCCGTCTCTTCACCTTTTCAGCGTAGTGACCGTCCAAGGGATACTATTACTTCATCCTTGCCGTCATCCACATCATTGAAAGTACGTCAAGCTGTTGATGCAGCGCTAGAACTCGAGGCCCTAGACCGCGAGCTTGCTGCATCACGCAAGACCAGAAGAACGCCTTTGGAAAAGAAATTACCAACGGATCAATCTGAGCTCAACACTCCAACCCGTCCGCCTGCTTTTACTCCACCGAAGGTGGCGGCGGGGGTGCCTCGAAATTCCACTACCTCACTATCCACCCGTCCGACATCGAAACTGGTATTGTTAGCGCAGGCGAAAGCTCAAAAGGCTGAGGCCCAACATACGATATCAAAAGCGCCACTCGCTAGGCCTCCTCCCCCTAATCATCTTCCACCTGAACACACTGAGTACCTCACTCCGATTGCGAACGGCTCATCTGTAACAACTGCGATAACCACTTCGTACCAGACTTTGTACAGTCTCACTGATCCGACTCGACCCCAGGCCATGGAGGCTCCGTTCGTGGTGCCCCTCGCCGCCCCAAGCTATATTAAAGGTGCGGCGACTAGTACAAACTCGAATGCCAGTACCAGGACCAGTATGACGAAAGCACCGCCTTCCAAACTTGCTTTGAAAGCTAAGAAGGCACAGGAGAAGAGTTCGCCACCTTCGCACACGACGGTTGCTGAACCGGAAGATAATGTTATCATTGTTCCTTCAATATTCTTACCCAAATCCAACCGGTCGAGTGCGTCACCCTCTGCGTTCGCCTCCGTTCTCGTAGTTGATGATCTGATACATTCTCCTCAAGTGAGCGCCGGAATGAGTCGTCGGGAAACGAAAGGGAAGCAGAGTATCACCTCAGAGAGAACAGAGGAAGCCTCGACGCCAGATATGCTGCGCGCGCATCATACACAAAGACGTATAGCTCCTACTCTGGGCACGCCGACAACCGTAAGCTCCTTTGCATTCGATGGACCTAGTCCGGATGACATCGTTTTCAATGCTCGACGCGGGACACATTCGGCTCAACGCAAGGATCGAAAAGATGCTATATCCATTGGTTCCATCACAAACAAGAAAACTTCTACTTCTAAAGCCTAATTGATCATCCGTTTTGGTGGCTGACTATTGTATTGATTTTTCACTTGTTGTATTATGTAGCCGCAAAGGAACGAGAAAAGGCCCAAAAACGTTCGGAACAATCTCAGTCTGCTGATGTTTCTCGCACAGCTTCGCCTGTTCCGAAAGGCAAAAAAAATGCGATTGCGACAAAATTGACGATGAAGTCCGGTACTTCTACACCTGCGAGAGGAATTGGAGTTGACCATCGCATGATTGACCTCTCTGCGCTGAATTTGACTGAAGTAGAAGAACAAGTTGTAGTCACTGAAGAGATCCCGAAGGCGAGCTTCGCGCGAGAAAAACTTCTTGAAGAAGCAAGGAAAGCAATTGAAGCTGAGGGGCAGGATAGGAAGAAGGAAATCAGTCTTGTTGTTATAGGTAAGACTGAGGTCAATGAATTAGTGTGCACAGTCATGATTCATTCCGTAAAGGTCATGTCGATGCTGGTAAATCGACGTTGATGGGACGAATGTTATACGAACTGGGACGAGTGGATGAAAAAACGCGAATGGCTAACGAGCGAGGAAGTAACAAAGCAGGTAAAAGTAGTTTTAGTTGGGCCTGGAGTCTGGATGGGACTGCTGAGGAGCGCGAACGGTGAGTCCTCGTGAGCACTAGTTGCCACTGCAGGTTGTCTGATATTTCCTATAGAGGTATTACGATGGATATCGCCCTGCAATCACTGTCTACACTCCACAGACAAATTACAATCTTGGATGCTCCCGGTCATAAAGATTTTATTCCGAATATGATATCCGGCGCATCTCAAGCTGACTGTGCACTTCTTGTTGTTGACGCTGCAATTGGTGAATTCGAAGCAGGTTTTGATCGCGGTGGCCAAACTCGTGAACACATTCTCCTTGTCAGAAGTCTGGGTGTTTCTCAGGTGATCGTTGCTGTCAATAAACTTGACCAGGTAAGATCCTACTCCAATAATACCATCCGCTTAACACCCGCTCATCGCAGCTTCCCTCTTAGGTTCAATGGAGCAAGAGTCGTTACGACGAGATCTGTGACTTCTTGCGCCCTTTCCTCGTTCAGTCGGGTTTCCACCCATCGAAAACGAAATTTGCACCAGTTGCTGCGATGCAGGGCGTGAATCTGGTCACAATGGATCAGGAGGCAGCTCGAGAACTTCGGCAATGGTATAAAGGATCTACACTTGTCGATTATCTAGGTATGCTGCCATTACTCCTTGTCAATGTTAATCAGCGTTGATAACTAACCAGATCAACTGGAACCACCTGCACGCGATATCTACGCTCCGTTGCGAATCCCTATATCCAATGTCTTCAAAGGATCGAGTTCTGGTACCGCTGTTTCTGGTCGACTTTGCGGTGGAGTGGTACAAGTGGGTGAAAGTTTAAGGGTTCTTCCTGGGGACGAGATTGCTACTGTAAAAAGTAAATCAATTGGCCTACCCGTATGACAACAGACTAAAGATTTCATTCAGCGATCGAGGTGAAAGAAGAGAGTGTCCCGTGGGCCGTGGCTGGCATGAACGCTACACTATATCTCATTTCCGTAGACTCCGTACATTTAAACATCGGCAGTGTCCTCTGTCCACCAACAAATCTGGTACCACTGGCAACCACTTTCACCGCACGTATCATTGTTTTTGATATTCAGATACCGATAACGTCTGGAGCTTCTGTGAGTGGAATTCTCCTTGGATTTTTACCAAGCTGAACGCCCTCTACCAAGATCGAATTGTTTCACCATTCTCGTGACGTTCCCGCGACAGTGTCAAACCTGATAGCAACTCTTGATCGAGCGTCGGGAAGTATAATAAAGAAAAAACCTCGGTTCGTACCTTGTATCGGCTTGATTGCATCGACTGACTGGTTTTTTTCTAACACTCAGAGTCTTAACTAAGGGAACTTCTGCAGAGGTACAGATCACCTTGCGAACACATTCACTCTCCGGACCTTCTGTTGCACGCCCGATACCTCTCGAATCATTTTCTGTAAACAAAGATATGGGTCGGATTCTTTTGCGCCGTGGAGGCGAGACAATTGGAGCAGGTGAAGCTTAATTGTTTCGATGCCTTTGTCAAAGTCAACTGACAGCGATTGTAGGAATTGTACTGGAAATTTTCGGTTGACGATATATATCCTTGATCTTGACTAAGCTTGACTAGCTGACACCACCATACGTCGATCATGAGCTGTTAATTATCCTAATGTATTGTTGCGCAAAGTTGAAATGAGACAAGGAAAAAGCCAATGGATACATAGTAACAATCGAAACATCGAAACCGTAGAACAGGTGTCACAAATAAGTACAGGAATGAGAGACAAAATATGTATGAGTCATCTAGGTAAGGTATAATGAGATAATTGAAAGAATGAAAAATCCACAACAGGTATCGTCTATGTAGAAAAAAGAACGAGATTTTCGAATGTAGACAGAATCATTATTCGAACCGACAGAGAGCGGAAGCAAATTGAGCATTCATTTTTCCTTCTCCTTTTCCTTGTCTTTTCCAAAGATATTTTTTATACTCATCTTCCCAAAGATGGACTTGCGCTTTGCGCGAATAGAAGGGCTATCAAATTTTGATGATGGGGAAGATTCCGGGGTTGGAGTGCCTCTCGATGGGAAGCTGAGAATCCGAGAATTTCTTTTGGAAGGAGTAGATAGGATAGAAGATGTGCTGGCCCGAGGAGCGGGAGAACCAGCAGGGGTAGAGGCATTCAGATCCCCTGTTCCATTGACTGGGAACACTTTCTTGGTAGGAGTTGTAGGCTCCACAGAGGATGCAGCTTCTGTATCATTGGACGCTGCAGTAGTAGGAACTGCAATAGCAGTTGTCACGGCCTCTACAGCAGGAGTAGACGTGGGAGTCACCACATGTGTTGTATTAAAGTCGGCATCAGCAGAAGGAGGCACAACAACAGGTCCATGAGTAGAAGCCTCAACAGAAGGGCCCGCAGAAGTAGCTGGAGGTGTGTCAACAGATGGTTCGGATGAAAGGGTTGCGGGAGCGACTGCAGGTGTGTGAGTCGAAGCCTCTATAGAACGGGAATCTTCCGAGGGGGGAACCTCGGTCTCTGTGGAGGGAGCCGAATCAACGGAGGGTTCTTGAGGAGATGACGGGGCTGCATTGGCGGGGGTGTGAGTAGAGGGCTCAAATGGCGCGGTGACTGCCGCAGTCGACTCAGCAATGAGGACTGGAGAACCTTCCGACGTTCCATTTGGAACACCGGGATGGACTGCGTCGCTCGACACGGTAGGAGAATTTGGTGCTTCAGTGGAGGTAGAGATCACATTGGGAGTGGGAGGAGCAGGAGATACAGGGGACTTCACTGACATCTATTATCAAGGATATTAACATAAAGGCAGAAATTGAAAACATAATTACTCACCTGGTCTGGGTTTATAGGATCTAGTCCAATTACACCCTGAATAGCAGCTCCAACACCAGAGGCCACATATCCCAATGCGGAAGACGTCCCATCCGTTGCAGCCATTATTGCCGCCAGATCTGAAACGAGCTGAGGAAGGATACTGGGGGTACCCGGTGTCGTAGGCTTACCAGCTGCAGGTTCTGATGCAGGTTTGGGTTCTTCGAGCGTTCCATTCGAATGAGGAGCTAAAGGTTTTTCTGGTGCGGTATGAACGTTGTTAACGTTACCTGAATTGTCGGCCTCAGTTGGTTCCTGGTTGTTTACAACCCATTGGCCGTCGACGACGAACTTGTACGTGATTTTCTCATTCCAGTTAATTTCTGCCGTACCCTTAAAGCCATCCTCTCCTTTCTGCAGACGTTTTGATTGGGACCACTGCAGCAAAGTTCAAAGTTTCTCAACATTAGACTACACGGAACTTTTTAAAGGATACGAACCTCATCGAAGCTTCCAGTAACAATAACTGAGTTTGGCTCAGTGTGAGGCCTGCGCGCACAATTAGAACGACTATTGAAGCAGTATATTTTGTAAGAGGCCCACCAATGGAACGTTACTTGGTATTTTTCTGATGCGGTCATGGTGAAGACGGTGGAAAAGCTTGTGGAAAAGCCAACGAAAAGCTCCTATTCAGAATGCCCGATGATTGACATTGTTTGTCTCATATTATTAGCAAAACCACTTTTCGACGTGAATTGAATTAGTTGGAGCTTTTTCAAATCCTTTCAAAATTTGTTGCTAATGGGCTCTGTTGAACGTTCAACGGGAGAAAGAGAAGTGCTAATTTAAGCTGGTACATAAGCCTATGTAACCTTTGTAGAGGTGATTACGAGTATGGAAGACGTCTTAACCTTGAATCTTTTTTGTGGCGTGAGTCTGGTTTACAGGCTACAATACTTAGTAGGCTACAGCACTATTACTGGAAGCCTAACATATGAAGACGACGAAACTCTTTCTCTCAACTCGCCGGTGACTCAAAGGCTTGCTTGGTTTTTTCTCCTGACCATAGTCAAATCGCGCAGAATCGCGCTCCGGAGGTTTTCCCTAATAAAGCTTCGAAAGGTCAAATCTTGTCCTTGGATATGAATTTTCATCAATGATAGATAGACCAGCACGGTATAGCTTCTGATCTTTCTTGAAAATTCATGGCCAGGAAGATCTGCATACTCAAATTTACACATCCGCTACAGAAGGCCACGAATTCCATACATAGCCAAAGTTCATATGTAAATAATATATACATAATGATACAGCGCACAGAGCATACATAATGTTAATACAGCGTACATAACATAGTGATTCGTGATCAAACAGGACGTCAATCCAGCTCTCCGTGAGTAACACCATTCTCCTAATAACCCCTCCAGGACGCTTACTATCTTCACAGTCCTCATTCTTCGTAGACAAAATCCGTGTAAATGCTCTCCGCGTCATCTGTATAATCGTAATAATCACTGTTCTCTCTGCTATTGCCTCGTATAATTTCCACCATGATGGCGTCCCAGTCTATCTCAGGCGCGAAGTATGCCGGATCCCATAATATAGGTTTGCTATCATGACGATCTAGCGAATCTGTCGCAGAAATCGCCAGCGGATTTGGCAATGAGGATCGCTGTGGAAGCTGTGAAGTGGGTTGTGACCGTGGTGGAAGTGAAGGCAGCTTCCGCACTCCAGTAGGCCGAGGAAGTAGCCTTGCGGGAGGTATTGGGATTTGGGGAAGGGGTCTTATTACCCTGGCTATGGGCTTTGATCTGTGTCGTATATGTGTGCGACGGCTTAATGTACAATGATAATTGGCACTATCCCAGGTCAGATTTGTTTAATGAATCGCAAAGAAAGAAAGGCTCACCAATTACAGCAAAATTCTGACAAGCAGGAGGTTCGTGTTTTAGATTGGCCGAGAAAGGTTGGAGAGCAAGCTGCGGTAGAGGCTGATGAGCATGACGCTTCTGAATCCGGTGAGGACTCTTGGCTTGTTCGAGTAAAAGAGTATACGGAAGGGGAAGAGCTTCGGCTGCTCCCCGAAGACGTCGAGCTTGTGGGACTGTGAGTTCGGCGAGAACTGGATAGCTTTGAAGGAAACAAGAAGGCAATCGAATTCTGTCGATTCACTAGAGCCATTGTGAACGCTGTGTGTTGTAGGCCTTGACCAATTATCTTTTGGCAGGTCGTAAAGGATGAAATCTCACTGCGCTTCCTCTATAGCTTCGTGCTAATATACTACAGCAAATCTTGCTGTGATATGCGCAATAAAACAAACCTGTCCCGCAACAATCATGATTGATCTCATGAACCTTCGGAGAACAGCCAGCTTGGACGGAGTATGTCCTGTGAATTCATGCGCGCAGGGACCCAATCATGATCGTGACTGGCCTGAGAACTCGGAATCAAGTTCGGCAGTGTCTGGAGAATCCTTCTTCACCGCCATTACGACCCAGCCCAATTCTATTTCCGCTCTATGTTCGGATGCGAACACAGCAGCCTGATGAGGAATCCTATTGACGACGAGAGATACGATATCGAGGAACCTTTCAGATATTTCCGCGTCGGGGAGGAGAATGTCGGTACACGAGATTTAGCCAATACCGAACTGCTTTCTGTCCTTCCCGGACAACATTACTCAATGACCGAGAAAACACTTCGCTTGGAATTTAGTGGCAATGATGAAAAAGCAAAAGCAATGATATCTATCAGTATTCGAGTCGATGCATCTCCGGGTTGTGGGGGAATCGTTTGGCCTGCTGGACAGGTTCCCCGTTCATCATCTCAGTTTGTCTCTATCGTCATTGATACCTGAGTTCACAGATTCTTTCCAATTATCTGATCAACAAGGGATCGAACTTTTTACAAGGGAAATGCGTTGTGGAACTTGGCAGTGGAACCGGACTCGTTGGGTTAATAGCGGCCAAGTTAGGCGCGAGCAGAGTTTGGATCACAGATCAAGCGTAGATTCTTCACCATGCATGGTATGTATTGGATAATAGCTGAAGCGATACTTCCAGACCTCTTCTCGATATCATGCAGCAAAACCTATCCATGAATAGCCTGCAATGTAATTGTGTTGTAGCCGAATTAGACTGGTCCGTCCTTCATTCTCTCCCGCACACCGAGTCAATGATCCGAAACTGCTGCAGGGGAATGTCGATACCTGCCGCAATCCCGTCTCCAGACGTGATACTGGCAGCAGATTGCGTGTATTTCGAACCAGCGTTCCCGCTGCTTGTTCAGACACTTGATGCTCTCGCCACGGAAAAGACACAAGTGTTCTTTTGCTACAAAAAACGCGTATGAACATTCTGCTTTTCACTGGAGCGATGTGCCCTGATACATATTCTCGCGATTAGCGGAAGGTTGTCATGATTGACTGAACTTCTGTCGATGCTATCTTCACTGATCCAGGGTATTTGTGCAGGCTGATAAACGATTCTTTGGTTTGTTAAAAAAGAAGTTTACCTGGGCAGAGGTATGATTAGTTTCCTCATGCATTCCAAATGACCAACGTTACACTTCGTAGATCATGGACGACCCAAATCGAAATATCTATAATCGGGAATCTATCACACTGATCAAGCTTTCAAAAATAGTATAACTTCCAGGTCCCTTTCGACAAGTACGGACGTCATCGTAATCGGATATGGAGATTGGGAGAACTTTAGGCAACTCTTGAGCTGATCAAACTTCATCGGTACATACATGGCATCAACGTTGCTGAGGCATGTGCATGATTGACAGCTCGGTGATGCCTTGAATAGTGGAGGTTCAAACTATTGTGTATCATTCTACATGAGTCTGTATCTAATCATATGTTCAGTATAAACCATTAACAGAAAGAATATGACATACTTGTAGCCCATGAATCCCTTCTATCTCTTTCTTTAATGTTTCTGTGACGAGTCTATGCTGTTTGATCATAGGCAAGCCTTTAAATGCTTCGCTTGCGATGGTTATTGCGTAAAAGTCGCCACAACCGCCTATAATGATGATAGCTCAGTACTAAGAAAAAGTAAAAAAGACTTAGTTCACGCACCAGAAACATCCTGAACTCGCAATGTGGTTGGTTTAAATTTCTCAGTCAGCTTCGCCCGTATATGTTGTTCTCCTTGGGTAGAAGTTGTGTCTGCATTTGATACATATGAAGTCGCGGAGAACCTGCGAACTTGCACGGCCGTTCGTAGACACTGTCGAGAAAGAGAGAACATGGTTTATAATACTCCATAGAATGTGACATGAACTTTCGACCCGAACGGCCCGATGAGGATTAGCAAAGTCTCGACCTCGACTGCCTGGATTGGTCTTTAGACCTATACCACTTTCCATGCAATCGTCCTGTCTGAGGGCTCGAAACACCCTCCCAACCTCCCTAAGATGGTCGAGGAGCCTTTGGTCGCGTAGTTCCCTCAGATTTTCTGCTATTTCCTCCAGAATCTCACGCACAAATCCGCGTCTTGCCTTCACTCGGTCTCCCTTTTCGGACATCTTCAAGAACAGTTTCTCCTCATCACCCACCCGTTTTATTACTTTGAATGTTCAGAAAGACACCCTTGCTGCAGAAAAACGATTCTTCTCGACCAATAAGTCGCAGTCCGGAGACTCGGAAATTTTGCCAATACTTCCGCCCAAGTCTGTAGGCTTGTGGTTACTGGCGTCCTCCACACTCGTTTTCGCTATCATTGTCGTCGGTGGTGTGACTCGTTTGACCGAATCTGGTCTCAGTATCACAGAATGGAAGCCTGTCGCGGGAATACTACCTCCCATGTCCCAAGTACAATGGGAAGAAGAATTTGAAAAGTACAGGGCCACACCGGAATTTAAATTGTACGCTATCGCAGGTTTGCTATCGTTGAGGGATGCTTGACATATATCGCTTAGATTGAACCATTCGTTTCAACTTGAGGATTTCAAGCGTATTTTCTACATGGAATGGGGACATCGCGTCCTCGGTCGTTTGATTGGTGTCGCGTTTGTTGGTCCCTTGGTATTTTTTGCCGTCAAGAAAAGAATCTCGAAACCTCTGGCTAATAAACTTGGCGGGCTTGCACTATTAATTGGTGCCCAAGGTGGTCTCGGATGGTACATGGTCAAATCTGGCTTAGATGATGCGTTGATGGAGACACCTGGAGCGGTTCCTCGTGTCTCTCAGTATCGTCTGGCGGCACATTTGGGCCTAGCTCTTTTGCTTTATGCGGGGATGTTCAGCTCAGGTTTGGCTATTGTCAAGGAATGGAAGTATGCGACAGGAGCGCAATGGATGGGTCTCACAACGTCGGCCTTCAATGAAGCACTCAATTCTCCTGCTGTGATGCGTTTCAAGGCTAGATCATGGGTCTTGACAGGACTTATCTTTTTGACCGCGCTGTCTGGTAAGCTTTAATATCTATTTCCGTATCCAATTCGTGACGTTCATAGGCGCGTTCGTCGCTGGCCTCGATGCTGGTTTACTTTATAATGAGTTTCCTCTGATGGGCGGACGATTGGCCCCTCCCAAAGACGAGCTCATGTCCCTGGCTTATGCCAAACGTGCAGATGGATCAGACAAGTGGTGGAGGAACGTGTTTGAAAATCCCACCACCGTTCAATTTAATCATCGCGTTCTGGTGAGTCTTGCCGACACTTGGCAAGAAAAAGACTCAACTCGCTTTCTGAATGTACAGGCTATGACCTCCTACCTCGGCACGACTCTTTTATTTCTCAGAGCAAGGAGTATGCATGCAGTTTTACCACCATTGACACGGACTGCAGTAACTGCAGCGTTTGCAGTAGTGAATATACAATTACTGTTAGGAATCACGACACTTCTTCAATTGGTTCCCGTCCCTCTAGCAGCGGCTCATCAAGCGGGAAGTGTCATGGTCCTAAGCGCCATGATACACGTTCTCTTAACTCTTCGCAAGCCGGGAGCGGCAGCAAGAGCTTGGAGAGCTTTGCATATGCAACGGCTCACTGGAGGAACAAAGATTAATAAAAGTACCCTACAGTAGAGGTAAAGCGGTATTGCGTACGGTTGTATATCTACATAAATTCAAGACCCTACTTACAAATAATAAACGAAGGTTAGGTGCTACTTACATGTGATTCAGATGTCCAAGTTAGTATTTTTATTGAATTTTATGGCGGCGTTGATCCTCTCACCGTTGGACCCACAATGACAGTGCCTCCCAGCTGATACTTTGATGGAGGCCGCGATATACGACGATTTTGACGTGTACTCCCCTTTCGATTTCGATATTGCGCTCGACACGACTATAGTCCAGTCGTCCCAGAGTATTCATGCTGCAGGCGTGTAGGTCAATCCTCCCAAGTCAACGGTTGACATATGACTCATCCATGCCCACAGTCTTGATTCGCCGTTTGCTTTACCCCCCAATATTCCTGCGAGCCCGGATGCACTCCCATCGGATATCCATGCGAATAATATAACATATAGCTTCGGAGTTCAATACGTACACGAGACTGATCTGTGGAATAGTTGTTTCGCTCATTTCAAGCGCCAGGCAAGTACAAAACGAATAAGAGGTTCCGAGGACTATTTGACATATTCGTGACTGCTAGTCAAGATTCTGCTTCGCCCCTCGGAAAATATTCGACCAGCTCCATCAACTAACTTCTCCCGTCGACAAAATCCTAGGAACCAATGCTTGTCCATCATCGATGGATATTGTACTGATACAGCAGCATATCAAAACACTCGAAAAACAGTACAAAACACTTGAAGATGATTTGTGCGTTTTACGCCTGGTGCTGCAGCAGTTATCAAAGGAAGAATGGGCTTTGGCGAACTACATGGATTTACACAGGTCTCTCCTTGTATCTTCCGACCAGCGACTAGCTTTCATTGCTCCACGAGTTCCCTCTGTCTCGATGAGCCCGTCTCAAGTCTATATAAAGTATATCGCATTCGAGTTCACCTCTGAAAACACCGACTTAAAAGTAGGTTTATTATTAACTATGTTGTTCGTTGTCTCGACTGAGGTTCTGAATCATACCAGCTACTTCCCGCTGCCAAGTACACTATTCGTTTTCCCGTGGTTCAATCTCTCGGCCCAACCCTAGACCGGATAGAGGAGCTTATAGAAGCAGGAGACCGACCCTCTACAGGAGAAGCGTGCAAAATACAAGAAATTCTACAGGTGGCTGAGCCTGCGTATCGTAACGTCGGCCAAAACATCTTTGCCCTGGAAAATGTCACGGACAGAGTCGAATTGGAACTTCGATTTATTCACCAGAATATTTTTCTGCATTCCGCCCTGTTGGCGCCTATTAATAGAGTCCCCGACGAGGTCCTCAGGGAGATATTCTCACGTTGTTTTGTTCTTGCTGAGGAATCGCTGGAAGAGAGTGATCCGGTTCTAGTGCCTTTTGTACTTGGAGCCGTCAACACTCGATGGCGGTCAATTGTGAAACTGTGTCCCCTCCTATGGTCGGCAGTCCGGATATACTTGGATATTTCGATGTTCCCTTCGCACGCCTTGAGCGTTCTTTCAGTGTGGTTGAAGCGCGCTGGGTCAACTGAACCCCTATCCCTGAAGATCATCTTTAGGAATAGTTGGTTGTCATCCTCATATTACTCCAATAATGACAAGAACAGAAGTGACCTTCAAATGCGGGTTGAGGCTAATATTGCCATCACCATTGCTATCCTTCGTAAAAGTGCAGTGCGATGGTACAAACTGGAATTCATCAATTGTCCTGCGCATTTACTGCAATCTTTCTTTGAAGCCCCGCATGCACAAACGCCAAACCTACAGTTTCTTACCTTGGAAGGTGGGAGAATGTACACAGGTCCGTCTGCTTTAGTCACACCAGACTCCCCGTCTCCGTGTTGGGAAATGCCAAATGGAGCCCATTTTCCACAACCGGGGTGTCCTTTGGAACAATTTCTCACAATTTTTGAACTCTCAAGTATTCGAAGTTTGGAGCTGACTGAAGTTACCCTCCTGGACTTTGAGCACACTTTGGAATTCATCTCCCTCTGTGTATCTCTTGAAAGGTGCAAGGTCAGCTTCAGTTCCGAGTTCGATCGCAGATCCACAGTACACGTTCCCCTGTCAAACCTTGTGTTGCCCAATATGCTGGATTTGTCTTTGTCCTTGGAAAAACCGGATCAATTCTTGCGTCGCCTGATTCTTCCTCGACTCCATCACCTCAGAGTTTGCACTGTAGGAGAAGCTATAGAACAAGCGAACGACATGGATTCTGTCCAGGAGATGTTTGACCGCTCTAATCTTTTCTGCACTTCGAGAGGTTCAAACGTAGGCTGGTATGATTTTCACACTATACCTTTATCCATCAATTCACTGAGCAAAGTTTGAATTTCGAACCATCCATATGTATGTGCCAATTACTACACTTAGATATAGGCGTGTGTAAATTACTTTGACGCTTGAATGCTATCCGGCCCGGCATGTCCAGTAAGCGCCCGGGATGGTCGTTGAGATCTTGAGACGCGTCACCCAGATATTTCCCTCCTAGTTCCATTCTTTCATTCTCTTTTCTTCGAGAATGGTACGATGGCTACAGCTAACTTTTCTAAACGTGCTACTTACTTAGACGAGCAGTTCCGCAACACTTATGACTCTGACAACACTGTTTTTTCACCCCAAGGTCGTCTCCACCAAGTCGAGTATGCTCTGGAAGCTGTCAAGCAGGGTTCAGCTGCCGTAGGCTTGCGTTCGAAAACCCACTCAGTTCTCCTGGCACTCAAAGTCTGTACTGACCACGTTTTTCCTATCGATCGCGCTCATGGAACTTTCAGAGGTCTACTGGAGAACTTGCATCGTACCAACAGAAGATGTTCAGAATAGACGATCATGTCGGGATTGCGATTGCTGGTTTGACTTCCGATGCGCGGGTCCTCAGGTATGTTATCTAAATCAGTGAGATATGTCCTACTCAATTGGATTCTGCAGTAACTTCATGCGGCAGCAGGCCATGTCCTCAAAGATGGCTTTCAATCGTCCAGTACCCGTGAACCGTCTCGTTTCCGCAATTGCCGACAGTATGTATGAAACACTGAATTCTCATTCTTTTCTTACGTCGAGTTTCTTAGAGGCCCAGGTGAACACCCAGGAATATGGGAGGCGTCCGTACGGTGTTGGGTTCCTCGTCATAGGACAAGATAAATCGGGTCCTCACCTATATGAATTCTCGCCATCTGGGAACTCGTACGAATACTACGCAATGTCGATTGGAGCGAGAAGCCAGAGTGCAAAAACATATCTGGAGAAGCATTACGAGAGTTTCGCAGATTGTATGTCACTAATCACTTATTTTTTGGATATTACCTTAACCATTTGTATTAGGCTCATTGGAAGATCTTATCAAACATGGTCTACATGCCCTCCGTGAAACTCTACAGCAGGACAAAGATCTCAATGTCAATAACACATCCATTGGTATTGTAGGAGCTCCGAGCGTACATGAAAATACCACTGGTATCAGTTTCCGTATCCTAGAGGGCGAAACCATACAGCCATTCCTTGACACAATGGTTCCCAAAGATGTACCTGCTACTGCTCCTGCACCAGCAGCAACTACTGACGAAGATGTGCAAATGACGGAATGAAGATGATCGTTCTGCATATTTCCATCTCGTTGTATTCCGTACGAAACTTAATCAAGGCCCATGACATATAGTGATATGTGTACTTAAGCTTGGCCTCATTGGTGATAAGTGACAAATGGATACAGCTGTTTACCAACGAGAATTAAACCTCATCGCCCCTTCTTTTCTACACGCCACTCTTTGAAAATACCGTCCAAGCTTTTATAAATAAGATGTGAAGGAAGACAGCGGATTATTTCCCCAATCCGTTCGTCAACTTCCTTCTTCCCATTCTCACCCGAAGCTCTCGTGGCGTATTCGGTGCTCATTTGGTACATTGCGAGAACAGCAAGCGAAACGTGGGTCTGTTGAGACCCATGTGCAGTAGCTTGAGAAAGTGCAGAGAGAAGTGGCCCGGACACCGATGGTGCAGATATCGTAGACGCAGAAGAGAAAGCTGTTGCTCGCTCGCCACGTACAAGACGCAAGAGAATCTCCAAAAGATTCTCAGTTTCTGTTAGATGGGTCTTTAAGAATCGATGTCGTTCGGTAGGCACACCAACAGGAGAATTTTGCGCCCACCCCTCTAGGACTGTCCAAATAGTTGGTGGCTAGCACATACAGCAGTAAATTTTTCAAATCACGGTTGGAATGCAAGTAAAAGAACTTACCGGATCTGGATCTACTACTGTGATCTTTTTCTCCCATCCATCGGCAGCATCACCAGATACCCAGAACATGCGGCCAAACATGCTCCTCAGCCATTCCTGAATATCGCCGGTTCTAACCCATCTAGGCTCGGAAAGGGGGCGCTTTGTATCTAGGTGGGCAACCAAAGTGAGAGTCGTAGATGCCGAATCATTGATAAATGGTGGTAAGGTAGGGTCCGAACCATCCTGTTCGCTCTTTTCATGGAAGGGAAGGGGAACATATGACTTCGTTACATCCGAAAGGCCTTCCACCTAGAGGAGGATATAAGAGATGCAAATGTGAAAGGATGCCAAGATTGAGACATACCAGGATTCCCTGTATAGTATTATCTGGGTTACGGTGTATCTTCATTTTCGCCTCAATGCGACCCTCAGAGCGGTATATCTCCATCTTTTCAACTACTTCCGCATTGATCACCATGCGTCTGTTTCCGTTCGAGTAAGATATAGACAGACGGTTCGCAGAAGGTGCTTGCGTGGCCAATTGGTCCTTATCCGAGTTATGCGAATTGGAGTCGCCATAGGTCGACGAAGAGGAAGCGGATAGTAAAGTGTTGGACACAGGAGAGGCTGGAGGCTCGGGCAGATGCTCTGAGTCACCTCGTTCTGAAGATTCTAGTTGAGACTTTGACTGCAGATCCGACGAAGCAGCAGTCGTTGTTGTGTTTTCTGTCGAATCTGAGGAAGCAGCAGTCTTTGTTGGATTTTCTGTTGGCGCTGCAATAGGTTGAACCTGGGGATTAGCACGTTCAGTACGATCAACATGTTCGCCACTGTGAGAGCAAGAAGCGTAAGGAACGGAGACGTGAGATATAGTTTCAAACACAGACGCAGTATTAGATGCCATGGAATGCGTATCATCAATATAAGAAAGGGAATGGACATCGACAAGAGCATGGGAAGGTGAGCCAATCGCAGAAATACTATCTGCGTTGTCTGTCCCTTCGACTTTTCCATCGTTTGCTTCATTCTCTTCAGAAACATTAGCCGTAACATCGACAGATGCAGAAAAAGTATGATTCTCGGAAGCGGCGCCATCATCTTTTCCTTGAGAGGCTTTTGAAAGGGAGTTAGTTGTGTGCGTCATGGCAGCCTCCCGAAAGGAGGTTCATCCACACTAGTTGCTATTTACAAAACGCAAAGCAGACGACACTCACCACCGTGATCATCTACCTCGCCCAATTCAGACATATTATCGTGATATTCAACAATCTCGCTGACATGTAAACGCTCATCGTCGTCTTCGTCGCCCTCAGCATCAGGATCTGGCTGCGTTTGTTCACCATCAGTGATAGCAGCCATGAGCCAGTCTGCCTCGCTTCCACTCTCAGCAACGCTATGCGTGACACTAGCCGCAACGCTAGAACGATCGTCGTTCATGGGCGGAGGAGGCCGACGCCCATCCTCACCGTCACCATCATCGTCGTCATCCAACTTTTTGCGCTTTCCTTTTCGGGAATCAGATGGAGCGGTACCAAGAGATAGAGAATTAGGAACGATAGGATGAGAATCATCCGCAGAAACGGGAGTGTGGAAATAGATGCGGATGCGAGAGTGAGGAGCACTGCCGCTGACAATGACCTTAGAGTCTGTGTCAGTCTCCTTGTGTTCAGCTTCGCGAGCTGTATTAGACCTGCGAGGCTCGATTTTTGCATCACTCTCGATCGAATCAGCGGAAGCCATGATTATGGTCTCGTCTTCTTCCATCTTGACCGTCGCTTGGGATGACTGGTCAATTTCTTCAGCATGAGAGTCATCGTCATGTTTTATGCCCCAAATCCATGAGAGCTCAGGAATTTCCAGCCCCATCATCTTGAAATCTGTGAGAGTTCGTCTGTTCTCATCTTTCTTACCAGAGACGACACCGGGTGCACTCGATTCTTTAGTAGATACATTTGCATTATTTCCATCATGCCGCTGAGGGCGATTGGAATTTGAATGACTGTATCCACGTCCACGAAAAGAGGGATTTTGATGTGAAAATGACCCACCGGCTCCAGCGTTAAACGATCCTCCACCTCGTCTATTGTGGAAGTCTTTACTCGGGCCAAGGTGCCCTCGAGAGTTGTGACCTCTCAAACCAGCTCCGTTACCGCCACGTCCAGAATTATTCGGTCCAACGTTAAAGCTGGCCCCACCTCTAGTATTTCTATTACCCATCCCGCCACCTCGTCCTGCGTTCATCGAACTACCTCTGCCGCGTGTCATATTCCCTAAGTTGCCGCCTCTGCCGCCTCTACCACCGAGGGGCATCTGATTCGACCCAGGTCCTCCTCCACGTCCGCCCGAGAAAGCACCTGATGGTTGATTAGGTGGAAGGGGGGGTTGAAACTGCTGTTGCGGACCGTTTTGTCGTTGTTGTGGTTGCTGATTGTGGGAAGGTCCGTCGAAACGCTGACGCTTCGCTGGTGGTTGGTGTTGAGGAGAAGCATGGTTGACATGCCGTTGCTGCTGCTGTTGCATCGACGGAACAGGCTGCGGGGGAATGTGAGGGTTGAACATGGGCTGAGAAGGAACTTGTAGTGGTCTGGCCATGGAATTATAAGGCGCTTGTATCTGCGTCATTGCCTGGGGAGCCTGCGGAATGTAAGGTTGTGCGTAGTTCACAGCTGGCTGATAAGGGTTATAACCGGGAGCTGCTTGCGGAGGGGGAGGTGGTTGAACGACGGGAGGTGGTGCATGGAATTGTTGCTGTTGTTGTTGTTGCTGCTGCTGCTGCCTTTGCCATTGGTTCTGAGGACCGTATCCATAATTGGCGTACAAAGGATTTTGTTCAGGTGGAGGACGAGGTTGGGCTGGCCATTGCTGTGGAGCATATGATCCAGCTTGAGGCTGTTGCTGCTGCTGCTGCTGTACAGCAGCCCAATAAGCAGAATAGTCTGGCTGTGTAGGCTGAGGCGGAGGAGGCCCAGGTGGTAGAGGAGGAGGAGGGGTATATGCTGACTGAGCAACGAAAGGATTCTTATTCATGAATCTGACCTTTTGAGAGCTTTTTAGCATCGTATGTAGATATTGTAAAAATTTTAGTACGCACCGTGAACTGATGTCGTCAATGATAAATTTACAGTACGTGTGCTCTTGTCGTCCCAAAAGCAAAGCAAAGAAGAGCAGAGAAGTTCAATTTTCTCTAGTATTAGGAGCGTATAAGATACGGTTTCCTAACAAAAAGAAAGAGCAACGTCGATGTTGACTTGCAAGTGTGGAACTGACAATTAATCGGTCCAGGATCGGCCCGCCTCGAGTCTTTCCTAGGAAGAACCCACAATTAAAATTTTCAGAAATCAAGCACACGGTGCCGTCTAGGTAAAAAGATGGCGAGCTACGAGGGCCCACAAACACCAGCAGTTATTTCTACGGCGCAAGTCAAGATCGTGATAAATTATCAGCAAGATCACTTACATTTGCCTTTTCATTCACTTTCGCGCTCGGAAGCATGTCTACCGGGTCAATGACCAAGAACGAGATGGCCAAGACCTCCGCAGCTCAGGAGAGAATTCGGGATCATCAGAAACGTCGAGTCTATCTAAGCGTAATTCCCGGAATATTTCGAGGACCATGAGGACCTGTAATAGGCCTTTCAGAACTTCCGATTACAACCTTGTTGTGCCTCCACCTGGCCTCCGCTCGCGAGAAAGAAATAGCCCGGTTTCCCCTCCCCAGTTTCCGCTTTGAAAACTTGACACAGGTTTGACGAGATCCGCCTGGTCAGTTCCGCCTGTGGCGGCTTCAGGACATTCACTGTGAGTTGTCTGCAATCATTCTGCAATCTTCCTAGCAATCATAAGTTGACTGTGCTCGGGGCTATATGCCAAGGACAAGCAGAACGACGGTCGACACCTGGACAGTATATAAAGGGGTGTAACGAACACCCTGGGGGCAGGTGAACTTCTTTACTCTCGCTCTACCTTCCTTCCCTTTGTCATTTCTAATGATGTTTGCATCCAAAAAGATCGCTCATTCACTATTAATCGCTTCAGGTTGGCATTTCATTACAGCCAGTTCTAACATTGATCAATTTTTCGCAATAGTAGTCCTTTCAAACTTTGCCCACGCTGTCTCTTTTGATGGACAGTATATTCAACCGAATCTCACCAACACCGCGGTAGAATGGTGGTGGGGAAGCGCTGTTGGGGCTTCTCAATCCCCAGGAACTCCCGGACCTGTACTTCAGTTCCTGTTCTACCAAGGTTCATAACCGCTTCACCCATTAGTTTTGTCTGCTCCGGTTGATCTCACCTATGCATTTTCACAGGATACTCGATCCTCGCGGACTTCAACCATTCTTCTCTCCCTGAATATTACATTACCATCAATGGATTCTTTTCCAACGGCAACAACTTTAGTCTTACTGTTCCAGCCACCTCTGGTAATATTTCTGAAGGGAATAACAACTCCGTGACAGGAACTTGGGGTACCGTTGGGGCGTTCCAGATCTCTTCTGACCTAAAGACAATGGCTGTGACCTTCAACGCTCCTGATGCGCCCTACGGAATATCTGGCTCGATGAATTTCACGAGCAACCGAGCAAATCACTACGGATGTAATGTTACCGACAGTCCTTATTTCGACGTGGTCAAACCCGTTAAAACTTTGAATGACGCCGAACAAGTCCTTTTCAACCAGCTTGGTTGGGCAGTAGCTATTCCGGGTGAGATTTAAAGATATTCATTCCCGCCACCCAGCGATCTTACGTGCTGTCAACTACTATAATAGGTGGCACAGTAAATGTAGATGTCAGAATCAACGGGACACGACTCCAGTTCACGGGTAACGGGTACCACGACCAAAACTGGATGCCTCTTGCTTTGAACGAATTCATATCCTCCTGGTATTTCGGTTTCGCTGAAGTAGGCCCATACACCCTCTCCTACGTCTCTGCAACGCCTCTTGATTCGACCATTGTATTCAACACAGGATACCTCGCCACCGACAATGCTGTGTTGCAAAATCAATGCTCTGTCGACGGGTCGAAGACCACGGATATCAGCATTATTCGCCCTACCGGCGAAATGGCTGGTGCAGAAGGCACGATTGCGCCTTCCGGCTGGACGTTGAACTATATCATAGACGATGGAACGGAATTCGAATTTCTGATAGTTCCAACGGGCGTGAATCCAGATATTGCCATTTATCAAAGATGGACGGGTCTGATTTCTGGCGGGAAGAAGGGGGAGGAAAGCTATGAAGGCGTCGCCACCTTTGAATGGTTGAACCCAGGTTTAAATGTATATCCTGCGTGAAGGGGTTACATGTAGCCTTAGTCCCCTGAGGACAACAGATCATCTTGTAAACATCGATTACTCGATGACTCTTAGCTGTTATGTAGTCCGATTTGTAGTATTGATCTGTTGACTGCAAATATGTACTGGACATTCCAATTGCAGATTATGACTATGGACTAGAAAAAGTATTGTGAGAATGCGAGACTGACCGGGGCCCCGGAATCGGACCTCAGACTGTTCAGACCCGGTTTATCCTCCGCCGCGTCAATTTCACGTGTAAAATTTGGCGTTGAACACGCATGAATTTGATGCTCTCAAAGCTTTGAACTTCTTCACTCACTCACCCTATCGACGAATCCACATGTCTCTTCTAGATGCTCAGTTTGACCGTGCGGTGGAAATTGTCCAAGGTTTACCCAAGACTGGCCCGGTGGGTCGTACTGCGTTAGATCCCTTGTTAGAACAATATTTTAACGTTCCTTCTCCAGATACAAACCGACTATGAAGAAAAGCTCACTATGTATAGGTATGGAGTGTTCAATTCATTGAAGGTCCCCTCTCTGAATGTTTCCTTATCATAACAGTTTGTACAAGCAAGGTATGTTTACTCTGGGTTTCAAGGGCGTCGAGCAGTATACCAATGGGGTTCCTTCAGCAACTGTTGGCAATGTCAAGTCACCAAGACCTGCGATGTGGGATATGCTTGCGCGGGCAAAGTGGTACGTGGCGTTAATTCTTATATCCGCTCAGAACTGACAAAAGCTTACAGGGATGCATGGGCAAAGCATAAAGATTTAAACTCGTATGAAGCCAAATGGCTCTATATTGAAGCCCTTTTGAAGGTTTCAAAGTTCACAATCTACTCTTCATACCCCTCACTGATACAACTTCTTCAAAGGTTTTGCGAAAGTATTCAGATAAAACAATGGCCAGAAATCTTGTACAGGAACTAGAGTCGTACAACGGGGAAGCATCTCATATCATCATGAACAGTGAGCGGCACTTGATTTTCCATCGTTGGTATATTGATTTTCCTTCAAAGAATCCGTTAGTTCCCACTCATTAAAGTCAGATTCTTCCGGCTCATCTGATGACGGACAAGTACGAAGCTCAGGATTCATACACGCTAGCCAGACTCAAACCTCCGACCGTCAGCATCAACAAGAATTTGAAGATTCAGAATCAGACGAGGACGAAGATGCGGACGAAGATGAGGAAGAAAGAGAAGACCAAGCGAAAGAATTACCTGTTCGTCCTGATCTCGGAGCATCTATACTTAATCGACCGCAATCCTCACTGTCTTCCCATCGGTATCGTACGCCAATGGCAGGCTCATTAGCCATGTCGCCACCTCCAAATCATAGCATACCTGCTATCCAGCCACTTCCGGGCTTTGATACCCCTTCTGCTTTCGCCGAGCCGTCGCCGACCTCGATCCCATCTTCGCTTTATCCAGTTGGCAGCTCTTACGTAGGTTTCTCAGAATCGTCTCGGGAGGGAATGACGTCTCCGCCGCAAGGCCTCTTTCCAGCCCATCCTCAGTACCGTCATCAGGCACAATCTCTTCCACTCGGGCAGTATGGTGTTGTTAGGCCAGCTTCCACACTGGCAATGGAACGTGCTGTAGAAAGTGTTCAATCTCAACTAGCAGCAGTCACGGAACGGTTAGAAATTCTCGAATCTGTTTCGCCTCTTCCTTCAAGGTCATACCTCGGGGCGAGCCCGAGAGGCACGCCGACGTGGGGAGTTGGACGGGGAAGCCCCCCTCACGAATCGCACACGGAATGGGACCTTGATGATTTAGGGATGTGGACCTCAGTCCTGAATCCCATATCTCGTGCCATTGAGCGCCTAAAGCAACTATCCCGTTTCTTCGCCAGAAATGAAAACAGATCGCCTTCAATGATTGTTTTAAGGCGGCTGTGCTTGGACGTGTCATTCCTGTTTTGCATTTTTGGATTGATACGCTTCTTGTGGAAAAGAAGCGGTGTTCGAAGACGAGAAGTAAATGCAGCATTACGGGTACTTTGGCGTGCGATTTTGGGCAGAGATGAGCGCATCATGATAGACAAAGGTGTTTGAAAACTTCTTGTATATTCGTTTGATACACCAGTACAATATAGGGATGGAATATTGATAAGTATACAATATCGTTACAGTTCTTAATTTGTGATTGTTCTCCAAGCTCAAAGAACTGTCATGTCCACAACGCAACGGATACAATCGCCAGCCTAGAATAGAATAGAAGATTAGGTTAGAACCAGATAGAGTGGCTTTGCGTACATGCATATCATTGAAACCGTCATTAATTTCCAGGAATTTTCGATGATGAGTCACATACTCGTCGATCTTAACCTTGCCGTTGAGATAATCTATTTGTGATCTCAGTGTTTATAACCGTAGGTAGTTCGTAAAATGCAAGACCTTCAACAAGACCGGGTATCTCAGTTCTTCCTTTGACACCACCGAATGCAGACCCACGCCATACACGTCCGGTGACTAGTTGGAACCTATATGTCATCTGATGAGGACCCCCATATGAAGATCCCGAAAGGCCATGAACTCACGGTCGTGTGGAAATTTCCTGTCCTGCAGCGGCCACCCCGATGATAGTAGACACACCCCATCCCTTGTGACAGGCCTCGAGAGCAGCACGCATGACGTGAACCTATGGTAAACGTAAGTTCATACACATTCAGAGACAGGAAGGATTCGTAGAGACATTGCCGGTAGCGTCGAAGGTGTAATCCAGTCCACCGTCGGTTATTTCCACAAGATGGTCTTGAATCTTCTTGCCTTCTGGTAGAGTGGTAGGATTAATAAACTGCGTAGCGCCCATCTTCTTTGCCCATGATTCTTTTCCAGGGTTGGTATCGACAGCAATGATGCTACTAGCACCGACAAGGGCAGAGGTAGCAATGACTCCCAGACCGATAGCACCGCATCCGAAAACAGCAACCGAGGATCCTTCTAATACGGAGTCATTGAATCAGTTGAAACCATGAAGGAGAGCGGAAAACTACACGTACTGATACCAGGCTGTTTGACCACAGCACCCCAAGCGGTGGTAATACCACACCCAAGGAGACAAACCTTTTCAAGAGGTGCTTTCTTATCAACAGAAACAACGGAGACGTCAGCGACAACGGTGTATTGCGAGAAAGTAGATGTTCCCATCTGCAAGTTGGCAATCATGAACTTCGTCGATTAGGTTACGATGTCGAATTCAAATACTGACAAAGTGATGAATGGGTTGACCGTCTTTTGTAAAGCGACTGGTGCTATCGGGCATTAAACCTTTTCCTTGCGTGGCTCGGACTGTGATAACAAGCGCTGAGTGAAGAATGATCAAGAATGTCAATATAAGCATGTAAGTACCTTTGCCACACAGATTGGTTTTACCGCTCTTGCAGAATTTGCACTCTTTACATTCTAAATAATCACGATAGAAAGTGGGCATTTTGAGGCGAGTAATGAAGGTTGATGACTCACCAGCAGTGTACAAAGGAATAACATGGTCTCCAACTGCGACGCTAGTAACGCCTTCACCAATGGATTCGACCTTGTTTATCAATCGGTAAAGATCGGGAGAGAAGCGGTATATGGACTCACCACTCCTCCACCTTCATGGCCAAGGATGACAGGGAACAAACCCTAGATGGAAGATCGCGTCAGTATATTGAAGTAAAAGGGATAGCGTTTTCACCTCAGGGTCTTTGCCACTGCGAGTGTATTCATCGGTATGACAGATACCTGGTGTGCATATAAAGTGAGATTCCGGATAGAAATTCGAAGCATTCGCGCATTTAACCTGTATAAAGAATACGAATCCGGACTTCGTGAGCTTGAGGAGGTGCTACTTCAACTTCTTCCACTTTGAGAGGCTCCCCAGCTCCCCAGCAGATAGCGGCTTTGCATTTGATAGGTTTTCCAACGGTGTCAGACATGACGAGAGATCAGAGGAATTATTTGGGACTAGTTATGGTCAGAAGGCCAAACTTATAAACGAGGAAATCGAAGATAAACCGGAGCTTTCCGGCTCTTCCGATGGGATATTCTTCACGCGCGTGTCGACTCGGACATTCTCGCATCCTTCGTTGAAATTACCGTTCATCGATCCGAAATTTTGAGCTTTAGCTACAAAGGAACAATTACTTATCGAGCTGAGAAAGACCCAAGAAAGTTTCTCACCATTGTCTTTACAATCTTTTTCCATGTCATTCACCAATTTGTATTATAAGAGAACCACTGGAACACCGAAAGCGTGCTGGGTATGCTTTAAACCAACGACAACGGTGCTGGGTAGTCCCTTCTAAACATCTACCAAGACTGACGACCAAACGACGTATGTATATTTAGGTACTAGCCACCATCAACACCGTGGATTTTCTCTATACATGCGACAGTCATCTGACAGACCGCGGATTCGCCAGTCTGAGTTCGGTTGGTGAAAGTAGCGATGGAGCGCGAAAATTAGACATCAGACCTGAGGAGATTGCTAAAGTGAAAGAAGAGTGGGAGGAGAAGCAGAAAAAGAAAAAGAAAGCAGATAAGGAGAAGGAAGAAGAAAAACAAAAGTCGGCAAGGGAAGAGTCTGACAAGAAGGACGACGAGAAGCAGAAGGACGAGGGAACGTCGAAATTACCATCACCCAAGCTGTCAGGATCTCTTTCACCTCTCGCAACTCCATCACCATCTGCAACTCATCAGAGATTCATATTGCACAGAGATATATTTGCCAGTTGAGCTTTACTTTTCAAACTGTATCACACCCTTCCAACTACCTTCTCTAGTGAGATTAGCGGAACACCGCAAACGAAGACAGACTACTCAAGCTAAGGAACTGGCTCCCCGTCTCCCCGGTGCACCTAGAGGCGATGTTATTTGAATATATATTTTGATCCAACCGAACAAGAAATGTTCTTTGATTTCTGCTGCTCGTCCTAGGACACCAAATATATTTGAGAGCATCAAGACTTAGAAACGACTTATTCATTTCTACCGTGACACTTTGTCGGCGTAGTCCTGATATTATTACCGTGATTTATAGGATGCCGAGTAGACATAACCAAGAGTAGTGGGAAATCCGATGTGGTGACCTAATAGTATCTCTACGATGTTGAGGTAACCTAAGAAGCAAGAGTCAGGTATGAAAAGTTGAAACAACGCGATCACACACCGTCTTTGGTGTCATGACCTGTGATTGTCCCTCTGCCCAAGTGTACTTCAGAGAGCCTCTGATTCTCTCTTCCGCAGTACTAACTAGCCGCCCTAGAGTCATCACATATCATTATTTCAGCCACGCTTCGACATTCGAACGATGAAGGTTAAATACCTTTCCAGAATAGCTTTCCCCAGGCTTTACCATGTTTACCCTCACATTTGAATTGTGACCTCGTTACGACCCAATAGCAGTCGGATATGTTTTTTGGGACCATCGAAGTTGGTACACGCGCTTCCCGACTCCACCTGAAGGCGTCCGTGACAAGACTTCATACAAGTTTCCAGGATGGGCAACCAATGATGGCGGAAGTGCTCTCGGTAACAATCTTCTAAGAGATTTTCCAATATTCGGCGGTGCAGCAGAAGAGAGAGCTATTGAAGTCCAAAACATAATGAGATGCTTAATGAATGTGTGTGGTCGAGGATAACGGAAAACACCGAGGGATTAATTTTCAAACTCCGCAGCTTTGTCCCAAATGTTTAGGTTGCCTGTTCGTCGTTGTTTTCCATGGCGAACTACAGCCAGGTCTCCTTGTAGAACTCTCAAAAATTTATCGAGATTAGTCCCAGAACATCAAGTAGACTCTTTTGGGCTTCCGATAAAACCATTATGGTCAGTTAATGCACTATTAGCATCATATCCGCAGCCGAAGCTCTCGACCTCCACCTTCAAACGCTTACACGAATTGTCCGCTTTGAGCCCTCCTAAGGAGGGTACCAAGGAGTATGAAAAGCTCAAAAGGGAGCTTGAAGAGCTTGTTAAACTAGTTGAGGCAGTGAAATTGGTGGATACCGACGGAGTTCAACCCGCAGAGATGCGACCTTTCTTGGGAGACGGAGCAGAAGAGGAAGTGTATGATGAAGCAACGAGTGAATTGGAAATGGGGAGAGTGCTGCTCAAACATGCTTCACAAACGATTAACGATTTCTACGTCGTTGAAGCAGATAAAAGGCGCTGAACTGGCAATTCTGCATGGTATGCGGTTTGTGAGGCTTGCGATTGGATTCAACTAACTATTTTCCTGCATAGATATTCGGAATATTGTTAATACAATACCACCATACTGGAAATGGGTACTGGAGGTATTGTGCACCATCTTTGTAACGACAAAATTGACTAAACTCAAGCTATATTAGATCCAGTGGCAGCTGTTGCAGGTTTTCTGCGGGTCTTTCTGGGTTTCATCATAAACACGAAGATCGTTACTACATCGTAAAAACCTTTATTGTAGATTTGAGGATTGCTCTGCGAGTCTCTGGATCATACAAGGGGCTATAAATTACATCCGTACACGGCCACTGCATGGACATTCGGCACATTGTCGATGAGGAGGCTTGTGTTCATCATGCCATGTAGATGCACGGTGGGTCTCGCCGAGTAGGGAGATGTCGGCTTTTACAACATGATGCTTTTAAAACATGATTGATACATAGACTTCCATTTCTGAAACTCTTCATATTTCCCATAGTGACCTTCGGAATGACCTATGTAGACACAGTGTTTGCATGAATGAATGCTGCGCATCTCTCAGCGACCATGACTACTGGAGCCTGTATGTGGCAAGCCGGAACACGCGGAAAAATACTAGCGTCTGCGATTCGCAAACCAGCAACACCATGTACCCTCAGCTCGTCGTCTACGACACCTAGGTTCTCTTCTGTATCCATTCGACACGAGGAGGAATAGTGAAACGTTGACATCACATTTTGATTGGAAAATTCGTCCAACCTTTCATCAGTAGTATCTTCAGGGATGGAAAGGTCCTCCAATGGATACCCGGTTTTACGCACTTCTTGCGCAAGTGCCAGTGCTAGCTTCAATGCTTTCCTAAGAGGGAGGCGATCGACATTGTCGTTGAACATACCAAGGTCACAGCGAGGTCGATCGCGAGGGTTAGAAGACGATAAACGGAGCGACCCGTGCGACTGAGGGCGTAAGACTGTGCATAAGTATGAGAAGATTCCAAAAGATCTTCCTAGGCCTTGGAAAGTACGGTTCGTCGGGTTCACTGGGAGGAACATAACCTCAATATCGGGAATATTTTGAGGGTCTTGAGCATCGAGTTGAGTCTCTGGAGTGTCTGAAGGGATACGAGATTGTTCATCTAGTAACGCTGAAGGAAGAGTAATGTTGAATTGTTGAACTTGTTGGGATAACAACCCTTTGCCGAATATTGCGTATTTAAGGAATTCGGTCGCTGCCCGTAATGGGCTGCCCAGCAACACACCTTCGACAGCGTCTTTCAGCGGTACCTTGTACAGCAGAGGTACAGAAATATGATCCTGCTGTTGGTCATCGATTTTATAAGTATGACGAGGATCCAAGAGCTATTCAGAACTTACTAGACACTGACCTACACCTGGAAGGTTTTTCAAAACAGGGATCTGGACCTGTTCCAAGTGTTCTCTCGGACCTATCCCGCTAAGATTGAATGATGAAGAGTAAGTTGGATTTCTTCGAGAAATAGACACACCTCAGTAACAGAAGCTGGGGCGAGACAATTGCCCCCGCACAAAGTATCACTTCTCGTATAGCAAATGCTGAATACTTGTGATCCAGATGGCCAGAATCAGGGGAAAAACAAACTCCAACAGCTCGAAGATGGCCATCTTCTCCTTGACGAATGTCGAGCGCAGTAACGATAGCACCGGTGCAGATGCTTAAATTCTTCCTATTGGATACAAGAGTTTTCGGTAGGAATGCAACTTCCGTCGAGCATCGATGGCCATTGGAGTATATTGTCGCATCTTGAGGAGTGCATGCAACATTTGGAGAAGAAGAGTCGTTTGCCATCGAAACGCGTGGGATATTGAATCTTGTGGTCATATCGATATTCCTGAGGAATCTGAGCTCTCAGGTACGCAGATGAATCATGAATTGAATTTACTTCTGCACAATATCGAACTGCTCCGTTTGGACATTTTGATTGACCCACGATCCTAAAGAATTTGCTTGAAACATGTTCGTTGATTTATCACTGCATAATATGACACCTTGGGTACCACGACCAATGGCTTGACTATGCGAAAGAGAATGTTCACTTTTCTTGAAAAAGGGTTCGACGTCCTGCCAGCTCCACTTTTTTCTTCCAGCGTCTTTCCAGGCGTTATATTCCCCAGGTGCAGATCGAGAGTAGATGAGACCGTTAACTTTAGTCGTGCCACCAAGAGCCTTCCCCGCCGCAAGACTAAGACTTTTCCCACCTATTCCTCGCATTGGTGCAGACTGCCATTTGTAAACCGGCGCTCTTTGGTCCTGGAAGTTGCTGGATATGAGAGGAACTTGAGAAATCCAACTATCAACAACTGGTCCACGTTCAATGAGGAGGACCATTTGCTTAGGATCTTCACTCAACCGCGACGCAAGAACGCATCCGGCAGTCCCGCCTGAATGAATGAATCAGAGAATGGATTCTTATGTGACATCTACTCACCACCAACAACGATATGATGATAGCTGTTCGCATTCACCTCTGCAGCGGATTTCGTAGGATAGTGTGAAAACACTCTCATGTTGTTCCCAAGTAATGATGAGTCCTGGTAAGCCAAGGCGTGCTTCGCGCAGACAACGGCATTGATCGAATGCGATACTGAATGAAGGACATAACTACTTACGGGGAGAGACGCAAGGGAGACGCAGCGGTCCTGGTCAATTCACGGAATCAAATGAGACTCGAGCACTGCGCATCGTGGCAAATGCGAAGATCGCTTAAGATTGTGGTTATTAAGCGCCCAGGCTATTTCCGCTACTTCCGTATGCCATTTTCAGAATTCCACGATCCGTCGGTCTGAGCCAGGTTTAACTGTCTATTAAGCCACCCAGTGTTCTCTCGAATGTTGAAGATATCTCATTTATTGGTGGTTCATTGTTCCTGAAATCCCCCTGATTAACAGTTGAGAACGGGAAGAACTTGTCGAAGGTTTAAATACGTGGGTTCAGAAGTTACGTCTTTCTAACATCGTTGTCCTCTTCTTTTCTGTCATGGCACCTGTTCTCCACTCTATTGCTCTTGTCCTCTCCTCACTCGAAGCGCTCTCGTCTCTGCATGCTGGCCTCGACAGCAGTGTTATTGAGCAAGTTCGCTCGAATTTGATTGCGATCGCCTCTCAAAGGTACGCGTTCACGTTGTAGTAAGTCTAGGCCTCCTTCATTCAGATCTTTGTAGTTGGGAGCTTGGCACGGCTGCTGAAGCTTTGACGGAACTCGACTGGCCTGCTCTTTCGGTTTTCAATGCCAGTGCCTTTCCTCCACCACACGTTCTCGCCAGCGCAAATAATGCTTCCGACGTTCTAAAAATTGCCAATGAGTGCGCACTCATCGAGAGAGCTGACACTTTGCGCCGCTAATCCTCCATTTGTTCAACAGCACTGTATCTGCAAAACCTAACGATTCCTTAGCCCTTGTAGCCAACGACGGAGCAGTGGGAGATCCCGCATCGATTGGAGTTGCCGTTCTATTAGCGAATTGGACAGATAGCTCAAATACTTCCTACGCCATCGCCGCTGGTGAACAATTGGATTATCTTCTCAACGTTGCTCCTCGTACAGGTTCGTCCACCTTGCCCTTCTCTGACTGCCATCCGAATCAAATCTCTACAGATTCAGGCGCCATATCTCATCGAAGCGACGAAGTTCAGCTTTGGTACAGGATTCAGTCTCTCAATTCATCTTCAATGCTCATTAAATACGACACAGGGCTGATTTTATCTACATGGCACCTCCATTCATTGCTTATTATGGCGCTTTACAAGCAGGCGACAATGAGTCATACCTCCTACAAACAGCCTATGAGCAAATATCCCTATACCGCGATGTCCTGAGAGATGACGATGGCCTTTGGAGACACGTTGCGCTGGGTAGCTGGCAGGACACAACGTATGTCTTCGAACCTGTCAGAGCAATGAATATCTCTAAAAGCACCACAGTCACTGGGCAACTGGTATCAATCCCTGTGCATTCCATCATATACGCAGACACTCATAACTTTATATCAGGCAATGGTTGGGCTGCTGCTGGGATGCTCAGAGTGCTTGAAACTTTGAATCATTCTTCTATGACGACCGACTTCGCTGATCAGACCGCCAACCTAACTCAATGGATACAAGAAATTTTATCTTCATCTTGGCAATACCAGGTAAATATGTGATACTCGCCAATTGAACTTCCCCTCATGCGTATTATAGCTGGAAAATGGCACGCTTCTAAACACCATCGACGACTCGAACTCCTTTGCAGATTCATCAGGAACAGCATTGCTAGCCTCCGTCACGTACAGGATGGCGGTTTACACAAACGACACTTCTTTGATACCCAATGCCGACAAAGCGTTCCAGCTTGTGGAAAGTAATATTGATGGTGATGGGTGGCTTAGAGACACTGTCGATCCGGAGACGTTTGATTCCCCCAGTGCTGCGGATTCGGCAAGCCCAGAGGGTCAAGCATTTGTCCTGTTACTCCAAGCTGCGTACAGTGATTATGCAGAAGCTGTTATATCTGGACAAGTCATACCGTCATCCAATTCTTCATCGTCTTCAGGCAGTGAGGGAAGTGGAGACGATGATGACGATGGAAGTATCCTTCGTCGTTGTCGACTGGTACGCTCCCATTGATATTGTCAATGTTCGATGTACTATATGATTTTATGAACACACGAAATGTACATATTACAGTCATCTATGGCTCCTTTATACACTCAAATTTTCTTATGCTTCGGAATGACTCATATCACGACTAGAAAGAAATCTGACTACATAGGCACAATGAACTAACTTAATAGATGAACATTCCCCACTAATATGATTTTAGGAAGTGAACTTTTGTGTTGCCAGAACATTATCAGTCCAAAAAGTCGTTATCAAGAGAAATCGAGTCCTTTAGACACCCGTCACATCACAGTGTGATTTCTTTATTTGTTTTATCAGTCCATTTAGTTATGTGTCAGCGGTCTGACTGACCATTGATTTGATGAGTGTGATGTGACTTCCTTGACCTCCTCGTTCACCTCTGTTCTATTCCTCATACATTGCAGCCTCGATTTGTATATTAAAACTGCATGATGCTTGTATAATTAGTTTATGTTATATTTCCTACAATTTTTGCTGAAAGATTGTCTAAATACTTTAAATTATACATCTATCTTCGCCTTTATCCACTATTTTACCATATTTCTGTTTCAATGTAGCTACATATACTCTTCGGAGACATTCACCAGGACCCCTGACAACCCACTAAGAGGCCTGATCCCAAAAACTCAAGTTTTACCCACATTTTTTGGGGGTCCAAAAGGTGGATTTTTACCCGGATTCTCCTCTGGCTTCATTCCAGACCCCATTCTTACCCGGTTTAGACCTCAGGGTATATCCAAAATTTGATTTTTCATCTTTTTTTGCTTATTTTTTGCCAGAAAGCTGCCAAATGTATTTTCTCTTTGTTTGTTTCTACTGCAGGTGGTTCTTTTTCCCTTGTTTTATCTATGCTGAAATTATGAACTCATCTAATGGATCATCATCCATATAGTTTCCCTTGAGCTCCAGATTCAACTACTACGATGTTCATGCAAAAACATGTATAAACAAGCTGTATAGTAATGTTTATGATACCTTACAATATGTTGTCAATATCGTGTAGTGGTGCCGAGTCAATTGCTTTGTGCTCAGTGAGCACTATGTTCGAGTCTCGTAGGGGCCATTTTACCCAACTGTAGATGAGGCCTTTTTGAAAGGAGCCTTTTTACCCAATTTTAGCCCTAGGGCCCAGCATGAAAAATTGTGATTTTTACCCTCTTTTGGCTCATGGATTCTAAAAATTTTCTCCTATTCTTACCCGCACTTTGTACAGGCCTCTTAGTGGGTTGTCAGGTGTCCTCATTCACCCCAATGGACAAAGTATTTTTAGGCATAAATCTCAAAACTCCGAGACCAAAAACTTTTGAATTTCAGTTTTCCGATGTGTTTGTATAAAGGACCTCGGGTGTATAAAGGACCCATAGATGACTGTACGTCTCACACGAAGAATTTAACTGCTTAGCTGTGTAAATTGTGAACGCATGGACGCAAATTACGACTTTTGTCATGTTGTAATTCCTCTCAAAGTTTAAACCCTGTTCAACGTTAAAATGACTACGCTCGTCGTCTTTCGCCAGGCCCAGTTGGCTTTTTCACTCGGCTCCGAACTCTATTTCTTCCTCGTCATTCATTGAATGTCACATTCTTTGATTCTCTTGGCTTCCGGGCTTATCAGCCACCACCATCACCAAGACCGTCGACCATCACGGCAATAATGACTGCCCCAGCGCTGCGGCCTCATGTTGGTGAAGGAATGAGCGTTCCGAGACCATAACTCTTTACTCTCTTCCCGTTCAATCTCCTGGTTCACATTTGTGTTCCGTTTAGCTCTGGCTTTCTAGGTGTTTCTGCCGAGCAACGCTGGGATTGGTCACTACGCAATATCAGGTCGAGTGCATAGAGCGAGGAAGAAAGACAGCGCAAGTGCTTGGTATATCTTCGTCAGAGACTCTGTTCTCCAAACTCGTTACATTTTCCGAATATAAATTGTTCAGCTCCATCTTCCGCGGTAATGCTATCATTTCCCTATGTTCCCCAAAGCCCACAGCTCACAAGTCTCCAGTCATGGGTAAGAAGGAGACTACGAAAACGCGGCATCGGAATGTGCGCATTGTGGATGAGGAGGCAGGGCGGATTTCGGCGGGCAACACTCAAGACCGTGGCCTGAACCCGCCTCAGATCTCACCTGGACGTATGAGTGGGTTTGTGGATGCCGGGAAAAGTAGATTGGAACGTTTCGTGACGCGTTTTTTGCGCAAAGGGAGACCTAAGGTTGGCCTCATTGACAGTCTCAAAGCTGTTGCTCTCTCGTCCTGTAAGTCTTTGACTGCTGAAGTATGACGCTCTTGACGATTATCAATTCGCTCGTATCTTCAGGGGTCAATATATTTATTCTCATACTGCCCATTGCATGGGCAGCACATTTTAGCAATGTCAACAATGGGCAAAATGTATTCACATTCCCCTCGACTTTTTCACGTAAGTTTTACATTTTTCTTTTGTGGATCTGACCTGATCTGACACAACATCTACATAAGTATGCTTGCTTGGAATTATTCCTTTGGAAAAGCTATTCGATTACGGCGGGGAGCAAATGGCATTCTATCTGGGTAGAGGTAGGTGTACCAGGACATGAAAAATATTTGACTAACTCTTGGGTCACAGATATTGGTGATCTCGTTGTAGTCACATTGAACAAGTGAAGCAGAGCCGATTGCGGAGACTGTTTGCTTTCTCACCTTGGCTTGTAGTGCCGTAGAAGCCACTTTGGCTATCATTTTGCTCAGAAGATGCGAGTGAGAGAATTCAAATAATTAACTCAACTTCTTTTTCACCGGTTGATTATTACGTCCAGATTAAAGCTTTTACAATCCACTATCATAGGTACGTACTCGTTGAACACTGGCGCATGATTCTCACTTCGCGTTCCCTCCAGGCGTGGTCATTCTTCATCTTCTGCTAATTCCCGGAACGTCTTTCATCGTTGGTGGTGCCCGCGTCTTGCATCAGGATTTGCATCCTCACCTAACACAAGTTAATCATTCGCTACTTGTTATGGGGTAGGCTTATACACTGTCTTTTCGTGTTGTTACTGATACTCAGGCTTCTTCGCTAAGAGTACTCTCCTTGCTCCTCCCTGCCGCCGTTTTCACCGCTTTGGATCGTGGAGCGGAGGCGTTAGCCGATAATCCTTCGTATATTGTCAACGATACCACTCGTGATACTTTCTTAGTGGTCAGTCGTGGTCTCGCCGTTATCCTGCTCGCAGTGTCAGTCTCTCTTTGTATTTCCGAACCAACTATTTGTTCATTTGGCCGTCTGTCCATTCAGGTACGTGGCTTCTCGTGTGTATCTGCACGATCCTCCTGGCGAACACGACACTCTCGCTGAACATCCCGATGCTCCCCTTGCATTGCTCGACGAGGAGGAACACTTAATACATGGTGAGCCTGAAGTCAATCAATGGGTCTGTCTTGGTATGCTTGCTGTAACCATCGCGCTCATGGCGGCTACCGCTGAATGGGTATGTTGATGTAATGGAGGTGAAACCCATCTGACGATGTCTGTATGTAGTTGGTGGACAGCATCGAATTTGTACGCGAGGATAGGGGTATTCGAGAAGAGTGCGTACGTAGGCTTTGGTGAAATCCACTATTGGTACTAATTGAAATGTAGGTGGTTTGGTCTAGTATTATTGCCAATCGTGTAAGTTGCATTGCCTTCCCCTCAACAGCCTTGACTTTATCGTGTCGTTAGATCATTCGCGGCCGATGGATTTGTAGCGATCGCATATTTCTTGCGGTACATTTGCGAACATCTTCTCGGAAGGAAGACGCCCCCAGCGACTCTGGCCAAAGCTCGTGCAATTGATCTTTCCATACAATTCATACTATTTTGGATGCCCTTCATCGTAATATTAGGATGGTGGACAAATAAACCAATGTCACTTCTGTTTGGTATGTTAACAGTATTCGCCGCTCAACTATATCTGAACGACAAAATAGATGTATTTGAAGTGGCGGTCTTGATTGGCGCGATGTTCTTGGTTAATTATGTAACAGCGGACGCCAAAACGAATTGGCTGGAAGGATTCGCTATGGTATCGTTTTACTCAATGATTGTAAGTGTGTTTGAACAGTCACAATCCGAATTGACCTAACTTATACAAGGCGTTGACCACTTGGTTTTACGATGGCCAAATAGAAATCAGCGAAATGCTGAACGCTGGTGGCTGTTTCATCGTCGAATCCTCGGTGGAGTAAATTTGAACATTGGGGTACATAGGGGAATAGCAAATAGAGCAATATAATGATGACAGCCCGCACAGTGGTTAATCCATTTGTGAAGATAAAAGCTTATAAGAAATCCGGTCGCTACTTGGGATCTGCTCTTGGCTCTGAATTCAAGAAAAGGAGACTTCAGCTAAAACTTGCTTTGAGAATGAGAAATACGTACGACTCCACTGCACACTGAGAATGAGGTTGTCGTATCCCTTCCCGTTGACCTTTTCCATTGCCTTTTGCGCCACCGCCCTGTCTTCGAAGCTCACGAACGCAAATCCCTTTCCAGCACCAGTATCGCGATCACGACCGACATAGACTCGAGCAACACGTCCAAAGTGTCCAAATAAGTCACGGAGATCATTTTCTTGGGTGTCTTCTGAGATATTTGTGACACGCAATGTCGGCAAATCGTCCCTATTTCCACCACCGGGTCCACGCATAGTCTCTCCTGTACCACGGGCTCCTGCACGGAGTGAAGGAGGAATGTACTTCGATCCGGTGGGGCCTGCTCCTGAGGCCGCATCAGGCGGAGGAACCGTATCGTCATCGGGCCCAGCCCCAGTGTCTACCATAGAGAAAATGCGGTATGAGATTCCTTCGCAAGATGACTATACAAGTCGCACCTCCAGCATTTTCCAAACCACCGAGAGTGTCCCTGTAAGGACATTTTGCAGTGAAATGATCTCCCTTACATAGCCGACACACGACTTTGCCTCCAGTAGTGGATTTGACGGGTTTTTTCTCTTCCTGCTGCTCTGACTCGGCAGACTGAAGAAGCTTCGATGAGAATACATATCCCATTGTCACAACGGTTAGATTACACACTTTGTTACCCGCCGATAACGTTAGATAGACGTTTTCGCCAACGGTAGTAGTTGCTCGGTCTGGTCCCCGAGCATTTCCTCTTTCTGCACCAAATTTCTCCCATTTTTGACGTTCTGCGACCTGGTGTTCTACGACAGATTTCTGCAGTGTTCGCTTGATCTTGCGAGTGATCTTGAATCTTGCTAAATATACGACTCTGAGTACGGATTGTGCTGACTTACCTTGACCTTCTTGCCCTGTTCGTTCACACTATACTCTATAACCGTTCGGATATTGTCGTCTTCCTGTTGGCCCGATACTACACAGGACGTTAAAAACCTGCAGATCAAATTGAACAGACCAACCGAGTTCATCGACATCATCCGCCCAGGAGGTTTTCGGTCTATTAGGCAGTTAGCACATCGAGGATATGACCACGTTACAACTCACATCGACATTGTCTACGCAAGTTGAAGTATACAGTCTCAGTATGGAATTGAGAAAAGTCCAGTAAAAGTCACGTGATGAATTACCGCTCTTGAATATTTTATCCACGCATGTCCGGTAGCGAGTTCCATTAACTCGCAAGGAGAAGGTACATAGACTGCCGCGGAGCCATCGAGGCAGCAGTCGCCTGATGTGTCCAGAGGTAATTAAAAGCCATGTTGAAGACTCAAAGTCGAATCCTGTCGAATCACAACCTAAGTCCTTCATTGAAGAAGGATCAGAAATGGCTATGCAGGGTTATATAACGCGCTGGGATATCAAACGCTACTGAATTGATTCCCCATCTCCCCTCTTGCGCTGTGCGCTCATCTACATTTTCTTGGTCGAGCTGGTCTCACCAATTGGCTATTGAATTTTCATCATGAATCCTCATAGAGGAGCTGTAGCAAATTCATATCCTCAACGGCCAATAGACCCTCCTTTACAAACCGTTGATCTTGGAGTGCTTGAGAATGGTGGACTGCAGAGCACTTGGAGCCCGGAGAGAGAAGAAGAGGACAAATATGCACCTTGGCAAGTGCCTTCTCTCCCATACGAGTATTCAGAATCGGCGAGGAGTAGATTTTCAAATTCCACGACAACTTCAATTCGAAAGACTACCATATGGCAAAGAATTCGTGGCTGCAATGTGGGTTGGTTGAGCAGCTTTGAAGCTATCATATTCTCTTCTTGGGTCAACATCTTTATCCTCGTCGTTCCCGTGCTCTGGATCCTGCATTTCTTGGACATGATATCTCATGTTACTTCCTTTTTTCGTAAGTTCCACTCATCACCTTCATCTCTGCCTCTAAATTCACGTTCTTTTTTATCCAGTGTCTTTCCTTTCATTAATTCCTATCATCAAACTGCTTGACTTCGGCGCTGAGAACTTGGCATTGTATTGTGGTCCAGATATTGGGGACTTGATTCTCATAAGCTTAAACAAGTGCGTATCGCTCTTTTGGTCGAACTATCGATTGACAGATCCACTATCTAGTGCGGTGGAAGCCATTCTGGCTCTGTGGCTCCTGGCTAATTGGGAGTGCGTACGTTCACTATATCTGCTGTGGGCGATGCTGATCTATTCATAGATTGCGGCTTTTGCAATCCTCCATCATCGGTATATTCATTCGTTCTCACTGATTGGATCACTGCGCTGCAACTTCACCTGATACAGGTGTGGCCGTACTTCGATTGCTTTTGATACCCGGAGTTTCATTCATCGTCGGTGGAGCTCGCGTCGCTTCACAAGAGCTTCATCCTCACATAACTGGGCTTAATCACTCTCTCCTTACTATGGGGTACGCGCTTGTTCTGATGCCGACTATGACTCAATGGTGACATTTGGAAATAGTGTTCTTGCGTTTCTCCTGCCGATAGCGTTCTTTACTGCCTTAGACAGAGGCATCTTCACAGATGATATGTCTGCCACGGTGGGCATTGACACAGGAGTTGTTAGCGATTACATGCGCGGCGAATTCCTCAAGATCAGCCGTGGCATGGCAATTATTCTCCTGGCAGTGTGGGCACATAACTTGCTGACAATCTGAGGACACAATGCTGAACCATTCTAACAGATATGTTTGCTCGCGCGTTTTCCTACATAATCCACCTGCCGGCGGAGGCTCGTTGCATGAACGTAGCGATGCTCCGGAAGAGTTGAAAAGGCTCGCACACGAGCTGGAGGAAGAGGTTCCCACTGCCAACTTCACATTATCTGTAATAGTTTCGTTATTCTCTGTGACTTTAATGGCCATCACTGCAGAGATTCTTGTGGAGAGTATAGAGCCCATGAGACGAAAGTTCAGCTACTCGGAGGAGTACGTCCATCTTTTCTTTCAATAATCGAAATTCTAACTCCTTCCTAGATGGTTCGGTCTTGTCCTCCTCCCATTGGTATCATTTTCCGCTGACGCGGTGGTCTCTATTGTCAATTTTATCCGAAACACATTCTTTGGCCATCATGTCCCTCATACCATGGCGAGCTCTCGTCACGTCGACGATGCCATCCAATTCATCATGTTTTGGGCGCCCGTTCTCGTTCTACTAGGATGGATCCTTGATCGACCTATGTCGTTGCTTTTTGATCTTTTCGAAGTCGCCATTCTTATTGGTTCATGCTTTCTGCTCAACTATGTCACTGAGGATTCGAAGACGAATTGGGCTGAAGGCGTCATGTTGGTTGCGTTATATATCATGATCGTGCGTCGTCTGTTCGATTCATACGTTCTTCATCGTGTTTCTTAATCATGTCAACATATCGTTTATAGGCACTCTCTGCATGGTTCTATCCGCAACAGCCTGAAATCGGGATAATGCTTTCAAGAACAAGCATAGCAGAAGTTTACAAGGAGTCTACTTTCGGCGGAAATGCCCATAACATCGGATCGTCGCCATTGTCCTCAGTAGCATCCCCATCTGTCTCTACGTTATATGACACTGCGACCGCAACTGTCACGACTACCATGAGTAACTCACAGGTTACCGCCGCAGCTGCATCTCCAATTCCCACAAGTGGTCTTTCCGAGGAACTTCAGAGGCTTGTGAAGCTCTATGGAGTCTTGGTCGATGAAAATAAGAAGTTGCAGGGGGACATCGAGAACGCATTGAGTAGTGTATCCAATCCAAGCAGGACATCTGTGGCAACACTACCGAAGGAAACAACGAAGAGTACTAGACAACGTAGATCACGATACGTGAAAGACGGTTAAAACATTCATTGTAATTTGACTTTTGGAGGTCCTGAACCACTGTATAAGCATTTAGCACAGATTGAAGTACTGGTATGATTATAAGTGTATATCAAATAAAGATACGGGACAGATGTAAGATTCTAACAAGATGGGTCCGCTAGCAATGGTCCCGATACGCCTCTACCCAAAGTTAATATTGCTTTGTGAATGGCAGTCGTTATTTCAGTGCGCATTCTGGCATCGAAGTCTATTTGGGTTTGCTCTGGGTGCCTGTCGGACGAGACACGGACCTGTGTTGAGCGGATCTGGTCAAGGGGAAGGGGCTCGCCAAAAGTGATGCTCAGGCGAGCGCCGATACGAGGGAAATACTTGAAGGGAAAGGATCGACCCTCTGGCATGAGCTTGTCGAAACCAGTTATCCACATTGGGATGACTATGGGACTGCGGGCAGTAGAGGATAAGATGCGACCTCTACAGAGTCAATTCAGCAAGCATGCAGATAGAAATCGACGACTACAGCTTACATTCCCCATTTGAACCGCGGCAGAACTGCAAATCCGTTTTCGTCCTTTTGGTACGTGTCAGGTTGATTCACATTTCCTTCTCCAAAGAGATGGACCTGGAAATCCATGAGCGTAGGACTAGCGAAGGTAAACATATTGCGACTTACCCAGCAACCTTGATCTAGCTTTTCTATTGCATTGTCCACGGCTGGTTGATATATTCCCTTGCCACGGAAAGTTTCGAAGACTTGTCCATATCGGAAAAAGGTAGAAAACACCCTACGCTGGCAAAAAGGGAAATTAACAGACGCGTAGACCATATGGACGGATGCGTACGAGTTCGTGAACATGATATCTGAGGCACCGAGTGTCCAGCGGGTGAAGCGCGAGCTGCGAAGATAATATGTCACGGGAAGTATGCCCCAGGTAACCGGGTCATCCAGTCTTCAATCTCATACTAAGGATGGGCAAAGGTGTTTGGGAGTTAGGACGCACGTAGAAATGTGGTTCGATACTGAAGAGTAATGAGAAAATCATTGGTTTCCTTGTTCTCCGGGGGTTGAAAAGGCGAAGAACTGACTAGTAACTACTCCTCGGTCATGCTCCCGGTGCGCGTTTTCTAGTGCTTGAACAAGATTCTGGAGGCCATTGACAGATAATTTACATAGCCCAGAGTTGAGGAAAGCTTTGCAAGTTATGCCAACGATGGATATAGTGGCTGCAGAGCGTAAAGACATTTTTTTGGAAGTAAAACCGGAGTAGAGTAATTGATTATCAAATACTGCTGAGACAGGTAACAGTTTACGTGAGCTTCGATGTACATATATTGATCCCCAACATCTGTTCGAATTTCTTCCTTGCACACTGACTCTTCCCAAGAGAGAGGTCTTCTCGGCTGGCTGCCAGCGCCAGTACTTGGAGCTGCTTAAACATGCTCGCCTTTGCATTCAGCTCGTTCCTCATCGCCCTCCTTCTAATCTATGTCGGCGCGGGACCTCACGTTCTGGCTTCTATCATGGCACTTGACGACTCTCTTGATGCTCATGAATCAGGTCTGGCCGTCGTCGCTGCTCGTTCGTAAAGCTATGCACGGAATTAAAATTAATTTACTGATAACTGGAATCAGGCAATCCTTTCAGAGATAGCGGACCCCCTGCGAACATGGCAAAACTTATTCTACTTCGGCATAAGGTGCGCAAATATGACTGTACTTGTCCCTTCAATCTAATCACGCACTGGACAGATACAAACAACCGGCAGAAAAAGAAGGAGTACGTCCCATACGCGTCAGGTTTCACGACCTTATACCATCGCTCAACCTCGACCGGCGAAAGCTCCTTGGTTACGGTTCGGCAGGTCTGCTGGGAAGCAATTCTATTGACCAATGTCACGAAGGATCCTGTGTTCATTTTCGTTCCTACATTCTTATACCCAGTGATTGTGAGGAGGAAGTTCAGATACTTAATATGTCTGGGTTTACTTTTTGACAATTCAATATATGATCGCACTCTTGTCTTCAAGTATATCTCCATCGCTTGCCCGCACCATCTTTACATCATATATAGTTAGCTGTCCAAGTTTGGTTCAAGTACTCGTATCGTAGACCATTGGATATTAACTTGTAAATTACAATGCGTGCATACATATAACAAAGCAAAAGATAATGAGAAATTATAGGAATGAAACGATGCTAACTCCTGAGTGATTGCATTACTGGTTATTGGAAATGTTCCTTACGAGTCAGTCCCTTCAATATGCTAGGTGCAGCTTTGATTGGTGGAGGCTTCTTCGAAGTCGTCGGGTTGTTGCGAGCGTGCGAGCCGACTCGAGAATTCGGATGCCTATTACCCACGACTGAAATACCTCCGACAACCGACCGACCGGTGCCCATTCTTCGAAGCCGGTTTTCATTTTTCACGTATTCTTGCGCTCGTTGACGTCCTTGTTCGTCTACCATCAATTCCGATCTATGATTCTACACACCATCACAAGGTTAGATTCAGTTCAGGAATGAGTGCATTCAACAGCATACCTCCGTAGGGTCGAAAACGAGGGTCCCTACAGCACCTTTACGAGTTCCCCGAGTATGAATATTGGCATTGGTGACATGGCGCACCCGAGGAAGATCTTCATCCTCGTCGTCGTTGTCTGCATCAACAAACGATAAATCGTTTGGGTCTATAGCTGGACAGTCATCCTGAAGCAATTGGACCAGTGTTAATGGTACAGCATCAAATTAACTAGTGAATTAGCTCGGACCTTGCCACGTTTTGCTGCTTCTCGTAACTGGCGCATGATATCACTTGTGTTGACAGTATTCTCGTCGTCCTCGTCGTCTTCGTTCGCATCGTCCTCGTCATCCTGCCCATAGTTCGGCCCCGTCATAATGATATCGTTGGCGTCATCTCCCTGAAGGAACGCCAGTTCAGGATCTCCATCGCTATTGATTGCCGCCTGATATTGTTCAGCAAACGCCCGAGTTGCGTCTTGTCCGGCTACAAGGACACTGAGCTGTGGTGACGACAATCAATAGATTGATGCACATACCTAATGATTTGATATCTCCCCTAAGCTCAGGCTCCTTCTTCATTTTCCATCGGACCCTACGACCCGTCTCGTCTTCTTCATCGTCATCATCACTGTTATCAATACTGGCTTGACCTCTGGATCTCTTGCCGTTGCGAAAATGACCTTGGGCAAGCTTGTGGGCCACATCCTCAACGTGAGCATCATCCGCTTGTCGTTGTTCTCTGGAAGATGATGAGTAGAGCGCATAAGAAATGGACAAAACGCTGACTGAAATTTCTCCAGAACTCTGTCTTCTGCTATCTGTGTCTGGTCCAATTCTTTATCGTCTACCAGAGTTTCGAGATTACGGTCCAGGTGTTCTCCATCCTCCTCATCCTCCTCGACTTTACGGAAACCAAACATTTCATCTTCATCACTCTCCTGCGCCTCCCCTTCGATAAATTCCGATTTTTCCAGCCTTCGCCCAATTTTTCGAATTTGAGATTCCACGGGTCGATGTCTTCGGGGTCTGGGGCTAGGTAGAGGGGGCGAAATAGAACGTTCTCCAAAAATATTTGAGAGCTGAGCACTTGAAGATGACCCAGACTCATCTCGCTTCTTGAGACGATGCAATCGATTTCTACGCACTGGGGTATCCTCCGTGGATTCGGCTTCAGACATAGATAATTCGCGGAAGGGCCGCCTAGTGAGGCCCTGGCTCGAAATTGCCTGAGTAGCAAATTGTCCATTTTGCGAGAAAAACTGAGATGGTGTTGGTGGAGGACGATATACCTCTACATTTCCGTCAGGGCGGGTTTGGGTAAGAAATCTGTTCCAGTGCGATTACAAACGACATTTTTATTGCGGAAGGAAAGCGCGCACCCTTGATCATTTATATATAACTCTGGTTTCTTGCTGGTGGACGCGTTCACCGTTTCAATGATCAGTTCCTGCTCCCTCTCAAAGACCTCGTCAGCTTGACGCTTCAGACTTTCATCAACTTCGAGCGCAGGTTGCAGACCGACTTCTTGGGTGAGGGCAAGCGGATTATTCCTGCGGAGCTTATCAAAGAAATTGTTTGACTAAAGAGAAAGAAGGAGTTCAGCATTAGTCAATCATCTAAATAAAACCCACCTGGCCCGGTTCCGTCAAGCTTCCCAAAAGCGGACTAGAAGAACTTGAAGGTATCTGACTATCGAAGAACCCGGAAAAGCCAGCCTCTAATTTTTTTGGCCGAAATCCCTCTCCGTCGTCCGAAAATTGAGAGAAGCCGGACATCTGAGATTCACGAGAGACTCGAGGAGAAAGCAAGGGATCAGGAGGTTTATCAGCGATAGATGCTGTAGAAGTCGCTCGCTCAAGCCTTATCGCAAAGGAGACAGCGGCAGGAGTGAAGGGCTCGATTTCAGAAACGCTAAGGGTTTTCAGAGGACTGCGAGGATTTTCTTTGTCCTCGTCTGTGGCGTAACCATCCAAAGATACTGAAAGACGACTCGATAAGCCTTCCTCAAGATTATGGACAGAGCTCCGACGTCCTGGTGAAGGTCCATGGTTCAATAATTCATGCTGAATAACAGAAGTATTTTCCTTATCTTCACTCCGATCATACATGAGTCGGTCGTTGTTCTCCTTGTCACACTCGTCTTCGGTAGCCCCCCCGTCATAGGAAGAATCCGATTGACGGCGGGCAAACTGAGGAACGGGGGAAACTTTGTCGGAGTCCTGGTCCAGAATCATTGAATCCTGCACAAGGACTTTTCCGAGTGAATGACGTCGTGCAAAGAGATTTTCGTTGTCTTCATCTTCAGTGTCCGAATTCACGATAGGTCGCACGGCTCGTCGGTGAGGAAGATCAACTTGAGTTGGAATATCTTCGTCTTGAGTGTCTTCATTCACCATTGTGATGTCCTGGTCATCTTCGAAACCTTCTTCATCATCCCCTTCGTTTTCTTCGTACTCGTTGCTACTATCTTGATCAACAACGGCAGGACTCGCAGATCCCCGCAAGGAAGTCCACTCTTCATCTTCTTGGTCGTCAGTCCCTCTCTGATGGTGATTTCGGTTCTCTGTGCCCGTCTTTTTCAGGTCCTCCAATGCTTTTTGTGCATACCAATCCAGACCATGTCGTTCGGACGCTTGAATCTCTGGTCCCAGTGGTTTCCCTCCTCTGCTGATCCACTCCTCAGTCTTTTGTTGTGTCCTGCGTGTGTTCTCAGCATTGACCCTCTTTAACAAGACCTCATTCAACTCCCTGGAGTTAAGAGCTTGTGAAGCAGACGCGACTTCACCCGTGCGACGGGAACTAGATATCCCAGCATGCTTCTGGAGAATTCGAGTACTCGCCGTAATGCCGGGCCGACCAGATTTTCTCGCATCAGCTTCTTTCTGTATCGCAACCTGTATGCTAGTGCTTGGATTATCTACAATCTCCAAGTCATCGTCATCATCTGACGCTAATGCACTCGAGCGCAGTTGCCCCTGCTGCTGCAGAGCCAGCAGTTTCTTTTCTTGGAGGCTTTTGAGCAACTGGTCTATATCTGGAAGCTGTTCCTCGTCGGAGTCAGCGCCGTCAGGAAGTTCTGGCATGGATGTACGAGGGGTTTCTGCTTCTGTAAGCTTTGTATCGGCCGGAACGACCGCACTGCGGTTACTGGTAGGGGAGGAGTACTCTGAAAATTCGGATATTGGATCCATTGAATCCTCTCCTTTCAAGGGTGCCGGCGTGTTTCCAGCACTAATTCCCGAGATCAGAGCACGTAAAATCATCGGACAAACTCCACACCTACATTTTACTCAAAAGATTATTGAACGTCAGTTTGCTACTGCGTTGTACGCGAGGGATAGATACTGGTTTCTCTGCATTCATCCGTTGACGTTCTATAACTGTATCTCGACGTTCTTTTTTCGTCGGAGCCTACATGCAGAATTTGTTGAGATAAGAACATATGAAGGCAATTTGTAATGTACCTTGACTTTGTTGGACTGTGATCGTTTTCCTTTAGCCTTTCGTACATCTAAGTCGACTGCAGGTTGGAGTACCAAAGGGTTCATAATTGCGACAGACTTTCCCTTAGAATGGGTTTTGGCTTTTCGAGAAGGCATCTCGTCCTCGGCGTCAGATGTCGGAGGGGTAGTTGAAGAGCGAGTTTGTGGGGTATTGATTGGATGTTTCACTGGTGACGATGAGTATGAGCTTCTGTCCGTTTCTCGCTCAACTTCCCCGTCAGATTCCACACATTTGATGTGCTTAGAGACGCGTTGTCGAAGGAAAGTTGGTGAAGGAGTTGGAGATGCTGATGTTCGGTGCGAATGCCCAAACGACGATGGGGCTAATTTCGAGAGCGAGTCGGAGAAAGCATCTTGGGATAACAAAAGCTCTGTTTCATGAGAAGGAGAGGCTAGAGTGTGCGATATATGGCCGTCCCTTTGTTCAGAAAACAAAGGTTCCGGATCGGTGGGCTTGGACCATTTATCCCCTGACGACTCTGTTTTCTGAGAAGAACCACCACCTTCGTCCTCGCTTTCATCTATATGCTTTATGTCGATCGTCCACTTCCAAGGATAGCCAGACGACGCGTCTTTATTGCCCCCGTCATCCCTGTTTCTTCCATCATTTTCTGCCTCAACAAGCGGAGAATTTGAAGGTTCAGAGGTAGGTGGAGCCTCGCCAGGCGTGTCGGAGCCCATGTTCAGGAGGCTATCATCACTAGCTATGGAATTATATATGTTTGTAGAGGGCTTTGAGGTAGAAACCTCGATTGCTGGTTTTGGACGACCATAAGTCCTTGCTGGCCGTTTAATAATATCGGGTGGAGAAGCTGGCATTGCAGAATATCCAAAAATGGAAAGCTTTCAGCGTTGAGATTGTCAGCCTTATCGTTGAGCGGGAATAATCTTTGGATTGGCGGGGCAGTAAAAAGACAAGAGAGCTCAAGAGTAAACAGAATTTGCGTGACATTCTGTGACAGACGCGTTGTTATGTCTGGTGCATGATTTATGACGTTTTTAGGCAGCACCCGGCACATGGCCAGGCCATCTCTGGCTTAGCTATGGCATGAATTTCTCAAACGCAGTCTCGAGTCACGACTTCAAGCGTTTAAGCTCTTAAGATCTAGACTCACTTTACAGAAGAAAAGGCAAAGCGTCCCAAGAATTTATGACCTACTCTATGGACCTTCGTGGACCTCTAAAAGCCTCTAAGTATAGAGTCATGCCCATAGTGATTATGTATCTTTTTGCTTGATCTGCCTAAATCTGCCTTGAAATGAGATCATGATGAGCAAAAGTAGTCCACCCTCCCGAAGTCACAACAACGAAGTAGTAGTTGGGTCGTGACTTCGGCACTGAAAGACGACTAGCTATAGCTGGCTAGTAGGATATTTGTTCGCTGGAGATATTCTTGTCCATTTTAGATCCATGCTTTTCCAATTGATAATGATGAAGCAGAGCGTTTTTCAAGACACTTTTCCAGTGTGTTGAAAATTATATCAATCGTCCGTTCTAATATTACCGTATTGCAAACAGATAGAACATGAAGGAGTCCTCCTGGGACATGTCGGATATACCAACAAGCATCGAGTGTCGAAATCAATGACCAATATCCTCGTAAGCTGGAGGGGGTACATCAGTGGTGTTTTGGCGCGGTCTTCTCACCTGCGCCAGCTCACGCCGGAGACGCTCATTATCCCTATTCAATTGCTCTACTTGTTGTCTCATCCCTTCCTGGGCGGTGGACAAACTCTCCATCTCCCGGACTCGCCGTTGGAGGCGTTTATTCTCTCGAGTTAACACCCGAGTAATTCCTTTCAGTGAATCCAACTCGTCATTGGGTATTTGAAGCTGCGACAAAGTCTCTTGCAGTTCACTCGCTTGATTACGCAGTTGGCGATTCTCGCGAGACAGATCTTCGTTGATTAGGTTTTGAAGTTCTTCATCGCCCGCAACAGAGGGTACATGTGTAGACGCTTCTCGAAGATTATCGAGTTGTTGTTTGAGCCGTTCGGTTTCTCTGGTGAGTTCTTCAGCAATCAACTCCTGGGCTGCCACGTCACCATGAGAGATTTCGAGACGGGACGTCAGCTCTTCAATTTGCAATCGAAGTACTGTATTTTCCCTGCTGAGATCTTCAGTAAGCCTCAGCGAAGCAGGTAAGCGAGTCAAGACACTGTTCTTATCCAGTAACTCGGACTGCAGCCGCGCAATTTCTACCAGACCGTTATCGACATTGCGTGACATGCGGTTGAGAGATACAGTATGATGGCGTGATAGTTGGTTTAAGGTCTGTACTGAAGAACGCAGATCTTCGTTCTCCTGACTGACTGTTGTGAGAGCATCCTGAAGAGTACGTATTTGAGCATAGAGACTCCCAACTTCGTCCTCCTCAACTGGAGCTGATGACGAGGATGATACCTCATGGTCAAACGGATCTTCGTCAACGACGATCATTGAAGTGCACTTGCCCCAACCACAAACAGTAACTCACCAGTGGATTGGTTCCGAGCAGAAAACGCGGTCGCAAAAGACTCAGGAAGATCTTCTGGTATTTCCAATCCAGCAAGCGCGCGATAAACGAGGAAGAGGCCGCCTGTAAAGTTATCTTTGGTAAATCGAGTAAATTTTCTGACTCCTAAGGTGTGCCTGTTGAATTTGAGAAATTGAGGAGAGCGTTGATAGGAAAGCATACCAGATTCTCGAAAGTTGCCCATCAGTCAGCCTGGCTTTGCGATACAACGGTGAAACTTCAGTCTCAGCGTCAAGGTAACCTTTCTGCAAGTGGTCGTTTTGGTCGAAAAGTTTGTGGGAATGAGATATAAAAGTTGCAGGTACATTCCATTCTTGTAGGTCCACCGGAGTAACATACGCAGGGGAAGGAATGAGAGAAGTAATTGGGGATGAGTAGATCGAATTCGCAACGTGGGGGTTTTGTGACACTGCTACATACAGTTTTCAATAACGTAGCTCTCATTAGATTGAAAAGACCAACCTTTCTTCAGCTGAGCAAGATCTCCTGGTGTTGTTGGATTCGTAAGAGATGCTGATGGAGGTTCAGTGGTGAACGCCGGAGTACTAGTAAGAGTAGTATCTTTAGGTGGAGTTTGTGTATTGAATATCGCCAAGGGGCTGACTGCACTGTCGGCGTCAACCACCAGAAGGTCAACTCAATGTGTATACAACTCACCTTTTGAAAGTAGATCGCGATCGAAACTACGTCGCCCGGACTGAGCCCAACCGATAAATCTTAGCGCGACCGTCAGTTCTTGCCTAAACTTTGATAAATGTTAGAGTTCCTTGAAGGGTTTGGAAGCTTTCCATGCCTCGTTAACCATCCTTTCTCCCCAATATCTGCTTCACTCCATATCTCTGAAAGGACTTGCGGGGATAATTTAGTTGTAAGAAACACCTTCACTGCTGTATCGGCATCGAGTTTGGCAGCTGCGGGGTCTTCACGCTTTATCTGACCGTCAAGAGCCTTTGACAGAATTATATCTGCCAGTGATAGCTCCTCTTGCGTAGCTGTGAATTGTGAGGGTATCATAGGTACCTACATCAAAGGGTCTTAGGATTGTTAAATGCAGAGTTCACAGCTTTCCTGACCTTGTCAGCACATAATTTCTCCCAGATAAAACTGCGCAACCACAAGATCTGAGCCGGTTCAAGTAATTGCCGACCTGAAGGTCTTGAGACTCAAAGGCAACCCCGGTTTACCCCGGTCCGATACACCTGTAGAAGACTTAACCTGGACTTAACTTAGCATCTTTGAGCATTTCTCTTTTTTTAATCTACCAGATGTTGGGGTGTACTCCGTACGTCAGATATACAGCTTTGACCTTTGTTCCTAATTCGTCTACGCTGATCACGATTACTATATACTGTACAGCTGTAGATAGGTCACGCAGACGGACGTACACGAGCTCCCTCAGTTGTTTTCATATCAACTGAGGTGAGCTCACTAGCGATTAGGATACCTATACTTACTGACGGTACCCGTTAGCTTAATCCTACGTTAACAGGTACCGAGATAATACACAGTTGTTTTCATATCAACTGAGCTTAATCCTACGTTAACAGATTATGAGACTCGCACTCTGATTAAATATGAAAAAGTCTATCAGCAGTAAAAGAACTCAATTCGGAAGTATCTTCATAAAAACAAGATGTCGTTCGGAAACAGCCCGAACATACCCAGACTCCCGGATGAAAAGCAACTCGTCGGTGAAGATAATTGGCGACCATACAAGCGCGAAATCATGTTTGCAGTATAATCAAAAGGCCTGACAGGATATCTAGATGGAACGATACCTAGACCTAGCAGTTACCCCGGACAAATATACCCAGCAGCACAGCAGACCACACCTCTGTTCAGCCCTACACCATTCCCAGAGGAATGGGACTCTCGAGACCGGCTAGTTGCGGGAGCCATTGTCTCAAACATCACTGACCCAGTCGGACTGGGAGTAGATGAGACGAAACGCGCATCCGAGATCTGGCAGGCGCTAATCAAACGTTTCAAGAAAAGGGATGAACAACGGATCCACCTCGCGGACACAAACCTCCGACAAGAGAAATACGACCCAGAGTCAACAATGGAGGAGCACGAAAAGAGGATGCGGAACTTACTTAAAAAGGTGCACGACCTGGGAGGAACAGCGACCGACGCACAATTCCGGTGCATCATCATATCGTCGATGCCACCGGGATGGAGGCAAGATGTCCGTAGCGTACCAGGAATGACGAGCGCGGACACTTTTACATATCTACACACCCTGTGGTACGAGAAGGAGGAGGAGAGGAAAGAAGAGGAGCAGGACACCAAACGAGTCAAGGTGCTGATGGCGGCCCACTCGAACCCAACAACACCCAACTCGACCCAGGGAAACCAGCCCCGGAGCACCAGCAGGTCAGTAATAACTTGTCACAACTGTGGCAAGCCCGGACACATCACGAAGAAGTGCTGGGGTAAGGGCGGGGGAATGGAAGGCCAATGGCCGAAACAGGGCCAGGTAAACAAAACAAAGGCAGGGACAAGTGCAAACGCAGCAACACCAGACGACCCACCAGAAGTAGTATCACCTATGGCAACGTACGTCATGTCCACACAAGCGAGTAGGAAGCCGAGTACGTCTACGTCAACACACAAGTACCATTCAACCGCTGACCCAGCGACTAGACAAAATGATCCCATTCTAGGGAATACAGGTCAGCGGGAGAGTAGGGAAAGGGACGTAGAGTACGACTTAGCTAGTTACTCAACTGTACAGAAGGAGGGATGTACAGCTTGCCAGGGAAGCACATCTCTGTACTCACCACCTACGCCCATAATACGAACGTTTATTGATTCCGGAGCATCTGAACATTGTTGGGTACAACGCTCGGACTTTGTAGAGTACACCGAAGTGCAAGGGCAAGGTGGAAGCAGTGCAATCTCGGGGGACACAGGGCAGTTCCAGATATTGGGTGTCGGAATGGTTCAGTTTGTGACACGGAGGCAAAATGAGGAAAGAACAATCCGGCTGACAGGAGTAAAGCACACACCATCGTTCGGGCATAACTTAATCTCCTTGTCAACGCTAGACGGGCGGGGCATGAGAGGCGAATGGGGGCTGGGTATACTGACGGTCAAAACTCCGGAGGGGGATACCATTCTGGAAGGGTTCGGTAGAAACAAGATGTACCAAGTTGAGGTGCTAGAGTCCGGGAACCTCACCGTCAGCTACTCCCGAGCTAGAGACAGACCCGCCAACATCCTCACCTGGCACAGAAGGCTGGGACACGTCGCGATACGCCAGATACTACGGATGTCCAACCGTAACCTCGTGGATGGACTGCACATCACGAATTGGGAAGTGCACGGGATGTGTGAGGATTGTTTATATGGGAAAGCAACAAAGCGCCCCTTTGACGAGATACTTATCCATGAATTGGAGGTACTCAAACGAGTACACATCGATCTCTTCGGCCCATCAAGAACACAAAGCCGCGGGGGAGCAACCTACCTCATGCTCTGCACAGATGGCAAATCATCATTCAGAGTCCCTCACTACCTGACAAACAAAAGGAAGGAAACGGGTGTCAAGGCATTACACGAATTCCGTGTCAAGGCAGGGCAGAAAAACAGACGGGGAAGGTACTGAGGACCATCTGGATAGACGGCGGCGGCGAGCTCAACAACGGGCTGGTGGATGAATACTGCGCCGAACATGGGATCACCATAGAAAAGGTGCCACACGACTCCTCTGCAGCGAACGGGGTGGCTGAGCGGTCATTTCGAACCGTAATGGAAGGCACACGCACTCTATTAGAGGAAGCAGACCTCCCATACTCCTTCTGGGGCGAAGCCTCATCCACATGTATCTACGTAGACAACTTCGTACCCTCCTCGCGATACCCAGATGTCGTACCCATTGAAGCATGGACCCAGAGAAGACAAGACATGTCCCACTTATGACCATTTGGATGTGATTGCTGGGCAACGCTTCCCAGGAGACGGACAGATGGTAAACTCGGCAGACAAGCAGTTAGGGCAAGCTACTAGGCTACATGGGCAGAAGGGGATACAGGGTATGGATTCCAGAAACAAAGAAGGTGGAGGAATCGCACGATGTAACCTTCGAGGAGGGAATACCGCACCGGACTCAAAAACCGAAGGGAATAGAGGAAACGCAAGAGGACGAGATTTTTGAGGATCTGTTAAGATCATGTACACCGTGTAACCGTGCCAAAGCTACAAGGTGTCTAAGTGCGGAAGACGAATGGGACAGTAGTGAAGTTATTAACAACACCGCCGTTACGCTGTTAGTCCCCGGAGAGCGAGAGTAGAGAGAGAGGAGCTAAGTAGCAGCCAGGTCGGAGCGGCGGTATCGCCGCTGACGAGGAGCGGACCAGAGAACGTTCAAGTCCTAAGGTCGAGGGGAACGTACTTCAAGGTGTTGAGCCTGAAGACTTAGAGAAGAGTTAAGTTGAGAAGGGAGATCTAAGTTGATAATTAAACTGAGGAACTACAGTAGCGTACAGGCAGTATTTATATCTACGGAACGGCGCATCGGTGCGGAGCGCCAGACTAACTACTAGGAGCTATACGAGTAGTACCTGCAGGGTAGAGTAAAAGACAATAAGGAGAGACTAGAACAAAAGGGTATGTGTAGCGAGAAAGAACAATAAGAAGAGATTACAATAAAGGACAGATCTTCGGAATACCGAGCAGCGGGATGGAGGCCCGAGGCATGGACTTGACAGTATCCCCCTCTTAGGCTTGAGCCCTCGAAAGCTGTTAGTATTGGGCAATACTACTAGTCACCAGAGAAAAAATTTTATATCCCGTTAGCATCGGCAATTATCCTTTTTAGTCATCAGGAAAATTTCATTAGTCCACCATAAACCAAGTACAATTCGAGTAAAATTTTTCGCTGGTCCGTGCGCAGTTTCGCCGTAGAAAAGGCCCAGGGTTTTGCCGATAAGGCCCAAGTTTTCAAAACTCCAAAGTCCAGCAAGATGTCGACTAGCCGTACTCAAACCACCACCACTACTTCCTCTGCTACCGCCGGACCTTCGAGGTCCCACACAACGAATCCGCCACCGGCCGACCATGTAGACGATGACGAGGAGGAATTGGAAGAGGACGACGATGAGGCCATCCGGCGGGCGGAGGAGAAGGTCCGCAGGATGAAGGCGAGGAAAGCGGCGGCGGCGGCGAAGAAGGCCGCAGAAGAAAAGGCTGCCAAAGCAGCAGCAGCAAGGGAGAAGGCAGCGCAGGAGGCGCGAGAGCGAGCTCGTTGAGCACAACAACAAGAGGAGGAGGCTGTTGGCCGCAGCGGCGACAGCTCGGAGTCAGAGGGGAACCTCCGCAAGTGAGGTGTCGGTTTCGCCGCGGAGGCCCATGGTAGAAATTTCGAAGAAGAGCAAAGGAAAAGGCAAGGCTAAAGCCCAGGTGCGTTCTGCCATTACTACAACTAGATAATTGTCTGACTTCTTCCTGCTAGCCCGTGGACGAAGACCCGGACGACGGCGACGACGACGACGACAAAAAGGAACCCTGCGAACGATGCAGGACAAAGAAGATCTCTTGCCAGATGCAGGCTGGCAAGAGAAGTTCCATCATCTGTAAACCCTGCCATGATGCGAAAGTATGGTGTTCGTACTCCGGACGGCCGTCAACGGTGAAGCGAGAAGGCAGCTCCAACCCGACCGGCGAGCGCCTGGCTGTCTTGGAGAGCCAGGTAGCTCAATTACTAGCAGACAACCGGCAACTTCGTGATGGACAGGTGAAAGCCAACACCTACCATTGACACATGAACCGGAAGTTGGACTGGCTTGTGACGGATGCCGCAAGGAGGAGGAGGACACCCCCTGAACTGCCGGAAGCCGGGCTGTTGGGATTGCCGAAGAAGCGAAGAAGGGTAATGGACAGCGACAAAGAAGAGGATTGCGAAAAAGAGAAGGAGGTAGAGGAGCAGGGAATGGAGGAAAATGGGGAAGGAGATGAGGAGGAGATGGTAGAGGAGGAACCGGCGCCGGCTAAGGCGCAGTCGGAGAAGGGGAAGGAAAGGGCGGAGTAGAGTACATGCGGACATCGGACCTTGGCCCTTCGGCCAACTCTTGTAATCTTCTTGCCTTCCTGTTGTTCTACCTATAATTTTGTTTGCCCTTTTGTATATATAAAAAATGTCAACGCGATTTGAAATCGGAGAGCGAAT